ACGATGATGAGAACGAGGATAATACTGACAACGTTGAGGGTGGACCGCAGCAGTCACCTACTACAACAGTTCCCACACCGCTAATACAAGTGGAGTCGTTAGTCGCTGGACGCGCACGACGTTCTACTGCTGGAAATAGGCTTGCAAATTTACTACACCAAGAGGCTGATGCGGAGGATACTCTCTTTTTGGAAGATGAGGATGACGTTGAGTTTGCAGCCGGAGAGGTTGAGGACATGTCTGACGTTCAACTGGAATCGTCTAGCGAGGACGAGGACGACGCTGGGCCTCCTGCAATGAACGAAAATGGCGAACAAGTTGATGAGGACATGGAAGGAGAGAGAGAGTTGCAACGGATTGCGAAGGAGGCTCACGCAGTAAAGAAGCGTAGAGCTGGGGAAGCATTTCTGAAACCGAGAAAAAGAGTCACTATTAAGGATCCGTCTACAACTACATCTACAAATGCTGGCGCTTCAGCACAAGATTCTACAGAAACACCTTCTACGGACTCGTCTTTGCGACCGAGGAAAAAGTCGGAAAGAATATCATGGTTACCCCAGGACGTTTACGCTGTAAGAGCGTCAAGTCGCACATTATCTTTACAGAATAGAACAGAAACGATGAAACGTTTAGAGGAATCTGAAAAGCGACGATTACGCACCATTAAATTAATGGAAGCTGCTGCCGCGAAAAAGGATAAAACAAACCCGCGGGTGATGACGCAAGAAGATAGGCTACGGGAAGCGAAGCTTACTGAAGAAAAAAATCTAAAGAGTTTGAATAGGTGGGAACAAAACGAAGCTTACAGATTGGAGGAGCAACGGAAGAAACTTGCGGCGTTACAGAATCGCCGGTTGGTGGGGCCCGTCGTTACGTTCTGGAGTGGGACGGCAGAATGGGATGAGAAAGGGAAATTAATGAGAGTTGGTAAAGGTCTCGTTGAGATTATTGATGGCAACGACGAAGGAGAGGGGAAAAAGGGTAAAGGCAGAGATGAAAAGAGAAAGAGCAACAAAGCAGGATCGACGGCGACAAGTAAAGCCAAAGGGAAGGAGAAGGCAACCCCCGAAGGTGAAGTTGATCCTTCTTTGCAAGAGGTGCGGCAGCAGGACGCGAATATAATGCCTCACTCTGAAAAAAATTCGAACCTTCCGTCTCCACAACCACCACTTTCCACAAGCCCGTCTCGACCGACAAGTTCGACTTCGGATAATCAAAACCCCGCACTTTCGTCCGGACCTACGCTGCTAGCGCCAACCCCCCCGGACGCGGCCTCGCAATCACAGGTTATCAGGAGCAATGGCGCTTTGCCAATACTCTTAGAAGGAATACTAGAGTATGCTGCTTTGCCGGACCCTTCGGAAACTAAGGGACCACCTCCGGTAAAAACTACAGGCGAACCAGCAGGCGAATCAACAACTCCCACACCTCTTCAAGCTCAAGTCGAACCCCCGAGACCGAAAACCGAAGCATCTACTAGGAATCTAGTGGTGCTTGAGAATTTTGATGCGCCAGATGTTCAGACCAGGGAGGGGATAATTAAGGTGCTTTTTCCCAGCGAATCAAAGAGAAGTTGGCGTGAGTACTCCATATTTTCCCCTTCCACTTTGTCGTTTCAAGTTGGTATCGTCATCAAGATTTTTTTTATATTCCCTCGCTCGTTTCGTGCATTGCATGCACATTCCCAATTCCGGGTTCCTATAGTGCGATCCGGCCCGAGTCTAACAGGGTATAACTCTCCTTCGAGAATACATGGACTTTCCTGTTTTCGTTTTCATTCATTTTTGAGTTTTGTCAAAAAAATCTCTACCTTGTACTTTTTTTTTTCCCTCGATATTTTCACCTTGCACGTTACCTGTCTCGGCATGTGTTTTGTTTTTTACCAGCAATTGCTTTGACCCGGAACGTGTTCGCTTGGTGCTTTGTGCATTTCTCGGTTATCACTAAGCGATGGCATGGCCTGCTAGCTTGCTTGCATAATAACTTACTCCTGACACCTGTGTGCCTCTAGCTGCCCCCAAACAAACCTGTGTCATAACGCATCAACCGGCGAAATTTCGCGATCCGACCACGGGGATGCCATATGCATCTTTGCAGGCGTATAGAGAGGTGCAGAATATCCTACATGGCGAGATCCAATGGAGTTGCCTCTTGGGAGCATACGTTGGGAGGCCAAACACAGCTGCTAAGGGAGTCCCGGACGGATTCCTGAAAGAGTCAGTTGCGGAGTAGGGCTGTAGTGTGGTGGTGGTGGTTGTTGTGGTGGTTATGGTGGGTGGGCGATCAAGCTGCCGTGATTGGATAAGGGTGCAGAAGCCGTTGTTTGGTCAATCATTACGCTTTGCCTGTAAAGTACCTTGGTGTTTTTCTGCGTGGTGGGTGTTTTGGGACCTTCTCCTCTTTCTACATGTATGTACTGATATTGCCCATAATATGCTGCTGCTGCCTGTGCTACTCGCGTATGTACATGTATGTAGCGTCGGTCTGGTTTCCTATACGTGTACAGTGTACTTCATGTTAGAAGCGGACGCCGCCGATTGCGGGGAAAAGAGGGCATCATCAATCTATCTTGTGTAAACGGGTGTTGGGAGTTAAGGTAGCTTAGCTGTTGGGACAAGGAAATGAAAATAAAAGTTTGGATATCAAGGATTAGAATTTTTTCTTTCGCATTCTTTTATTTTTCCAAGCCGCGCCGCGGCATCGATATCTGTACTTTATGAGGCCGTACCTACAGCAAATTCGCAATGCGGGATCGGCCACTTCGAATCGATGCCGTCCGTAGTTTAAAAAAAAAAAGGTTCCCGCCAGGTTTGTTACCGGGATCTCCTGAGGCCCCAATGGCCTCCCCCCCCCCCCCCCTTTTTTTTGCTTTTGTTCCTTGCTTAAATTTCCTGCGAAAATGATATCTACTTTTGTACTAGAAACTGCTAGTATCGTAGCTAGCTGGCTGGCTGGGGGAGCTCGGGGACACGACATATCACACCAAGATTGTTCAACATACATGGCTACAGATGTTGAGAAACCTCAGCTGCCATGCCTGTAGAGTTAAGTAAGTACTCTATTTCAACGCAACATAAGCGCTAGATGCATTGCCTATCTCATGCTCATGTATCTAGGTAGAGAGTATCTAGGTATCAATTCCACCCAATTTACGTACCTAGTTACTCTAGCATGTAATCCATAAAATGGCACATATGTACCTGAAGCCCATCATCTACTCTACATACTCCACGGTAGGAAGAAATACGGGGCCATCTTTAATTTTGTGAGATGATCCAAAGCAAGGTGTGCCCTACATTAGTTTTAGCAGAGGCAAAAAAAAAGTGGAAAACTAAAAAAAAAAAAAAAAAATGTAACCAGGGAGAGGGGAAAATTGACGGAAGAATTGTATAGGCCCCAAGTGTAAGTAAAAAAGAAAAAAAATTATGTAGCTAGAAAGTCTAGAAGAGAAAGGGGGTGTTCAAGTAAACGTGGAAGAAAACCTAGGGCATGGAGCGCTCGATGATAGTATAGGTTTTTTTTTGAACGCTCCTACTAGCTAGACAGGTGAAACTTTAGCTTTGTTAGCAAAAAAGTGACAATCATGGCCCAACGTCCGGCAGCGGGTGGGAGGGAAGGGAAGGAGCGTTAGGCCAGGGAAATGGTCGGAACTCGGGAGATGTTCGTTGATGGTCAGTTTATCGATATTATTCTGGGGCTATGGAACGGTATGGGGGTGCCAACCATCCGTCCAGCCTCATAAAAAGTGATCTGCCTTTCTTCAATCCATACTGGGTGGGGGAAGAAACGAAACAAGTATGTCGTGCCTTATCTGTTTCGAAAAAGTCTGGGGGGTATAGTAAGTGATGTACATACATACCCCGAGATTTCCATGTTGAGCGCGCGACGAATGAGTGCGGAGAGACGCTGTAGATTGTAGAAGTGATCTATGTTTTTTACAGGCGGTGAAGGTGGGTGAGGTGATCTTGAGAAACAGAACCGTGGATGCGTATGAATTTCCCCTCATTCTCATAACCACTTTCTAATTCTCCTCCATGGATCCACCAGATCTTCTTTCTCCTGCCTTTCAGACACATCATGAAGCCCCCCTTCCCTTGGAGTTTTCAATGCCGGGAGTTGATCGTTTTGAAGGGAGGTAGTTGGCTCTAGCCAATACGCCAAAGAGCTTATCTTTGGGTCGTCTGGTCTTCGAAGCTAGGAGGCAACGGGGGAGGATAATTATCACATCCCATATCCAGACCACCCGTCCTATACTCCATCCAGAGAGCGACAATGCAAGTGTTCATGCGTGCGTATTCTAGTGCGTTGGCTGAGCGCTCTCTTGCCGAAGCCCGTAACCTCACTCAACTCACACTTTTGAAAGTAGTGAGAAGCCTCTTTCAAAACTATCTCTATCTTTTGCGTGCTTTGCTTGCCTGGAGAATTGGTCCTCCTAATGCGCTGCTTACTACTTTACCCCCCCAATGACCAATCATTTAATTACCTGTCATTCACACGCGTGTACGCAAGAAAAGCTTGCGTCTTTTGAGTTTGCGTCTTAGGTGCGGGCATATGTGAAGGTATTAAAAATAAATAATTTTATAATAAACCATAAAAAGTGAGGAGAGACAATTGTCGCGCGGGCGCACGGGTATGGTGGAGGTGGAGGCGGATGCGGATGTGGAGGTACTAGCTTCAAGTATATCACGGAAGAAGAAGGGGAACAAGGAGCTCTAGTATATTCATAGGAACACTATTGTCGGATGCCCAGCCTCTGAGGTTACATTTCAGCCATGAGGAGAAGGTGGAGGATTGATTTTAAACGTGATCCATGGCACAACATGCGCAGTACACAAACTCCGGGGAAGCGAAGGGGGCTGCTCAAATTGTTTGAATACGTTTTCTTTATTAATTGTTTCGCAGCATGATCTCGATGATTCCTATCGATTCTCAAGTCGCCTCTTTTATTTTTAGATGTGCCTGGTACCTTGAGATGGCCTGGCTTACTACTCTACATGTAGCTACAACATCGCGATGGGCCTCGATTCGAATTCACTAACAGAGAGGTAAACGCGTTCGCAGGGTTTTAGAGAGCTCGAGAGCCGATGAACGGGCGTTTTTTGAATGATTGGCCCAGAAGCGATCTTGTCCGCGGGATGCTGAAGCTTCAAACCTTTCTATGAATAAACGCCATTATGAAAACGGTGTGCGTTAGATCTATTAAATACCTGAAAGATCCTACCACTGGTCTAGAGTAGTCTGCTACTTCCTATTGCTCATCGTTGTTGCGCTTCTGTCTACTCGCGTACCTCACTATCCATCCCATCCACGTACTCTTGCCACTGTGACATCCCTGGAAGCTTGTTCAGAGGCGTTGAAACAGAGAAAGGCCTGGGAGGGGGAATAAAGAAGCAGAGCTAGAAACCAAGTAGGGAAATCAGAAAAAGCTGGCCTGGTAATACGATATCTCACCTTTCTCCCGTTCCCGCAATTCCTATTCACTATCACCTCTATTATCCCTTTGCTCTCACTCGCTACCGCAAACGCAAGACCGCCAGTCAGTACCAGTAATAGGAGAGTACATTCCTCGGTCACCTCCTCTCACATTTTACCTGCTACCGGCTTTTACAGAGCTCGTACATACATACCGAAGCACCAATCCAGCACGTGGGGCCGAGAACATCTGTCTCGTCTGTCCGTCCGGAGAGGGTGCGAGAAAAAAAGAAGAGTACATACATATTCTACAGACAGAATTGCCCCCCCCCCCCCCCCCCCCCCCAAGACGCAGGCGCGCTCACACACCCTCTTGGACGTCCACAATCGTCATAGGCGGCTTCTCGAGGGGTGTCAAATAATTATCTTGCCGCAGACTTGCTTGCAGAGGTTGAGCTAGATACTGCTTCTGTCTGGATCAATTCCAGAGACCACGACTGCCGAAGTCATCAATAGCACGAGCTTTTCTTAACGGCAAAGCTACCCTCCCTCTTTTTTCCCGGGATACCATCCACCCTAGTTAACTTGACCCTCAAGTAATAAAAAATATAATACTACCACCTACGGCACCACTCCTCCTCCTCCTTTCGTCATTATCACAATTGCAATTTGCAGTTTGCACACATCATATATCATCAAAGGTCTCCCACATCCCTTCCGTCTTCTCCAACAATATTATATATCGGTCCTCCTTCTTCATTCTTCACCTTCATCTTTAAGTTGGTCTACCATCTTGAAACTCTCATTCCTCCAACCAACACAACTATATTACTTTTCGTTGAAAGGCAATTGTGATCCATACGAAAGCCAATTCCACCCAAGAAAGGAAGAGGAAAAAAGACTCAGCCTCTCTACGCATTATCTTACTTCCCTGCGGCGGCGTTTCAATTATATCCCGTTTTCGGCAACGTAAGCACCAACAGCTGAACCACCAGCACCAGCGACACCACTCAGCGCACGGGACTCTCAGATCGAACACCAAAAGATAAGGGAGCACAAGGAACACTCAGACAAAAAACCCGGATCTGTATCTTCCAATAAGCGTTTTCGCTCTTCATCGAAAATAGAGAGGGAATTATCTCTACATACACACGGCGCGCGATACCTATCCCCCCGCACCCCTGCCTAGCTTTCCGAGCTTAGCTAGCAGTACGACCTGCGCCTGCGGTCGATATCACCGAAAAAGCATCAGGGGACAAGTCCTTGATTGTACCCTTACAACCTATTTTTGTTTCATTCACTATCTTGTTTTTATCTCCGTCCTCATTTATATAACCCTTTTCCCCAAGATCTGAGAAGGACTTTGTTCCCTCTCACCTTCCAACCGTCAAACTGGCTACCAAAAGTTCACGTGGTATTAAACCACCAACAGTGCGTCGCAATACTGCCCCTAAAGCAAGAGGATTAAAAGCTGGACCTCAGGCTGCACCAAATACCTCAATATCGGCGGGTTCAGATTCTGATTTGTCAATGGCGACGAGTTTTTTGCCCTTCTGGTAAGTTCCCATAACTCTTTTGATTATTTGTTATTGTTCTTGTTATTATCCGGGCTTCCGCGATATTCTCAAAGAAAGGAACATCGGGTGCTTTTCTTGTTATCATATGCATATGCCGAGATAAGGAAACGCGGGTTTTGTAACTGTTGTTGCAAATCGAACCGTGGCATTCCTCATCTTCTCCTTTGTTTTCGGCGCAAAATAATCAGTAATCGTATAAATATGTAACTTCAAAAAAGCTGACTCAGTGATTCAACAGTGCACATTGCGAACAGCAGATAATAGTTCCAAACACAGGAATTCTTTATTGCTCTGAAAAGTGCAGGCGCAAAGATCAAGCGAAACCGCCTCCAATCCCAATTGGGCCTTCGTCGCCCTCAACATGCAATTGGTCAACACCACCGTTGACGCCCTACGGCGACGAATTCTCAAACGGGCCCCCAAGAAAGAACTACGTCGAACCACTTAGCCCAACCCCGCCACGTTCAGTGCCAGAAGTTGAGCCATCATATCCCGAATATGCAGGCTCGCCACCAATTTCGATAACAGGCAGGACTACTTCGTCCGACGGGGGGTATAGCAACTATCACTATAACCACCACCGTTCAGGAACTACCTCACCAATTGATTCGCAGCCCTCATCTCCCACAAACCATAATGCGAATCTCTACAACCCCCCGCGCAGGCCGGTGCATCTGCGCAGTTTGACCGGCGGCTCCATCTCAAATTTCTCTGGAAACGCTTCAAATAACCCGCCGACACAGTACCAGCTGCATCAGCAGCGCCCTCTCCCGCCGCTCCACCATCCTGTCTCTTACAGCTCATCACCGCGCTCAATAGACCTCGTTACACCCTACCTCTTGCAGGATCACTCGCAACGCCACGGATCATCCTCTTCGCTTTCCTCCGGATCTTCATCAGGATCATCCTCATCCGAAGATCTGCAGTACGGGTACGAGAAGACCCTGCCAATCGCCGAAGTGGCGGCGCAGGTCGGAAACCTGAAGACCCTCTTTAACTTCGACGCCATTAGGGGCCGCCCGACGGCGTCGAGGAATGGAATGTACACGCCTATGGATAGGACGCCGGAGCGGAGCCCGGTAAGGGGAGTGGGGAGGCAACAGCCTCTCATGATGAGAAGCAGTGGGGGCGGATGGCCCAATTGAGGCTGTCTGCAGCCTCTTTTGGACCGGAGGATGCGGGGTTAGGAAATTTGATTTGAGCCGGATGAACCCCGTTGTTTTGGGGGGGGGGGGGTGTGTTTCTGTTCTTGACCGCAGATTTGACCCTGCTGCAGGGCTGCGAGGTTTTTATTTTTTTACAAAATTATTTTGATTTTAACTCGTGTATTGGTTTACCCTGCATGCCACTCTGCTACCATCTTCCTTTTTCTTTGTCTTCTCATTCGCATACTATCTCGCAACGCATTGGGGGAAAGTCGGCAATATTGGTGTTTTTGGTCTCGTTTTGTGGAGTTTTAGCGTTTTCATTTATTACCGTTTTTATTTTGACATATATTTTTCTATTCTCCCCACGACATATATGGTATTTTCTGGTTTTAGCTAGTTAGAGGAAAGGGCGGGTTTTCATAACTCATGATACGGTTATTATGGCATGGAGGGAGTTATAACTGCTTATTACATTTTTCCCGGTTTTTTTCGTGTATGTATGTATGTGTGTTTTTATGGTTATACTACCTCTCCGTATACATCAATCTGTATCTATAACACTTCACTCATCATGTCTTCTATTCTTTAGTGCTCTTGCTCTCACTCTCTCTTTCCCTCTGATCGTGAACCGTGGTATATTATGCATGCGCATACCCCATACAACCCGATTTTAAACATAACCAGTGAGCAGCAGCTGGTACATGTTTGCATGAAATGGCCCGGCCGACGATCAATGTAGGTATGTATGCAGCTCGCAGAGCGAAGTATCATCCTCACCTATGGGGCTACAATATAGGGATGGGTGATGTCCTTACGTCACAGTCACAGGCTAGAAGGTTTATGTATTCTCCCGTTGGAACTCCTGAGAACATGCTAGCTGTCAGAGAATGAATGGATGATTGATTATATACGGTAAACACCGCGTACAAGACAGAAAAACAAGTTCTACACATAAGTACCCGGGAGAGGCTGCTGGATGTAGCATGTAAGTGTACCTACGTAACGTACGTAGGTCCCGTACGTGGGTTCTGTACTCTACATGTAGAGAACCTTGGGATTCGGCCCTTACCTTACTCACTTCTTATCACCGCATATCATCATCATCCTCACACACAGGTAACCCTAAGGAAAGAAAGAACGTTTTGAAATTCTATCTACCACCACCACCACAACAACAACAACGCGCAATTAACCTTCTTATCGCATCGCATCCCATCATCTCTCTCAGCTGGGACTATCTTGCGCCACCAGTTCACCACCCCCTTTTTCCTCACACAGAAAAAAAGAGTACCATAATATTCAATCAATGCTCTCTCATGACTTGGCGTCGATGTGGTCGGATTCTTGTGATATTTGAAAGTCGACCGCAGCATTTAGTGGTAGACAAGTAGAATAGTGTGGTAGGAGTTTTGTAGCTACCACCCCACATGTGCTTTGCTTTAGCGAACGTTAGGTAGCTGGCTACTCCTCTTATATGGATCCAGAAGGTCCATGGCAAGGTGGTGGTTGCGATGGCTGCGTTCTTTTCAACAAAGGGTAGTTAGGAATCCGGAGGGGCCTAGGTTTTTCTACCTATTTGACCGCAAGGTGATAGTCTTACTAGTTCGGTCAAATAGAGCACGTACCACACCCACTATACACACACCCCAGAGATAGACACGTTGGCCCCACTGTCACCGGGAAATCCACTATTATTCTTATACGGCTCAAACTGGATTTTTTTTCTATTTCTATTTCTTATTTTTATTTTTCGGAACGGACTTCTTGATGGGGCGCCATTTGCGCGTTATCAAATAATCCAAATAAGCTGTTGACAGGTTCCATCTGGCCCATGCACCCATGCTTCGGGAATCGTGTGGCGCTTTCATCCCTCGGTTACAGCCCGTTTTCGGCGCTGGGTGGCTATGAAGCACTTATATGGTCTGGCTGCGATAACGTGCAGTCACACGATGTCACTCGTCTCTGAGACCGGCTGCTGTGTATTGAATTGTGAAAGCGCGGATCATGCAGTCGTTGCTGTCCTCGCTTCCACTCCTGTGTGGAATACTAACTCTGGGTTTGACACCCTTTAGCTATATATATAACGCTCACAAGGGGAACAGTGCTTCAGTGCGTGTTAAGTGTTGTGCAGGAGCTGAAGCACGTTGTTTAAGATCGGTACCTGAAAAATCCGATCCCAGAAGAAGCCTGCTAGCTAACTAGGTTGTATCGGGTCGGATCTTAGTGTAGTAAGAATACCTATCTGGGGCGCAGACCAGCAGACCAGCACCCCGATTCTGGATGCATGTACCCCTTGAAAATCATCTCGTCTGGCCGGTATCCTATTGCGTTGGTTGCTGGCGTTACTGTTGGGAATGGGAATTCTCTACTTGGCTAGAAAGACATACTAAACAGTCCGTGGTAGTATCGTTGGATACAGCTGTTAACACATGCACTCTGCTCTACTAAGTAAGCTTCCCGTTCTCACGATACCTGCTTTTGTATACATGGATACCCATGCACCCGCCACTCGGCCCGGCATTTTATGGATTTGTTCGGAGTTTCGGTTCTGGTCCGAGACTGTTTCGGTCTCTAACAAGGCTAAGATTCCAGAGTCTTAGACAATTTGTTGTTGTTGCTGATGTTGCCTGTGTTGCTGGTCGAAACATGAATTATCACTCATCGTCCGATCAAGCGCGTGTGTTGATACAACAGTAAGTCAACCACCAAGCACTTCATCGTGAAGAAAGTATAAATACAAAAATAGTACAACACAATAAGTGTTGCCGTATATATAAATATGCTGTACCGATGACTTATTACTCCCCCCCCCAGTCACAATCGTAATGCGCAAATTGCCCGAGGAGATTTTCCGTTGCGTCCGATCCGCCTTAGGCGCAAAGAGTACCATGGCCATCACCGGATCAACTCTTCTGCACGTCTGAAACGTTGCCCGAACGTGACGTGGTACTTGTGAAACACCCACTTTTCAGCTGTGGTTACCAAACCGAGTGAGAATTCATGAAGTCGCTACTGCAGCCCTCATTCGCTACAACACTTCATGCTCCCCCACTTCCCCACGTTGTGGGGTAGAGAAGGCACCGATGCGCTGGGTTGGATGCTGCGTTCACTCCCGCCGCCAAGGTTTTACATAGCTTATGTAGTCGGAGACGACTCCGTCCCCGCGGAGGGGTTTCACAGCATATCACTCGGCTCATGGCTTGTTCAACCGAGGATCTCGAGGTCTTGCTGGGATCGCGAGTATCGCTGTTGAGAAAGTATGGAAAGAGAGTAAGAATTCGATCTTCTCATTTCTCGATGATATTCGACTTTTCATTAGCAATGAATTCAACCTATCCACCGGGTTGCCCTAAATAGTACCATGCGATGATATCTAGCGGATATATTAATTATACAGCGCGTAAGTAGCCCAAAAGTGCTACGCCGTTAGACACGTGAATCTTGCGGTTGTGGTAGTACTAATATAAAATTTCTAGAGAAAGCGAAAATAGCGCATGGGCACAGAAACGGCCGATCTCGGATTGTAGTCGTTTCCTGAGCGATTTCAAAGGCGGTGTTTGAACATCACAAGATGAGAAAAATTCTCGCATTGTTGGAACCAGTATCAACGGAAGGCCGACGACGTGAATACGCTTATTCGCCCTTTGACAGATACACGGCTAGTATGTACGCTCTCTCCACTCCCGCTACACATGCAGCTGTACATGCACGTGACCTCGCCAAAGAAACTGTGGAAAAAGAAATTAAACAATCCAGTCGCGCGCAGCTGGCAGCTGCAGTGGTAGTGATGGTGGTGGTGGGCGAACCAGTAACCACGAGCTCAGCCGCGGGTATGATAAGTAAAACTTATATACATCCTCACCGGCATCCGATCGTAGTTGTTTGTTTTTTTCTCATTTATCCACAGATAACTAGCGGTGAGGTTATTGTACGAGGATCGGAGCTTTTTCTTTTGAGATGACCTTTTTTTTTCATTGCGATGGCTGGCATCCGCGGTTGGAGGGTTGGTTTTGTCCTCCGTGTTTACCGATGCAAGGTATTTCTCGTCAATCGAGTTTGTTTGAAAATAGACATCTGAATCAGTATTCTCTGCAAGGGAGGGCTTTTGTTCGATCCAAGTTTGGCTCAGTGAAGGGTGAAACATGCACGGGAGACTAGAGTAGACGCACCATATTTTCGTATCCCCGCTTGAGTAGGGTCTTAAGATGCTATGAAACACCGCATGTATGTAGCCAATAAGGCAATGTCGTACCAGCAGAACAGAAGCAAGATGTTGTATCGCAGGGCTATAGCTAGGGTTGCCGTTCTTGCGCCTGCGGGTCTTGAAAAAAAGAGCCGAGAAGCGACAGGAGCGGAGACTTGGGTCGGATTAAAGTATCCGACCCAATTATGCATATCTGTATTAATGCTTGAACTTCTTGAGTAGAATGAGAAGAACAAGAAGATGGTTCGTACCGGAAGCATGTTTACGGTCTATCCATTTTAACCTGCAGCGGAGCTGGAACTAACCGTAAATGCATGTAACTGGCGGGGTGGCTTTCATGGTTCTGGGAAATAGAGAGCTTGAACGCTGAACAGTGCGGGTAATGAGTACTGGGCATGCACGTCAGTTCAGCCCTGGGGTGGGAGTTTACCAAGTGGAATTTCCTTGATTTTTTTGCGGAGATAGCTTGTGGGATTTCCTTCATGTGGGATAAACTTTTGTGGTTGAGCTCATAACCCTGTGAATGTCAATAATCAGTAGCTGGAACTGGGACTACCCGAGGGTGTTGGTTTAGATTATAGGTAAAAATACTGATATTATAATCTGTATTCTGAAATACATATACTTAATACAGCTTGTGCGATATAAATTAAACGGACGCATGTATTCACAAAATATCACTCGACGACGAGACATGTTGAAATCTTGGATAGTGAGGAGGATAAAGATCAACAAATATGCCCAACAATGCATAACTATTTTACCCCTTATGCATGTCGATCCCGTACTCAGTGCTTGGTAGGTCATCTGAGTCCATCTATTGCCCAGTTTCAATTCAAACGCGGACAACAACAACAATTAGGCGTACCTAAACACGTGCATAATTCCCATTGAATCATGTAATCAGCTTCTCCAATACTATCCTGACAATGAAGAGTTTCAATGTAATTTTAAAGAACATTATTTATATCTACAAGTGAGAGACGTAGGTGTTTGGGGGGGGGGGGGGGTTACTGTGCTGGCTTTATTGATACGTCCTAGTTGAATGCGTTGACTTAAGAACCAATTTATGGTCCATGATGGGCAAAAAGATCTCTAAATTAAATGCCAAACTCATCTAGCCAAAGATATATCGCTACTTATCACTTTATGTTTTTGCCGTATCTCCTTCTATAGATCTGGTAATGAATGCCCAAGATCATGCACCAATGCCTAATTCCAACAATCAACTCAGCTTACTGTGTTTTTGTGAAGGTGTATAATTATATATGAGGCTTGGTTCGTTGAGTTTGAGAAGATCTATGTGTTATATTGATACAATAAGGGCTGGCATTTGAAGTGGAAGCCCTAGTAATGGATTCTGATTGCGGGGGCCGGGCGAAATGGTACAAGGTATTTTTTTCCCCTTTTCATACAGATATTGTAGTATTACCCTCGTCCCCAATCTCTAGTACTCATCTATGCCGTCAATCCCGTAGAATAATTAGGTTTATGGTCATATCAGCCGTACTGTACTCCTAAAGATGGATGATGTGATGGTTGTGTTAGTCCTAGTGCGCAGGGTTAGGGTTTCCCGCTGTTCAAAGACTTGGCGAGCATTCACCACCTCCTCTTGGCGGTGTATCTTGAACGACGAAGCATCCGATAGCGAATATACCACCACATATCTCCACTCAATTCATATCAACCACAATGTTCGCCGTCCGAAGCAGGGCCCTCGCCTGCTCATCCCGAGTTCTGCTCGCCAAACGTACCTTTGCATCCCACTCCGGCAAAGGGCCGGTTCCGGCGGGCGAGACACACCACCATGACGATCATCACCATCACCCAGCCGCTGAAGAAAGTGCGTCTTAAACTTCTGTATCCTCACCTCACTCAGTTGGTCAGGCGCTGATGGATAGATTATGAATCTAGCCTTCGGTAAGGGTTTCTACCTCTCGATCGCAGCTGTCGTGGGCTGCCTGGCCTTCTACAAACTCGAACAGTCCACCGCCGGCGCCAAGGGTGCTCCTTTGACCCGAGCGATCGAGTACTACAGTGATCTGAGTAAGGATTGGGAGGAGCGAAACGTTAGACACACATCGATGGTCGAGCGTGCTGCTGCAGACAGGAGTTTGTTCGAGGACTCAACACCCAGCAAGACAGTCAATCTGAGGTTCCCAGAGTATGTTTGTTCCGTTCTCATCAAATGGGAGATATAGTTGAGCTTCCGGTGGATTGAGACACTAATTTTCTTATTATAGGCGCTTCAATACTGGATCTCCATACATGAACGAAATCGGTTGGCAGGGTAATGATCTCTTGGCCTTGAAGGCTCACTATGAGTCTCAAAGAAAGTAGAGCGAGAAGTGTAGATATGGAACACAACATAGAGAATCAAGCGCAGAGATGGAAAACTACATCCCTGTCCTGCGCTTAAAACCGTCGCCTTGGCAAGTAACAAAAGCCAAACATTCTTATTCAATTGCTTTTAAATCCATCATAAAGTACATAGGCCCAAGGAGATATAAAAGTAAAGGTGTTTAGCTCTTGACACTCTTAGTTTTTGACTTCAGTGCAATAGCTTCCGGGGATTTGGCCGCAAGTGAGGGAATAGAGTCCTGTAAGAAGGCCTTGAATGGCTTCGCTACAAAATAACCCTTTTCGTCGAACCAATTTGTAAATGAGCTCTTTTCCTCCACGGTATGCGGCCCAGATGTCCCAGGAAGAACCGAAGTGATCTTCATGTGGTAAATTGGCGAATGTTTCTCGGTATGAGTCGAGATAGTGATCTAATAGTATTCTCCGTTAGTGAACGGTTCTGGGTGAACGGTTCTGGGTGAGCGCTTCGGGTAATAGGCATAACCGACCTTAACACCATCTTTCTCACCGACATATATCGTCCCACCCTCAACTAGCCATATCCAAAAGGTCAAAGCTGTATTGAGGATGAAATACGCAATAACTGCATAGAGTGTTCCGCCCTTTACTGCCTCGAATCCGGCAGTCCAATCGTAATAGAAGGTAACACCCGCGATGGCACACGCGGCGAATCCAATAACGAGACGGACGTCTGTCAGAGTGTGGTTTTGTTTATACCCAAGAGATTTAAGATACTATGCGCTAGTTAGTTTGTCGGTCCATTATATTGCTGGGCTCATAAAATGGGTTGCGAACAGGAGCTATCATATCATCAGTGGTATTTTTGAGCGCTGGATGCAAGTCTAGTGTTAGTATGAGGGTGGTCAAGCTTAGTTAAGGATAGTGATGTACCTGGAAGCGCATTGATATTGACCTTTGGTACTGTCTCCATATTTGCAGATGTTGATTCCGATTTTTTTTTCTTTGTTGCGGATGCTCAGATCGTTAGTGAGATTCAAAGATCGATGTTGATGTTGAAGCTGTATTTACTAAAGCGTGTCCTCTCTGCGCCGCCAAGATATCTATGTGCGCCTTACTTAAAACGTGATGAGGCTCATTCGAAGTTGTATTAACCCTAACCCTTTAATTTGGTATCTCCAGATTGATCTCTAGTTAACTTTTGTTCTTCTTTCATACAAGTACTATAGCTATTCGAGTGAGACATGGTGATCAAACCCCGCCTTTACTCACCTACACGTTTGATAAGGCCAATCAAAATTTCAGAATCTCGGAACTTTAGCTGACTTCAAATCTAGGGATTTTCTACACATACTAATCGTTTGCTACCATGACGCACCGGGAAGAGTTGAGATTTCCTGGATGACATAGTGGTCATGGACATGGAAATTTAGAATCCTGTTACTTACTTTATGGTTATTATTTGCCTTGAAATAAAACCTGTCGTAGATCATGCAAGCCGGCGGCCCATAGCCGCTGACGTGGCGAGATATGCGCCTAGGCTGTACTACTATCCACTACTATACTTATTACCGAACTCAAGGTTTGCGTTTCGTTTTAATTCTTTCGAACACAAACCCAAGGATACCTTTGAACCTATTGCAGAATCCATACTACCCCGATGGCCGAGATTGTTGGGCTTGTTTCCGGCATCGTCGCTTTAATTCAACTGGCGGGCAAATTGACATCGATTAGCTATAGCTATGCCTGCGGGGTAAAGCGAGCATCAAAGGATCTCGGGGATCTTATAGACGAACTCGGCTCTTTGAGTAAAGTCTTACTTTCCTTGCGGAGTCACCTGGAAAGAGTCAAAACAACATCATCAGTTTCAGCGCTGCAGGGGCTGAATGACTCCGATGGGCCGCTAAAGGTATGTGGTCGAGAGCTAGAAGAGCTTATATCACAAGTAGAGCCTCGAAATGGTTGGAAGGGTATGGTGGATAGCATCAAATGGCCTTTGAAAGAGAAAGATACTCTTCAATTAATTTCTAGGATAGAGAGACATAAAAGTCTCATTGTGTTTGCATTGGCGGCAGATCAGATGTAAGCTAATCTCTGCATGGGAAAGGATGCACCACTTTACGAGAGTATTGCTGAATTTATCCCTAGGTCTACGTCGAGGGAAATTGAAAAGCAAGTTCAAAATATCCAGATTGATATTAAAGAGGTCCGGGAAGATATCTTGACCGAATTTGCAGCCCAGGATGCGTGGAGACACAAGTGGGATCTCGTAGCCTCTAAACGCTTACAGTTCGAAGATTGCAATACATGTAAGTAAAATGTACCCGCCACATATGAGATACTGTCGGTGACTAACCAAGTGCGTAAATATAAAAGCCGAGAAACGTGCAAATGTACTCAATTGGGTTTGTTCAGATAATGTCGACACAAAACACAACGATGTCAGCAATAGGATGCAGGAAGGAACCGGCCAATGGCTTATAAGAGAACCAAAATTTCAAGAATGGTATACAGGAGTTTCGCACACAAAGATGTTATGGGGTTATGGCATTCGTATGTATTGACTATAAACAACATGTACTTGAAGAGTATGAAGAGAATATACTGACAAGAACTTTTTACCATAGCCGGGGCTGGGAAGACATTCATAAGGTGACTAAATACGCGCCTCTGATGACCTGATATATTTCACCACTAACTTAGGCGCTATGTTATAAGCGCTGCTGTGTTCAATTATCTTGAGGAACAATCATCGGCACTGAACTACGGAATGGCACATATATACTTCGATTATAAAGAAAGGGAACAGCAAAGACCGGAAAATGTTGTTTCCAGCCTAGTCAAGCAGTTTGCTCGCAGAATACCATACCTTCCAGCGGTCCTTGAAGAGATGCATGGTAAATTCAAGAATCATCTCAAGGGACCCACTTTGGAGGAACTCTACCCGATTCTCATTACAATAACGAGATTATTCTCTCGTTCATACATCATCTTTGACGCCCTCGATGAGTGTGATGAGAAGCAGAGGAAAGGTCTCCTCCCTTTACTGCTTCGTATGGAGAAAGACGGTATCAACCTCTTTTTAACGAGTCGACCACATCCAGAGGACATTCAAGAGTATTTTGCCAATGGAAGCTTGAAAATTGAAATTTCTGCGCACGAAGAGGATATTCGACGATATGTTGAAAATAGAATTGAAGAGAATTCTCGAGCGAAAAGACTTATTAAACAAGGGAAATGTCAAGAGAGAATCGTTACTGACTTGTTGGATTGCGCTAAAGGAATGTGAGTGATAAGGTTTTGACTTAAACACCCTTGTGGTTTTTGCTAACTAGAGGGGTGCAGGTTTTTGCTTGTTCACTTCCATATCGAGTTTCTTTGCCAGCAGACCACCGCAAAAAAGATCCTCTTAGAGCTTGGAAGGATAAAAGACTCTTCCTCTCGAGGTCTAGATCCTACGTATGACCGCGCCATGGAGAACCTCCGCGGACAGGCCAAATGCTGTGAAGAGATGGCCCTGAAGATCCTTCTGTGGCTTGTTAAAGCCAGAAGAACGCTTACGGTTGATGAGATCAGAGTAGCTATATCCATAGAAGATGATAGATATGAGCTTGATGAGCTTGATCTACCGGATATAGCAACCTTATTAGATATCTGCGCTGGCCTTGTAATAATCGACGAAGACACAAACACCATTCGATTGGCCCATTATACCGTCCAAGAATATCTTCTGAAGAAAAGCGTCTTTCAAGAAGATGCAGATTTATATCTCGCCAAAACTTGCGCAACTTATCTGTTATTCGACGCATTCACCACTTGGAGTTCTTGCGAAACCTATCGTGACGCGGTGGAACGGCTCGAAACACACCCGTTCCAGGCCTACGTAGTATCTCACTGCTTTCACCATCTCAAAGCATGCCCCGAAGAGTACACAGTGGATGTTGTTCTTAAATTTCTAAAACACGATTGCGCCCGTCGAGCTTATCTTCAATTGTACGAGATTGTCCGGGATAATATACCCGCTGTTTCACAATACTGGGGTTGGATTGATCTAATTCAAAGTCCATTGCACGTGGCATGTATTTTGGGACATCGATTAGCGGCCTTGTGGTTGATAGATTCAGGTGCTGATATCTCCGCTCTTGATTCTTGGGGTGGAACTGCACTCCATAAAGCGGCTCTCGGAGGGCACGGGGATGTTGTTGACTTATTGCTTGAAAATGGGGTCGACGTATCTTGTCAAGACTATCATGCTAGAACAGCTCTGCATACTGCAGCATCTCAAGGCCATTCTGAAGCTGTTTTGCGGCTGATCAAGGGAGGTGCTAGTGTTTTGACATTGGATCATTGGGGCTGGACGCCGATATATATGGCGGTCTGCAAAGGAAACGTGGAAATGGTCCTGTTGTTGATTACTCACGGAGCCGATCTTAGTGTTCATGACCTTGAAGGACAAACCCTTCTTCACAAGGCGGCATATCGTGGTCATTTGGAAGTAGTTAGGGCGTTAATCGAGAGAGGTGTGCCCATATTGGACCAAGGCAAAGCTAAATGGACCGCACTGCATTACGCAGCGATACAAGGGCACCAGGCAGTGGTCAAGCTTTTGCTCGAGAAAGGGGCCGATCACTCTACCCAAGACGAAGACGGTCAAACAGCATTGCATAAGGCGGTGATTTCCGGTAGCGAAGCAACTGTTCGGCTGTTGCTCGAAAAGGGTGCTAGTCCCTCGGTTCAAGACCAAGACGGAGAAACGGCTCTTCATGGAGTTGCGGAGGATGGGGGTGAAGCAGTTGGCATCTTACGTCTACTCCTTGTAAAGGGAGCTGATGCATCTGTCCAGGATAGAAAGGGCGAAACAGCACTACACAGAGCTGTAAATCATCGAAACCTAATCGCTGCTCGGTTGTTGATTGATGGAGGTGCATCTGTCTCGACGCAGTCTCACATTGGATGGACAGCATTGCACCTGGCAGCGTCCACAGGGTCGATAGATATGATGCAGTTATTATTGAACTGTGGCGCGGACTATTCGAGATGTGATAATGAGGGACAAACAGCGCTACATATAGCCGTGCTTCGATGTCACTGCGATGTTGTCCGTCTACTGCTTAAGACGGGGGCTGCACCCGGAGTTAGAGATGTAAAGGGAGAAACCCCACTACACATTGCAGTGACCCAGGAAAGCAAAGATATCGTCGAGTTACTTCTTAAGGTATCCCCTATCAGGCTCGTAAACAAGAATGGAGAGTCCGTACTGGATAAGGTGAAGGCCAAAGATATTTTCAAGATGGTTGTTGCTGAGGTCGAAAGGCGTGCCATGAAAAGATACACATTTAGGTAGTCTCGTTCCCAGACTGTTTGCGTCTGGATCAAAGTAAACACAGGCTGGGCACGAGACTAACATTTAGGACTCGGGTTTGGATGTAACCAGTTATTGTATAATATTCTTCTTTCGATTAACCGTGGTCAATTATTTAGCTGTATGATTTCTGGGAGAGGATTTAGAGATAATCAATTTTTGTAAATGTCCCCATTCGGTTTAGGAGTCATAATATATCACTCGTTGTCGCCTGACAGTTGAAGAGAGCAGGGATGGCTCGGACTAGTCATTCTCCAGAGTTTAGGCAAGACAGTGACTGCTTTGGCTCGCAATCGTCTTCTAGTAATGAGTTAATGAGTTATTGAAACTGACGGTCATATTTGACACCTGACGAAGCTTGAATCAACGATACTATCTGCTACGTTAGCTGCGGGTTCCAAAGGCAAGTCAGGTTAGAGTAACACGTTCAAGAGCTTGATATGGAGGATTCAAGTTTGTTGGTAGATAAAGTGATGAAGTTTGTTTGTGATGTTATGATGGTTGTGCATGTAGTAAATGTGTTGCTGGGGGTTGGTGGCATTAGGAGGGGGAGGCCGACGATGACAATGACGGCATTTAGCTCTACCACTTGGGTTTAAAGTTTGACTACCATTTCGAGCCGCAAGTCTGTAAAGTTAATTTTGTGCCCCAATAGCTGAAATAAACAAAAATCGCGATTATGTGTATACATGTAATTTCTCGAGATACAAATGTATATATATGAACGCTATATAGTAAATGCGGAAGAGGCCAAACTTAGGTTTCCACGGCATCATTCCCCGAGGCTCTCACCACATGCTCCATCTGCTTGGAGCCCGCCCCCATAACACCATCTCTCCCTTTCACCGCACCATTTTCCAGTCCAGCATCCCTCCGCCTCTTACGGGAAATCAATCTCAGACGTTCAGATTCGTCTCGCGTGAGATTTATCTAAGTTTTGGAGACCGGTTAACGAGCTCATTCATATGCCATCAATATAGAGCTGGGCCCGGGGTCTTACATAGATCTCAATCCCGATAGCATGCACAACTATCGCCATCCACAAGCTGCCCCCAAAGGATAGCCGAAAACAGCTCCCTATATTCTCCTCCTCCTCTAAGTGTGCCGGCACAACCACGCTGCTGCTCAGGTTCCCACATGTCGGATACACATCCGTGATCACCCTCCGAGTCGCAGTAAAAACGTCCGCGAGCTGCTCACACTTCCATACCTGCATACATGATACAACCTTTAGCAACTAATCAACCCAGATCACCGATCCACCTTCTATCTTACATTCTCATATTTGCGGTTCAACCCAATAACCACCGCACCAGCAATCAGAAACGGCCTACTCGTAATAATGCTCGACATGTACCCCATGCACCTCAGCACCCACTCACGGTGCCGATGCAGCCGCAGCACCCTCGCATTATACCAGCTCATCGCCGCCGCACCCAGCGTCATGGCGCTGAGGAATGCGCAGCTTGTCTGCGTCGCAAAGTCACCGCCGAGGGCCTCTCGCCCTAGTATCATGCCGCTGACACAGCTGAGCGGCAGCAGCAGAAGCAGGATTATGGTGCCGCTGAGACGGTGGAGACCGGGGCTTTTCTGCTGCAGGGCGGGGATGAATTGGAATATCGAGAGGAGCCCGCACGCTATGTATGGTTAGTCCAGCGTCTTGGTAGTATACGTATGGACGTGCGGGGGGTGCCCGTACGCACGATGGAGACGATGTGGAGAATCATCCCGAACCGCTGGAGGGGATGTTGTTCATTAGCCAGCGCTCGCCGGTCGTGTATTTGGTCTGGATGTAGGCGTCGAAGTTTGAGTATGCCCGTGCTCGATCTAGAACAAACATGGCCATTATGCTGCCTGTTATCAGCCCTGTTGTGAAGAAGGTTAGTGGTATACGCATTGGGATTTGATGGGTTTATATACATAGGACCATATTATGGTATCTATTGAATCCAAGACGGCGCTGGAGTGTATAGAGTCGTCTATTAGGGGCTTCGGGCGCCATCTTCAATACTAAGGGTGGTATTGATTCTCTCTATGTTACAGAGCGATAGAAGTGGGAGTATCGACTCATTTTATCTACCAGAAAAAGTAATAACAGTCTCTTCTGCAGGGCGATATGTAGGTACAGGCATTAGTACTCTGCCTATCAACGCCTGTCAGAAACGAGCTACCTACATGTACATATTATGGTCTTATTTTTTTAGGCTGAGCTTCTTGGCTGAATTCACCTGCAGCACCTTCAGGAAATACCAACTGACACTTCTCAGCTCCTATTTCTGCAGACTAAGCGTATTTACATACATATGTGTGAGGTGAATGGAAATTTATCTCGGTGCTGAGCTGGGACGAAAATGATAATTACATGAAGGATGGAAAAAGACGAAAAGAAAAGAAAGAAAGAAAGAAAGAAAGCTTTAAGTTTGCTTTGGGATTCCTGAAACATATGACGACAAGAATCTCCCTAGAGAGCCGTCGAAATCATAGGAGTTTTGTAAGAGATAGGACGCAACCGTTAGAAAGTCGACACCTGCAAGCGGGCCACACAATCTTAACTTAGTGATAACCAGCGCTTGGAGACCTTTCAACTCAAGCTTGTCTGCGAGACAATAGATCTTTGCATGCCTCAACGCTGCTAAAGCAATATCCTCACTTTTAGGAGTAGAACCAAATATGCAAGGAAGGGTCTGAAAGGTCGACTCTATAGACTGAGGAGTGCGATATTGGTCTACTATTTTCTTTACCGTCTTGGAAAAGCCCAGCCTGGGCGCATACTCTTCACTGTAGAGATATTCAAGAACCGACGAGAAGATCTCTGGTTCGTCGTCGGGAAGGAGAACCTCGCGGGTGGTGGCCTCTAAAAACTCGCCGTTCAGGGCTCTTTCGAAGAAGACCGACTTGGAAAGAATGCCTTCGTGTGCGTAGAATGTTTCCTTGCTGCCGACCTTGACCTTGACCATGGCGGTCTGGAAGTGTCTGTTTTATCCCAACGAAGTGAGTTTTATGAAGGAATTAGGATTTTGGTATGTGGTGACAAACTTTTGATAGCTGTTGGCATTGGTGAATAGTCCACCGCAACTGAGGGTTGTTGCTGTCATGGCGGCCGGTAGGTTTGTACCCATCTAGTAGCTCCTTATAATAGCAGCGGGCTGCGGACACTTGGATATGATAGAGGACCGGGTAAGACGGACGGAGGAGTTCAGAAACCACGACTGTATGGTTTGTATTGTATGCGATATACGCCTTGGTTATGGAGGGGTGGGTTGTAAGATTTTTCGAGAGATGTTATTGATGTTTGTTGAATGTGGGTTATATCTAGAGCAAGTGGGGTATTGGATGCCTAATAACTATTCGCGTATGTGCAAGGAACCAATCAAATATGGCCTTGGCATCCATTGGTCTCCGCTGCCAAAAAAGTGGTCAGATTTTACCCGAAGAGACGGCTTCCCCGGAGTTCTTCGTTGTAATCACAGAATATCACTCGGTGCAGGAACCGTCTATAATTATCATGCCAACCAATTCTGCGGTTTGAGAATCGCTAACTATAAGTTGTTCCGACCGTAGTTATGTGAGTAGAAGAAGAAGGAGAAGAAGAAGAAGAAGAAGAAGAAGAAGAAGAAGAAGAAGAAGAAGAAGTATCCCGTAACCTGGTGAGTAGCGGACTAATCACCGTGCTGGTATTCGATCGCTTCGGTGGAGCTTAGCTTCCTCGTCTAATCGGCTCAATCACTGAATGGCGGGTCGAAGTTGGTTATGGCAAGTCATTGCGCGCGGTTATTGTTGTGAATTACTTTGTTACCAACGTCTCATTATTCTGTGGTTCGTGATTTAGTTTTAATGTCAGTGCGCAGTGTGGCGCACCCGTAATACTGATGTTATTAAATTAAAGTTGAGATTCAAAACAACGAAAAATGTATAATATAGTTTGTGACTATGTATAAAAAGAAGATAGGGTCATTGGTCTTATTCTTCATTAATTTTGGGCGCCATTGGTCACTGGGAAAGTCTTCTCTTGGGGAGAGAGGGGGGGGGGGGGGGGGCGCGGGGTTCTCGGTGGTCTGCCATGGTTACATATGGAGAAACGTCTCACTCTGAAATCGGAAGTCACGAACACTTTTGCGGGGTGGCTGTACATGTACTTCATTGGCTCTCTTCCGCTTAAATGTTTTTTTTTTTTTTTTTTTTAATGAAACGAACTACGTCGCATCACATTAAAGAAGGATGCATGTACCAGAATACTAGCCCCGAAAAGAAGCCGTATATTCCCCCTCGACGGTCAGGCACAATTGGATCTGCCCAGTTAGCTGGCCGGAGAAGGCAGCTGCGATGGAAGACACTCCCAAAAATCCTAGAGATATCCTCACTATCAGCATCTTTCCGTGTTTTTGATATCACGGGTCCCATATATGGTTAATTAACCCGACAGATACTAAGTGGGCCTGACCGCCGAGGGGATATATTTTGTTTTTTTTGTTTAATTCATTAATTGCGCCGAGGGGATATATAATGGCAGAAGAAATTCTAGATCTGCTGCCATCATTCGCCCTTAGCAACAAGCTCATCTCGCTGGGGGATATAGCTCCTATCAATTGGGTGGGGATTACTACCGGTATCCTGGGCTGATCAGTTTTCGGAGACCTGCTTGGGTCATGGCCCATCACTCGCTACCACATATCACACTCCGGAAAGAGTTATATCAATAAAAGTCCAAAACCAATTGCCCGCAGATCGCTAACTGAACTATATACCTTGAATACATACATGGCCGCACCTACAGCCTCATCTCCACCCCCTCCCCTTCCCCTTCTCTATCCCACCCCTCCTCCCCCTCCACCAACAACCTCGCCCCCTCCCCACCCCCACCACCCAACCTCCCCGCCGCCTCCCCCTCCTCCTCCCCGTTCAAAACCTCAAAAACATCCTTCTTCGTCAGCAGCCCCTGCAGCACCCCATGCCGCGCAAACAAAACATACCTCAACCCCAACTTCTGGAACAGCCCCGCCACCAACAACAGACTCGCCCCGGGCGCCAGCGTGATCGGCGTCGCGTCCATCCAAGCCCTCAAATCCACCACGCCCGCATCCCCGCGCACCCTCGGCGTCATCGGGAACGGCGACCCCGCCACCGCCGCCGGTGAGCTGAAAACACACTCCGTGTCGTCGCCCGCGCCGCCCCCGCGCCGCGCCTGGTCAAGCGCAAACCGCAGCTCCGACCGCGAGATGTACCCGACGAGGACTGCGTCGCGCGTGTCGGTGACGACGGGGAAGCCCTTGTACGGCTGCGTCGCGAGCAGGGCGTCGAGTGCTGCGAGCGTGTTCCCTTGCTCGGTGATGACGATGAGGTCCTCGGTGCGGGTCATGACCTCGCTGACGGCGACGTCGGGCACGGGGTCCTCGCGGTTGTCGAGGAAGGGGTATTGCTTGAAGCGGATCCAGGACTCGTAGATGCCGCGCTTGCCGAACGCGTCGCCGACCCATTTGGACAGCATCACGGCGATCATGATGGGGAGGACGTAGGTTAGTGCGCCCGTGAGCTCGAACATGATGACGACGATGGACACGGTCATGCGTGTGACGCCGCCGAGGGCGGAGGCGGCGCCGATGATGGCGAAGACGCCCGGGGTGACGCATTCGACGTCGGGCGTGCAGGAGCTGAAGATCCAGGAGGTGGGGTGCGTGCGCTGGAAGGCTTGCAGAACCATGCCCATGCTGCGCCCGTAGAGCGCGCCGATGGCCATGCTGGGGAGGATGATGCCCGCGGGGACCTGTAGGCCGAAGGTGGCGGAGGCGAGGAGGATGCCGAGCACGGAGGAGAGCAGCAGCAGGATGATGGGCGGCGCGGTCTTGTCAACGCACAGGCCGAGCGGGTCTTCGGTGGTCTTTGAGCACTCCTGGAACAGGTCTGCGACGAGCGCAGAGGGCGACGGCCGCATGAAGATGATGGGGAAGTTGATGAGCGCCGTGATGAGCGCGACGATGGTCACCTCGGTGATGGGGTACTTGCGGATGATGGTGGTCTTGCGGTACTGCGCGATGCGCATGTTGAGGCGGATGAAGAAGGCGCCGTAGAGCCCGCCGATCACGCCCAGCACTGCGAACGGGATGATCTCAAAGTCGTGCCAGCCGCGCGTGTACTTGACCTGGTACAGCACGAGCTTGCCCGTGCGGAACGGGTTCATGAACTGCAGCGTGACGGCCGCCACCATGGCCGACACGAACGACTGCCACATGGCCTTGTCGGGGAAGTAGTAGGAGAGCTGCTCGAGCGAGAAGAGGACCCCGCCGATGGGCGAGCCGAACGCGACTGAGATGCCAGCAGCGGAGGCGGCAGAGAGGACCTCGCGCTTACGTGCCTCGTTCTTAGACAGCGAGGGGAACGGCTTCATGAGGATGTTGGCGCAGCAGCAGGCTACGTGCACGAGGGGGCCCTCCTTCCCTAGCCAGAGGCCGGAGGCGACGGCGAGGCACTGGTGGCAGATCAGATGTTAGAATGCGGGACGAGTGAGAGTGAGAGCTGGTGGGTGAGTGAGAATGTGCGATGCAGATAGGTACTAACCAGGCCGAGTGACTTTATGATGAGTGTCTGGGCGCCCATGAAGCGGCGGATCACGAAGCCGCCCAGCACGGTCTTGATCTCGGGGATGCCGGAGTGCTTTGCGTAGATGGCGTAGGTGCCGACGAGCACGCTGGCTGTGGCGGCGAAGAGGATCTGTGTGTGGCCGGAGTGGAGTAGCTGTGTTAGCATACATGTATGTAGTACTGCAAGTATATAGCTGGGGAGAGGTGCACATACGGAAAAGACAATATAGAAGAAATACTCCACCACATACCCGCTCCTCGCCGCGCCCACCGCCGCCCTCCACGGAACCCACTCCCTACACGTCTCCCCCGCTGCACACACACACACCACACCGATCAGCACCCTTCACCCCCCCCCCCCCCCCTCACCCCCTCAAGGAAAAACCTACCCTCAAGCCCCAAACAGCAAAACCTCCTACTGAGATAAAACGCGCCGCCGCAATACCCATGCTTCAAATCCCCCAACCAATTAGTCGCAATATCGATCCCCGCGGCAATCAAGCCGGCCGCAACACCCGTGCACAGCAGCACAACCCACACCTGGCTCGCGTCGAGGAGGCGGCCGAGGCCCGAGAGCGACCGCGTGCGCAGGCGCTCTTTGGCGTACTCGAAGATCCAGTCGATGGCCGTGAGGTCGTCGTAGACGCGCCGGCCGGGGGTGTCGACGTCGTCGGCGAAGTGGGCGGCGGTGGGGGAGGGGGAGGGGAGGGGGAGAGAGGGAAGGAGGAGGCGGGGTGCGTGGGTGTGTGCGTGGGTGGGAAGAGGGTGTAGCGGGTTTGGGGGACGCGGCGCTTGAATGAGAGGCTGGTGGAGGGTGTTAGCACTGGTGCTGCGGGGGAGGAAGGAGCTGTGGGAGGGGGGATTACCCGTTGCTAGAGTCTAGATAGCTTGCGCGTACAGGGTCGTTGGTGTCGGTGTCGGTGTCGGGCGCGGTGCTGGGGTCGGGGTTGGGGTTGGGGTCGGGCGGCGTGGAGGTGCGCGAGGAGGTTGTGGAGGAGGCGAAGCTGAGGAGCGGTGGGGCGGGGGCCATTGTGGCTGTGTGGTGGGGAGGGGAGGAGGGGAGGAGGGGAGGAGGGGAGGGGAGGAGGGGAGGATGGTCTGTGGGACTGAGTGTGGATTGGATTGGTTGGTTGCTATGGAGAGTTGGGACCGGGGTTGAGCTGGGCTTCTATCTACGGAGTGTAGATAGAGGTGGGTGTTTATAGCTAAGAGACTGCCCCCGACTCGGCTGAAATCCCCCCCACCACAACCACCACAGCAGAGTAACTATTCACGACTAACGACTAACGGCCATCTACCAATTAACAGCACCCACCCATCTTCTATCCATCCATCCATCCATCCATCCATCTACAGACTCCCCATACAGCATCCAACCTACACCTCTCGCCGGCCATCAATCTCCCATCCCAGTGATCAACACCAGCATGCCCCCGCCCCCCCACTAAGCTCCACACATACACCCCAACTCACCTCACCTCGCCCCCCCCCCCCCCCCCCCCCCCAATCACATCCATCAAAGTCAAAATGTCGCTCCTGCAACACCAAGAGTACCCCCTCCCCCCTCCTTCCTCCCCCGCGCCAGCCCACACAGCTAACCCCCCCCACCCCACCACAGCTTCGTGCTCTACCGCATCCGCAACCGCTACCTGCACACCATGAAAGACGGCGTCGGCGAGCGCCTCATCAGCATCAACCCCACCGCGCTCACCATCCCCGCCTTCAAGAACGCCGGCTGGGGCTCGCCCACCGAGATCCGCCGCACGTACTCACCGCCCATACCGGTCGGTGCCGAGACGGAGTATTTTGCGCTAAGGGAGGTGGGGGTTGCTGTTGCGAACGGGGCGGCGGGGGGGAATGGGGCCGGGGGAGGGGGAGGAGGGGCGAATGGTAGCCCGCCGCTGTTTGAGGTGCTGATGAGCGGGAGTGCGGGGGGGAGGGAGAGGAGGCGTGCGAGGGAGAGAGAGAGGGAGGCGCATACGCATCGGGAGGTGGATGATAGTAGTGTTAGTGAGGAGAGCGAGGAGGAGGAGGGGGGTACGGCGTATGTATTTGTGTTTGTGGCGGATATCATTGTCTTTTCATCCCCACCTCCATCCGGAGGTGGGTGGTTAGAGCCTTTGCGCAGATGGGGGGCAGCTCTGCTTCCGGGGTTCTCTCAGATACTGCGGATCTAGAGCTGCCCTCTTCTGCGCAAAGCCTCTCTCTATCTATCTACAAGCATACTACAGCGCAGACTAACACCCCCTCCAGCCCCAGCACACGCATCCAATTCGACTTTCCCAAAAAAGAAATCGCCCCGCGCCCGCGCTCCGGCAGCTCCCCCATCCGCTCCGGCCCCCAAGTCCTCGTCACCTCCCCCTCCAAATCCCGCACCCGCCGCCTGCGCGGCGGCTCCCACGGCGACGTCGACTTCGTCAAGAGCACGCTGCACACCTCCAACATCGACCGCCTCCCCGACGCCGACGAAGAGATCCTCAGCAGCGGCATCATCTCCGCCGAGAAGCTCCACGCCCGCATCACAGACCGTCTCCGCTCCTCGCCCAACTCGTCGCTCCCGCGCGACGGCGGCTTCGAGAGCCCCGAAGATAGTGATGATACGGCTAGCATTAGTTCCGACTTCCCCGAGACGGCCGACTCGAACCCGGCCGTGCTGGGCGGCATGGGGATGGGCATGGGCGGGTCCTCGTCGCTGAGCACTGCGATGCGGCGGCTGCCGCCGCAGCACCAGCAGCACCAGCACGACGCGGCAGTCCTGCACGCCCTCCCCCCGCCCATCCGCCCCGTGTCGCAGCTGCAGCCCGTGTCGGCGCTCACGCAGCTGCTCGCAGCCAAGAGCCGCGAGGCCGAGAACCCGCTCGAGAGCTACAGGCTGTTTAGCGGCAAGGGAGAGCTCACGCCGATTACGCTGCACCTGTACATCCCGTACTCGCGCAGCAAGGCGCCCATCGACGTGATCCTGAACCGGCTGCCGAAGCAGCGGGATGGGCAGAACGGCCGTGGAGAGACGACGGTCGCAGAGGCGATCGGGTTCACGCTGTACAAGTATATTGAGGACAAGCGCGAGCCGGCGCTGACGGAGGAGCTGTGCGATATTAATATGTGGACGTTTAGGATGGTGGATGATGGTGAGCCGGATGAGGACTTTCCGCCACTGGAGAGGACGCAGCCTGTGACGGCGTATATTGTGAAGAAGACGGGGCGCGGCGGGCGCGGCGCGCGCGATATGAAGATGGAGGGTGAGTTTGCGATGGTGCAGGCCACGCCAGAGCAGTATGTCGAAAACTGCCGGGCGACGCCTACAGAGCGGCGGAAACCCTCCACCACCGCCGCCTCCATCACCGCGCCCACCGCTGTAGCCACCACCGCCCCGCCCGGCGGCGCTGTCCCCACTACAACCCCCGCGACCCCCAGCACCCCAACAAACACGACCATCGGCCTCGCCGCAACCACCGACCACGCCACGCCCGCGACAAAAACAGGCCCCAGCAAGATCATCCGCATCCACATCAGCACCATCGACGAGTTCGCACAGTCCGTCTCCGTCTGCGTCACCAGCGACACCTTCATCGCCGAGGTCCTCGACCAGGTGTGCCGCAAAAAGCACCTCGACAAGTCGAAATACATCCTGCGCCTCACGGGGCACCCGAACGTCATCTGGCCGCTCGAGCGCACTGTTGCGGCGCTGGGGGACCGCGCGGAGCTAGACCTCGTGAAGAAGAAGATGTTGCCTGCGGGGGCGGTGCCGGCGGTGGCGGCAGTGCTGCCGCTGCAGACGCAGACACAGCTCCCCGCACCGGTCCAGGAGGAGGAGGAGAGCGGTAGGAGGATGCGGTATCTGCAGCCTTCGGCGGCGTGGGCGCCGGATATGCTTGGCAGTCGTGATTACCTGGTCTGTCTTCCCCCCCCCCCCCCAACAAAGCCAAAACTAACAGTAGGGCAGAAATACACCGTCTGGCGCAAAGCCGGCATGTCGTTCATGTCGCGGCACGAGCGCATCCTGGCCATCGACGGCGAGTACGTGCACATCATGCCGTCGCTCGCGCAGGACAGCAGCAAGACGACGAGCATCCACATCAGCACCATTGTCGGGTGCAAGACGTATCGCAAGCAGCCGAGCCTGTTTAAGATTGTGGTGCTGCGGCCGCAGCGGGAGATGAAGCGGTATGATTTCGAGGCGGTGAGTGCGGAGCAGGCGGTGGAGTTGGTGGCGGCGCTGAGGGAGGGGATGGGGCGGTTTGGGTTGCAGTAGGGGGTGTGAGGAGTGGGGGTGGTGGTGGTGGTGTAGTAGCAGCTCTGGACTTGTGTCCAGCCAGCGTGGTGGGCTGCCGTTCTCATGTAGCTACATAGATCATACACGCTGTCTGAATTGACGGGTATTCACATATTTACATGTGGCTGTAGTCAAGTAACGATCTCTCAATCTCATGGGTGAAAACGTAGGGCTGTAGTTTGCTTAAACATTTTGCATAGTCTACATGTATCATGTGTTCCGTACATATGCAGAGATACATACATATCATATGATCGTTACATACAAGTATGTGGTCGAAGCTAAGGTCCAACTGTATGTTTCAATGGCTGGCCTGTGGATCATGAGTTGTCACTCGGTCGTTGGAGACGTCTACATGCTGTAATTTTTTTTGGTATAGTTCATTGATTACTATACTATAAAAGAGTATGGTCTAAAAAAGGTTTCGCCAAACCGGCCTAATCCTACATCCGGGCCTGACACCAGGGAGACCGATTGGCCAAATAATGAGCAAGAAGCTGAAATAGTTTTTAATATGCGATTTTAGGCCAGTCAGAGAGAACTCCAATCGATACTTTCGCCCCCTCCAAAAAAACCGAAAATGGGGCAATAAATACACAAAAAGCAATGCTGTGACCATACGCGCCTCACTGGCTACAGGCCCAATTCGCGATATTGAACGCTGCTCCCAGTTACATGACGTACACCCCACTTTTCTAGAGCATTACTCCCACCCCCGGGGTCGAACCCATGACCTCCGGGCGGTCATGGTGGCTCAACGCACGCGGTGTAGTAACACGAGGCGTCTACCACTAGACTACCTCGCCCACATAACTGTCAGAGGGCGGGAAGTAGTACTTAAGGGAGTGAGGACAGAGCGGGATAGGGGGACACCTAACCCTAAAATCATACTCTGCATACCACGAACCCACTGGGTATACTCTTGTCGGATTGTATTATTCAATGCTGTCCGCTCGTTAATCCTCATTAGCCGGTGCTCGAATCTTTCTTTTGATGCTGGGCTGTCATGAAAAGTAAAGAAAGGGCCACATACATATCGTGGGCCCACTGGAGCGGATCCCATCTGGCCGTGGCCACGGCTGCATATTTGTGAGAAGGACAGTTGATTGGAATGTTAATATAACGTTAACTACAGCCAACATATACGTTTTGCTTGCCGTGACGCTGCCACATCTACGTGTATGTACGTAGCGGACCAGCTGTCATCTTTGTGTTCCTAGTATAAGACGCCTGAATCGAGCCCCTTTACAGGCCTTTCCGGTAAACCCACCGTCAGACAGACGTCTCCAAGACTTTCCAAAATGCTCGCACGCCCAGCCCCAACCTATATAGCCACACCTGACCGTAACGCCGACCAAGTCGACCTTGAGATTGTGGATATGGGAGTCCATCCTCCTAGCGACAGGCCGGAAGGGAAATACTTTTTTGGAGCGGCATCCTACTTTGAGTCTGTGATCACGTCTTCCCAATCGATACCCTATTCTATTGCAGCCAACTAATGCACAATTACCTACAGTAAATTCCAGAGCCCGATAGTCCCGGTCGTAGTCGGTGAAGCCGAGACTGCTCACACCTTCCTCGCGCACAAGTCAATTCTTTGCAAATCCCCCTTCTTCGACTGCGCCCTCAACGGCAGCTTTAAAGAGGCCAGGGAGAACATGGTCACGCTCCCTGAAGACGACCCCAAGGTCTTCTCGTCCATCCTTGAGTATCTGTACAGCGATGAATATTCTCCCCGGATGATTACCAGAATCGGCGCCAGACCCCAGCCACAAGCGTCGTCGTCAGCATTTGCCAACCTCTTTGGGCACCCTGTGCCATATCGCATTGGCACCGACGGTGTTTTTGAGCCGGGGTCGCCAGTGCGGTCAGCGCCTGCCCCGCGGCAGATGCAAAACTACACACCAGTGAGAGAGATTGAGGGCTACGATGGGACGGAGAACCCTGAGCAGCAGTGTGAGGCGGCGTTGAGGCATGCGATGATCTACTGTATGGCGGAAAAGTTTGGCATGAATAGGCTACAGACGTTGGTGCTGGAGAAGCTAAAGCTGTGTGGACCCGTCAAGGATGTGTTGTTTGTCAAGGTGGCTGCATACTTGGTTGAGAATGCGTCGGATGTGGATGGGCAGTTGACGGAGTTTTTGACGCCCTATATTCCGGGTATTCCGAAGCCGCAGCCAGCGGTACCGATATCAGTGTTAGAGCAGTAGCCGTCGACGGTACTATACTATATTGTCACGGCTAGTTTTATAGTTGTCAACTGCGGATATGTGTATTCATTATTTAGTTTACACTATGATTAAGATACAAGTATTACAAAATTGCACTATTACTGCTACCTTAGTGAAACTGTGCTTTCTGGTTGAGGAATGGATTTATTGACTTTAAACGTTTGCAAACATGGAAAGTGGTGATTTTCAAATCAACACAGTGTATGCAATTAATGAATTAAACAAAAAAAAAAAAATCAATACAGCGTTACATCCTCTTCACAGGATCTCACTCGTCCAACCCTGCTGACATAATCCAGAACCCCCACCAAGCCAGTTACCCGGGGCGCCTCAACCCTGCAACACCCCCGGTCCAAAAAACTCGCCCAACCCACATATTTTTTTCGCAGTATTAAAAAGTTCCACCATACACTAATTTTTCTGCGCCAACACAGCACAGACAGCTATGGCGCCCTCACAAACAATGCTCAAAACGGATTTCAAGCCGTCAAAGGTCATCCAGCCGTTCTACACGGGCGGCAAAGTCGCACTCGACCGCAACGGGCGGATACTGGTCACGACGCTGGGCGAGGATGTGCTGGTGACAGACTTTGAGACGGGCGACGAGCTGGCGAGGATCGAGGGTGTGAGTATGCGCGCCGCCGGCAGGTCTTTTTTTATGTGTGTGCTGTGTGTGACGGAGGCGCTGACTAAATGAATTGCTGGTGTGTTTGAATTGTAGGATTCGGAGCAAGTCACTACGTTAGCTCGTGAGCATTACCTACCCCATTGACCGTCAATAAGGGTACAGAAAGCTGATGTAGGTACTGTGTGATGCTGTAGTTACGCCTGACGCCTCATACTTGATCATCTGCTCCCGCTCCTACACAATGCGCATCTACACGCTGTCCATCGACTCCGACCTCGAAAAGCTCACCGTAACACCCACGCTCCAGCGCTCCATGAAGGCGCACACGTCGCCCATCATTGTCGCCGACACGGACCCGACCGGCACGCTGCTGGCCATCGGCGCGGCGGACGGCCTCGTGAAGGTCTGGGATATCAAGGGCGGGTATGTCACCCACAACCTGCACGGCCATGGCGGTGTCGTGTCAGCGCTGCGATTCTACGCGCCGGAGAGCGTTGGTGCGCCGACGCAGGCGGCGGCGGCAAAGAAGGGGGGAAAGAAGGGGAGGAGCGATGCGGGGGAGATGGGGTGGAGGCTGGCGACGGGCGCGGACGATACGAAGGTCCGGGTGTGGGATTTGGTGAAGAGCACTTGTGTGGCGGTGCTGGACTCGCATGTGAGTGTGGTGCGGGGGCTGGACTGGTCGGCGGATGGAAAGACGCTGGTGAGTGGTAGCAGAGATAAGGTTGTGTGTGTGTGGGACACAAAGAGCTGGAAGCTCAAGGGGACCATACCGGTTCTTGAGGAGCTGGAGATGGTGGGCTTTTTGGCGCCGGGGGCGCTGCGGATTCAGGGCGAGGAGGAGGAGACTATGGGAGATAGCGTTATCTACATGGGCGGACGGAGGAATCGGATACGGCTGTGGGATCTCAGGGCCGGGAAGGAGATCACACGGAGTAGTGATGATGAAGAGGCAGAAGACGATGACGAAGAGCGGGAAGCTGATGGAATTGTCGATATCATGTCAGTATCCATTTTACTCTACTCAGGAAGAAGCGTACGCTAGCTAACATCCGCGCAGCTACCACAAGTCACTGCCCTCTCTCATCTCCATTCATAACGACCAAACAATCCTCGTAAACTCCCTCACACTCCCTCCCACCACCACCACCCTCCCCGTCACCCGCCGTGTCTCAGGGCACCACGATGAAATCATAGACCTCGCATACCTCACCCCCACCGACACCCTCGTCGCCCTCGCCACAAACTCAGAAGACGTGCGCATCGTCGACCTCACCAAGGGCTTCGGCGACGTCGGCGTCCTCCGCGGCCACGGCGACATCGTCATCTGCCTCGACCGCGACTGGTCCGGTGTGTGGCTGGCCACCGGTGGAAAGGACAATGAGGCCCGTCTATGGCACATTGACGGCGACAAAAGCGAGTTTACCTGCCACTCACGGTTCGTCGGGCATGCGGAGAGCATTGGTGCCATCGCGCTCTCTAGGGCTGTGCCGCAGGCCGAAAGCAAAGCGGCAAAGAGCTTTGCGCCGCCAAAGTTTGTGATCACAGGGAGCCAGGACCGCACGATAAAGAGGTGGGATATCCCGGCGCCAGGAAAGAAGGCAAAGGCGATGTATACGAGGAAGGCGCACGAGAAGGATATCAACGCCATTGACGTGTCTCCGGATGACGAACTGTTTGCGTCGGCCTCGCAGGACAAGACAGTCAAGATCTGGTCGGTACAGGAAGGCGAAGCGCTCGGTGTCCTGCGAGGCCATCGTCGCGGTGTGTGGTCTGTCAAGTTCGGGCCCGCATCTGTGACTGGTGCCATCGTTGGCGGCGCCGAGGGCGCCAAGGGCGGCAGAATGGTGGTCACGGGAAGTGGCGACAAGACCGTGAAGCTGTGGAGCTTGACGGATTACAGCTGTCTGAAGACATTTGAGGGCCATACAAACAGCGTGCTAAAAACTGTCTGGCTGAGTGGTGGGCTGCAGGTTGGAAGTTCCGGCGGAGACGGACTAGTCAAGGTCTGGGACGTGAAATCCGGAGAGTGCAACGCTACTCTGGATAACCACGAAGACAAAGTACGTGAAAATTACCCTAACTCTTTATTCCGCGCAAACTAACACCCCGGCAGGTCTGGGCCCTAACAGTCCGTAAAGACGACCACGTCCTTGTCTCCGGTGGCGGCGACTCCGTCGTCACTTTCTGGGAAGACATCTCCGAGAGCACGCGCCAAGAAGCCTCCAAGCTCGAATCCGAGCTCATCGAGCAAGAGCAGAAGCTCCAAAACTACATCCACAACTCCGACTACCGCTCCGCCATCACGCTCGCCCTCGGCCTCAACCACCCCGGACGGCTACTCTCTCTCCTCACCGCCGTCACTACTACGTCGCCCGCCGAGCCAAACTCCATGTCCGGGCTCGCCGCGGTAGATGAGGTCCTTGCGTCGCTGGGTGATGAGCAGCTGTTTGTGCTGCTTTGCCGCGTCCGCGACTGGAACACGAATGCAAAGACGGCAAGCGTGGCGCAGAGGATTCTATATGTGATTGTCAAGAGCTACAGCCCGCAGCGGTTGATAGAGCTGAAGGGGGCAGCGCAGGTGTGGGACGCGCTGAAGAGCTATACGGAGAGGCACTACAGAAGAGTGGAAGAGCTGGTGGAGGAGAGCTATCTTGTGGAGTATACACTACGGGAGATGGAGGACGTATTTGGAGATGATGGAGTGACAGGCGATGAGATTATGGTTATGTAGCTAGGAGGTAGGGGTGCTTTAGAACTGTAAAATTAGTGAAATGTATCATAATAGTGATGAACGGAATAAAAGTTATTGGCTTTGGGGCATTAATAATTTACTGTCCTGCCACAAATGATCGGCATTACTGCTATACCAAAGGAATCCTCCGATATTCTATTCGTGCGGCTAACGCTGCGACGGATTAGTTGCGCCCAGAGGCTAGCAGCCGAGTGATATTACATGATTGGCCAATGTGGTTAGACGCACTTCCTCGTACTAACTTGGAATATTCTCAGGCTGTTGGTGATCGAAGCTTCGTTATCTGAGGTCTAGAGGCTCTATTACTCTTAATGCTCCAGTGAAGGAGGATGAGATGATTGGACTCAGTCGATACTGAAGTTTAAGTTTATCTAATTACAGGATCTCTAAACTACATGTCACACATGCTTAAACCAGCTGCCACAACCACGTATACCTATTCCTCTAACCTGTCCCGGCCTGTGTGGCCATAATGTGCACAATATTTAGACACTACTAGAACGGCCTGATCGTTCAATATTGGACGCAGCGACATTGCACCGAGATTTGCTAATCTGCTCCTGGTAGTGAGCAGGCCTAGGGGGTTATATTGTAGAGTTCTATTTGCGGAATTCTCGTCTTCTCGTGTTATTTGTGAGAATTCATTACTTGTCCATAAGTGGTAATATTCGGGCATTAGTATCTATAGGTCGCACTTTGTTTTAGGAGTACTTTCTCTCCGTCTCGTTATAAGAGGATCTCTCGACCCTAATCCTTTAGTTCAACGAGTTAACATAACCTATTCTTCGAGTCTCTTTTATCGAAGGAAAGTTAAAGCCACAATATTAAAGAGTTACGAGACCGGCTTGAGCCAAGACGCGGATAAAACTTCCCCAGATCAAAAGCCGAACAAGATTAGACGCACGTGTCCGGAGGATTCTACGGAATTATCCTAATTGCAAAGCCTCCATATATACGCCCTCCTCTTCACCTCTCCTTACCAGGTTCTGACGTGTTGCACAGAGTTGAGATCGGCGCTTCATCACAGATAACCAGCTAGATATAGGGAGCGCAACGTATTTAAATTGTGCCAAATTCGGCTTCCGCTTTGACTACTATATATCTCTTCTTCTCATATCTTAGGCCGGGAGTTTCCCCATGAACAAGGGCCCTCCGGAGCGCGGAATGTTTGCTGGGACGGGGAGGATTTAAAACTTGAGCCCCAATTATAATGTTCAGTAATCATTCCGCACTCTACATTAATGCGATACCCGGCACACCTGCCGCGCCGGTGCCGAAGATCTCAACCTACAACCCCATCTGAAAAGAGCCTAAATCACAAAGGGGAAGGTTATTTTTTGGAAAAGCCATTAGCATGACCCTCAGATCAGATATCAGCTCACGGCAGCATCGGCCTGTGGAGGCGGTCCTCGGGTTGAATACTTGCGATGGAATGCACGCTGGGATAGATGGAGGGGCATGTAAGGAATGGCATATGGGATGGAGCCTCCGAAAATGAGTAAGATGTGACCGCGGTCGTACTTGTCCATTGATGTGGAAGAAGCTAGCTGAAATCGTATCGTTGCCAATATATCAATTGCAACTACTACGAACCTAGGAGCTAGCCCAAGTAACTACATGTACATGTAGCTGCCCGCAGTGTCCATCCACGATACAAACACATCAATTCTTCCTCGCTGCGAAGAGAACCACCATGAACATTGTGTGAACATGTAGTGCCTGGCATTCAATCACATGCCAGCATCTCTCACCCAATGCGAAACCCATCGAAACTCGGCAGGCTCAATTCCCCTGTCATTCACCCCGGGAGAGTGATATATGCATGTCCACGAAAAAGGCCCTGCATGGGTACCGTCTGTCATTGCAAGGCCTTATTATAAGGCTTATTCACAAGTTAAGCTTTCAATTAGCCTATTTCCCCACATTTCGCTACTTACTCAAGTGGCTGCGATTTCCTCTCAGCCTATTTTCGCGTCCCTCCGATCAATGATGCAACGCCCGGCCGGCAGGAGACAGCTGGGCGGGCAAGCGAGATGCCCATCGGAGGCACCCCACATCATAGAGACGGGGATCAACACCATGCCCCCTGTATGCTTCAGGAAGCTGCCTAGAACAAACCTCTCAACCGCAGTTTTGCAGCAACATCTAACCGGTTAGGCTAGACTAGCCACTACAGGTACTCTACTTCATTGCTTTGGGTAATGATTTCTAGGACGAGAAAATTAACAACCACCCTTCTTTGGATCTTGAGGCCTTGAGCACGTCCCCATCTGTTCATCCTCTCTAGCTATGGATCTCGCTATTTCCGGTCGATCGACGGGGTAAATCCGGTCTCGTCCCCGGGGATGCAAGGTACAGAGCTCCCGAGGAATAACTACATGCCGTAGAACTGCCTGTAATACATATAGAGCTTTACCCAGCATAACTCTGGAGATACTCCGGGGGATGCCCCCATTACCAGCAACTTCGGGAGCAACTCAGCCGGGCTTTGATTTATGCTTTGCGGGGTACCTAGCTAGTTAGCATAGTAATGGCTCCTGGAGGGGCCGAATGGATGGGGAAGCCCCGGTGGATATCATAGCAATGCAATTCTATCATTATCAATACTTAACCCAGCGGCCCCGTCATTCAATTCGGTCCAAGCAAGCTTCAGCAGCATCTCAGTCCAGAACCTGAACAAGTAAGCCAGCTTTTCAAAATGGGCTTTACTAAAGCTTTCAAGCTCCTCATGGGCCTTGCCGCCCTCCCCACCCTCGTCCACAGTCTTGGTCTCACTGTCTCCACCACTGGTGGTAATGCCTCTAGTCCTCTCCTATACGGGTTCATGTTTGAGGTCAGTCTACCCCACCACTGCCTCCCCGCCCATCAATTAACATACTAACAAACCATAGGATATCAACCACTCTGGTGACGGTGGTATCCACGGACAGCTCCTCCGCAACAACGGTTTCCAAGGCACCACCGCCGACCTCACCGCCTACGCCGCCGTCGGCAGCGTCACCCTCGCCGTCGACACCGCCCACCCTCTCTCCTCGGCCCTCCCCAAAGTCCTGCGCATCGACGTGCCCTCCGGCACCACCGGCCAAGTTGGCTTTTCCAATGCCGGTTACTGGGGTATCCCCGTCAAGAAAGACACATACGCATGCTACTTCTGGGTCGAGGGCGCCTACACTGGAGACGTGACGGTGAAGCTACAGTCTGTGGCAACGGGAACGGTGTTCGGGAGTAAAGCTGTTGCGGTCACGAGCGTTGCTGGCACATGGAAATACTACGAGACGACTTTCACGGCGAGTGCGGCGCCGGATGGTGATAATGTCTTTGTGGCTACGGTTGATGCAGCGAAGGTGTCAGGGAGTATCTACTTTAACCTGTTCCAGCTCTTCCCTGTCACATATCACCAGAGATACAACGGGCTCAAGCCCGATATTGCGGGGGCGTTGGAGAATGTGAAGGGGTCTTTCTTGAGATTTCCCGGTAGGTGCTTGTGGAAATTGAGTTTTCGCTCCCATTGAGTTTCTCGGGGTATTGTTACTGACATAGTATCTATGTGCCTTTAGGTGGTAACAATCTGTAAGATTGCTCGATACCCTGAAGTAATCGTTCTGAAATAAATGCTGACCGAATTACAGCGAAGGTGCAACTCTCGCTAGAAGATGGAAGTGGAACGAGACGATTGGACCCGTCCACACCAGACCTGGCCGTCAAGGTTAGTGATTTCAGAAAATGTACACCTTTACTATATACAATACTAACATGTTCACCACCAGGCGATTGGACCTATGCCAATACTGATGCTCTCGGCCTCCTCGAGTACCTCTACTGGTGCGAAGACATGAAGCTCGTCCCCGTCCTCGGTGTCTGGGCCGGTCTCACTCTCGGCGGCGGCGTTACCACCGGTACTGCCCTTACTCCCTACATCGACGACGTTCTCAAGGAAATCGAGGTACCTATCCCTCTCTCCCCCCCCTCTCCCTTCACTCTCCCACTAACAAACCCACTCAAGTACATCACCGGCTCCACCAGCACCACCTACGGCGCTCTTCGCGCCAGCCACGGCCGCACCGAGCCCTTCGCACTAACACACGTCGAGATCGGCAACGAAGACTTCCTTCAAGGCGGTCTCGCCAGCTACGCCGCCCGCTTCACCGCCTTCCACGATGCCATCAAGGCAAAGTACCCCGATATCATCATCATCGCCAGCACCGACCAGGGCCTGCCAAGCCCCAAGCCCGCCGGCATGTGGATCGACATCCACTACTATCTACGCCCCGACCAGTTCGTCGCCCTCTTCAACACATACGACAACTACGACCGCAACTACGGCATCTTTGTCGGCGAGTACGCCTGCACAAAGTCAAATACCGGCGCCACAAATTGGTGGGCAACACTCATCGGCGCCGTGTCCGAGGCCGTGTTTATGATTGGTATGGAGCGCAACAGTGATGTGGTCAAGATGGCGGCCTATGCACCGCTGATGCAGCATTTCAACTCCACGCAGTGGGCGGTAAGCCCGATCCCCCTTTCCCAATGGTAATAGTAGCAACAGCTAATCCCGCTCTGTAGCCTGATCTCATTGGATACACATCCGACCCCAGTTTCCTCACCCTCTCCACCAGCTACTACGTTCAACAGGTTAGTCTCACCCTTCATAGAGAATCACTCGATGACCAACCCTAACCCTAACTAACATCACACACAGATGTTTTCCGTCAACCGCGGAACCACGATCCTGCCCGTCACCTCAGACACCGGCTTTGGACCTGGTATGTATCCTTCCTCTTGATTACATCTTGTCCTTGTAGCCAGTTTTCTAATACATACAAACAGCCTACTGGGTCGCGTCCAAGAACGACAATACCGGAATCTACTACGTCAAGCTGGCCAACTACGGAGCCACCGCGGTCTCTACGACCATCACGATCCCGGGCACGACGTCAGGATCGGTCACGACGTTGACGGGGCCGGCATCCGACTCGATTAATCTGCCAAAGAACGCGCTTGTGGTGCCGGTTACAACGGCGATTACGGGCAGCGCGGGTCAGTTTACGATCTCCTTGCCGGCTTGGTCGGTGGTTGTTGTTGCGGTAAAATAAGCGCTGGATTAGGGGTTTTTGAGTGCATATATGTATGTAGAAGTGAGCTGGTAGTGGTGGTGGGGGCGGAGGCGGAGGCGGAATAAAATGTGTTGCAGATATGGTGCCCGTGATCTGTAGAAGCCGTGATGCGTTTGTGAGAGGGTTGAAAGAGATGGATGTCGGATGGAGGTCTATACAGTGACATGTTCTGTCGGTTATATCACATAAGTGCCCTGGTGCTTTTTCATATATTTACCGGAAATCAGTAAGGGCACACTGCCTCTAGGATCCAAGGTAAGACATTCTCGATGGAAAAATTCCAGCAATCACTCCTAGCTTTTAAGTGACAGGACCGAAATCGAGTTTGGTTCCGACTACTAATATGTGGCCCACATTATCATAACTTCGCTAGAATAAGCAAGATCCAATATATATCATGTTATTGAGCTAGAAATACATGGTAAAACTAGTTGCTTTACTCCAAAAGAAACTCACCGCCAGATACCATAAATATTTTGTTACCATATATAACTCTTATTCAGCGTATTCAATATATGAGAAAGCACGGATAAGAGGCCCTGTGTTCCCCGACTACCCAAGCTCGTCAACCACCAATTTTCCGTCGACAATTTTCGGTCCGTTCTCACTCATCAAGCACCGTACGTAGTAGCTTTCGGCGCCTGCAAAGACCAGCACATGCACATCTCTCCTTCATTGGTAATCACCACAGTAACGCAAAATTGTAAATTTACCATCGTCACAAAGTTATATAACCCAATGGCAACGAAAAGGGCAGGTTGAAATGATCTTGGTAATCCTTAGTGCCACTCGTCGTACAATATTCGACAACCCAACTGAGTCATCGAAAATCATTCGATGATTGACACCAACGATCCCAAGGCGCTTTTCTTTGGACTATGGAAGTAGGGTGGAAATCTGTGTTGAGACAAGGCGCATCCGCTTGTTTTGGGGCAACCCTTCTTGAAGCCCTTGGGCTGGAAAGGATGGTTGCAGGAATCACTGGAAAAGGCAGCAGAGTGCAGCCTGACCTCTGCAGATCCGGGCGTATGCTGACCACGTTGCCGAGATCCTCCGTTCAGAGACTTGGGGGGGAAATCTTCAGAAAAACCAGAAGCAACTCTTCCAGAGGAATACGCCGAATTCGCCGACGTATTCAACATGGACTAAGCCGCTGCCCCTGCGCCCCCGCCCACGGAGTCGAGATCCCCGTGACGCCGATCCCGATGTCTCCTGAGCAGCGCGAGCTTGAGAAAAAGCAGTTGACCGAATGGAAGTCTCACGGCTGGATCGAACCATCGTCCAGCAGCACCGCCGCCGCCCCGTTCTCCGTCAAGAAGCAATGCACGGTCTGCCACCAGATCCGCTGCACCTGCGGACAGAAGAAGAACGAGCACCGCTACATGATCGACTTCAGGCCACTCAACGCCTTGACACCGCAGGACGCCTACCCGCTCCCGTCCAAGGCGGAGCTGATGTCCCTCGCCGCCGGTCACCGTTGGTACACCAAGCTCGACATCGGCGCGGCGTTTCACTTGGCTCCGTTGCCGCCGCCAGCCGCGCAGCCACCGCCTTCATCACATCGGAAAGGCTGTACCAATGGAAGGTCATGCCGTTTGGCCTCAAGAACGCGCCCGCCACCTTCCAAGTGGGTGGTCGACGTCGTCTTCTCTCCGTGCCGCCCCTTCTCCCGCGCCTTCCTCGACGCCGTCCTCATCCGGGGCGACTCGAAGGAGGAAGTGGTCGAACGCACCCGCCTGGTTCTTGCTCGCTTCCGTGACACCGGTCTCCGTGACAATCTCCAGAAATGCCGCTTCCACGTCCATGAGCTTGACTACCTCGGTCATGTAATCTCGGAAAAAGGCATTGCCGCCGACCCCGCCAGGACTCAGGCTATTCGTGACTTCGAGGTCCCCCGACATCCGTGCCTTTCTAGGCCTTACTGGCTACTACAGGGAGTATGTAAAGGATTACGCTCGCCTCGCCCTACCGCTTGCGGACCTGACAAAGAACGACGCCCCGGCCACGCACCAGTCCCTGCCTCAGGAAGCCTTTGCCGCGTTTCGGGCCCTGCAACGCGCCTTCTGAGTATGTACTTGTAGCCCTAACAAGGGTGACTGTTATATGGGGCAAAAGGCTATGCTGATTTTCGGGAGTGTGTTCAGCACAGGTAGAACTAGAATAATTTAACTGTGTAACTTAATTTAGCTTACCCGCACATGCTAGCGTGGGCCCTTTTTTTGTTTAATTTATTAATTGCGTGCTGGCGTGGGCCCTAGTGACATTAATTACATACACCACGTACTCTACGTGTATACGTACAATATGTAGGTACATGTGGTCTGCGAAGTTTCTTAAGCATGATAGATGTTCACCTGTACGTAGCCGTAATCTATAACAAGCCCATGCTTTGCCACAACAAGAAGCTTGTCAACTTAACTTCGAATTCGCCAACATTTTCATCAGTTCGTTCCTGAGATAGATGAAAGAACAAAGCTACACGCACCTCACACTCACGACCTTCGATATGTTGGTGTACTTAACGTTATGGAAGAGATAACGTATATATAACGAAAGAGTACTAGTGCACCCAGAAGAATGTGACGGGTTGTGGCAGAGTTGATTGCTTAGGGGAATTTTCTTACCCGTATGCGCGTAGGTCTTGCTTGACCCTCGAGCCCTCTAGGTCTAGGGCTATTAATTGATTGAAGGTGAGAAAGTAATGTATGTTCTTAATTTTGGGATCGGACATCATGGAGAAAGGGCCCGTAATTTCATGTATTTACATATATGCATGGTATATACTCAATGTTCTCCACATGTAGTAATGCCCGCACGATGGCTACATGCACATGCATGTAGCTTTCAATTTGAAGTTCACCTCCGGGCCAGCGCGGCGCCAGGAATATGACCCTCGCAAAAACCTGCACCTCTATCATTACCCCATCCTGGGCGCCACATGGCCCAAGCGCCCAACGTCCACCCCGGGTAACCTGAGCTCTCGGCCACGCCAACCGGGTAACTAGCCCTCCTCGGCTATCCCGCCAATCAGTGACATAAGCCCGTACCACCACACCGCACCCACACCCACCCCCAGACTAACCTCGTGGGTGTGACAGAAGCTCTATCATGTTGTAGAGCCGCAACTCCACGGCCAACGCATCATAGCTTGTGGGAGCTTCGATAAACAACAACAAATCGTCTCACAACCCAACAAACAAAAACCAGCAATGGCGTCCGCAGACACCCAGAGAGAGCAGGAGGCGCAGAATAGATTACCCACTGAAGAGGAGGAGGAGGAAGAGGAGGATCAAGAAAGCGATGACGAGGAAGAAGAGCCAAGACTTAAGTATACGCGCTTGACCAGAAACCTTGGTGGCGTGTATAGGAATGGTGATGCGGTCTCGGCCAGTGTGGTTTTTGGAGAGAGAATGGTATGACCGCATCAACGACATGTCACATTGACGTTTGGAGCTTCGAGAGCGCAATCTCTAACCCGTGCGTAATAGATAACAGGGACGCATAACGGAAATATCGTGAGCATTTATACCTGTCTACCCTCCACCACCTGTCCAGGTCGACTATTGACACCATCTAGCATATCTTAACGCTCCCATCGCTCTCGACCCTCCGCGTCTACCACGCTCACTCCGCCTCTATAACCAGTGTCTCGATATCCCCACCTCCTTCACCCCCCCTCCCACCGAACATCCGCGCCCAGCTCCCACCAACACACGACCGGCACACACATGTCGCAACAGCCTCCATTGATGGCCTCGTATGCATTGTCCCGCTCCTCCCAGCTAACCCGGGCTCAAATCCTACAACCACCCCCTACGCCAAATCTGAAATCATCCTCAAGAACTTCAAGCGACCCATCACTGCTGTGGCCCTCTCGCCCAACTTTCGCACAGATCGTACTTTCCTCTCGGGTGGTCTCGCTGGGAACCTTATCCTTAGCGTCGCGCCCCCGGCCGGCGGTGGCGGGTGGATGGGACTTGGCGGTAGTAGTGGAAAAGATACAATTCTGCACTCGGGAGAGGGCGCGATTAGCGCAATTGCATGGAGCAAAGAGTCGCCGCGGTTTGTTGCGTGGGCCAATGAGCGTGGTATTAAGCTGATGCGCTCACATATCATCCCACCGGAGATCAAGAAGGAGGCACCCGAAGAGGGAACAGCAACGGGGGCGGGCACAGGGGCTGCGGCGGCTGCGGCTGCGGGGTTGGGGGATGTGGTTGGTATAGCCAATGGCCTGATTACGGCTGGATATCCAGGTGTGACGAGCTGGATTCCGGGTTTGGGAGTCACTGGGAAGCCTGTTGGTGATGTGGCGTGGAAGCGCATTTCGGCGATTGAGCGCCCGGAAACTATCCCGGAGGATATGGCTGCGGTTTATAAGCCCAGACTCGAGTGGATTGATCGCAGGAATCTGACACAGAACGATGTGGACGGGCTAGACACGCACAGTACAGCGGACGACGTTAGTCCTACAGCGGTCAAAGGAAAGCCTTCGCTAGGCATTGACTGGGGCCAGAAAGAGAAGCTAGTCATTGGTTGGGGAGGTACAATCTGGGTTGTAGATGTATTTGCGGGGGATAGCAACAGCGAGGAAGAAGAACGGGGCGCTGGATGGGCAGAAATTGTGCATATGTGGGTTTTCTATCATTGACATTTTATTCACTGGACAGTGCTAACAATTATTTACAGTTTACAAACTGACTGTACAATCTCCGGCCTCACTCTATACACGCCCTCACTTCTCCTTCTTCTCGCACATCTCACATCCGATGTCTCTCCGCCCGGCACTCCTCCGTCAGAACCCTCCTCTGCTAAAATCGGCCCTCACGCCCGCCGCGGCCGCTCCAACGCCCTGACCCCCGAGCTCCGTTTCATAGACCTCAATACTTCTGAAGAGCTCTCTGCCGATGAGCTCATGATGAACCGATTCGAAGGGCTCTCTGCCGGCGACTACCACCTTGGTGTTCTCCCTGCGACGCCTGCCCCACTCCTCACAGCTCCAACAGACGAAAACAACGACTTCTCCGGTGCTATAGCACTTGCGGGCGGTCTCTGGAACGCGGGCGTAAACGCAACCCAGATTCTCTCCAGCGCAACCAGTGTCCGTAGCTTCAGCACCAGTGTCTCTCGTCGGGAAAGCTTCAGCGCCTCGTCATTCATCGGTATGGGTATTGGGCGCGGGCCCCCAGTGGCCGGGCGCGTAGTAAAGGTAGAGGATAATGGTTGGGGCGAAGAATTCCCCGGGAAAAAAATCTATATTACAAGTCCCTACGATGTGGTTTTTGCAACTGAACGCAGTCTAAGAGACCATTTGGGCTGGCTCCTTGAGAAAGAGAAATACCAAGATGCCTGGGAACTCGTAGACAGGAACCCAGACGTGATCGCATCGGATAGCAGCGCCATTAGCGAGTCCGGAGAGGATGAGGTCGTGCGCCGTGTGGTCTCCGAGGACGATCCCAGCTACGACTCCGACTCAACCGTCAGCGGCGGGCGCGGGCAACGGCGCACGACGAACTATAGCGCCACAGAGAAGGAGAAGCGCCGTATTGGAGAGTTGTGGCTACAGAAGTTGATTAATGCTGGTGAGTGGACGGCATCAGCTGAGGTGTGTGGGAGGGTTTTGGGTTTATCGGGGCGTTGGGAGCACTGGGTGTGGGTGTTTGAGGCCGCGGGAAAGATTACGGAGATTACGCCGTATATACCAACCACGCCGCTGTCACCGCCGCTGCCGAGTGTCATCTATGAGATTGTTCTCGCGCATTATCTCTCACACGATGTCACTAGGTTCCGGGAGCTGCTACTGGAGAACTGGAAGCCCGAAGGTACACGAACGCTTTACGACCCCCGCACGATCATTGACGCCGTCACGCGCAAGCTCAAGAACCACGAGGACTCCGTGCACTCCGGTGACGCTGAATGGCGCGCCTTGCAAGAATGCCTCGCAAAGCTCTACATGACGATATTGGAGCCCGCGAGCTCATTACGCCACTACATGATCCTGAAAGACGCAGACGCGGCCTTCTCCCTCATCCGTGAATACCGCCTTATCGACGCTATCAAAACCAATATCTACGATCTCCTCTTGCTACGCGTATCCCCCGAGCAACTCTCCACTACCCCTATTTCCACCCTCGAAGAAAACACCTCTGAAGCTATCTCTCTCCTGGTTGCGGAGGCCAACCGTGGTATTGTTGGCCCGTCCACAGTTGTCTCTCAGCTCTCGCCAGATTCCGTCCGTGCGGGAAAACTCTTCCTGTTCTTCTACCTCCGCCGCCTCTGGAGCGGCAGTGACAGCGCCGCAGGCACCCTCGTCGAGTTCGGGGACCTGATGGTCACGCTGTTCGCCGAGTACGACCGCCCACTGTTGATGGACTTCTTAGTCAACAGCCACACTTACAGCCTGGAAAAGGCCTCCGCCGTGTGTGAGAAACGTGCCTACATTCCAGAGCTGGTTCATCTGCTTTCTAAGACCGGACAGACAAAGCGTGCGCTCTTCCTCATCATTGATAAGCTCCATGACGTCGGTCAGGCCATTGCATTCGCAAAGAATCAAGACGACCCCGACCTCTGGAACGACTTGCTCGAGTACAGTATGGACAAACCTCGCTTCATTCGGGGGCTGCTAGAGAATGTCGGCACTGCCATCGACCCGATCACACTGGTGCGACGTATACCTGCCGGTCTGCAAATTGAAGGGCTGAAGCCGGCACTAGGAAAGATACTCAAGGAGTATGGTGTCCAGTGGAGCGTGTGTGAGGGGGTCGCAAAGGTCCTTCGCAGCGAGGTAGCCAGGGGCATGGAAGAGCTACGTGGGGGGCAAAGGAGGGCTGTCAGGTTCGAGGTTAAGAGGGATGTGGAGATAGAGGAAGGCGGCGGCGAGGAGAGGCCACAGAAGAGGCGTGTGGACGCGTGTGGTGATTGCGGGGATGTGTTCTTGCCCACTGGTTTGTATATCCCTTTCCTCCTTCTTTGGACTAGCATGCTAATGGTGTGGTGATGTAGAGAAAGAAACGCTGATCGGCTTCGCATGCGGTCATGTTTTCCACCTTGGTTGTCTGCTCGGACACGGGCACGAGCGGGAACGGGAGCGTCCCGCTGCAGTCAGTGATGACGCAGATGAGGCCGAGGAGGAAATCATGGCAAGCTTAGGCATGGCGAGTCGCAATGTGGGGTCAAAGGTCACACATGCGGCGCTGATTCGGCAGAAGGTGTCTAAGGGGTGTGTGCTGTGTGCGCATGAGAAGGGGGATGATGATTGTTTTTAGTGTAGAGCTGCGGAAGGTTTCTTTTTCTTTTTTCCTTTTCTTTTTATTATTTTCATTATCATTTTTTTCTTTCTTTCTTGGCTCCAGCCTTATTATTTTTCTATTGACTACGACGATTCTTGTTTTTTTGTGGGCGTGGACTTCTGGATTTTTTTAATTCGGGGATGGAGGATTGAGTGAATGGCTTACTACATATGTAACCAAATGGACTGAACGTGAGCTGATTATTTGTGTTTCGTCTTGTGTTTTGTGTCTTGTTTCATATAAATTTTTTCTGACATAGTTACAGTGTCAATGATCATGAGACCATGTTAATAGATCTTATTACAGCGAAAGCTTGCTATAACGGTACGCTCGGGACCGGAATTTGGTACCGTCATAGAGAGACTACCCTTATATAAGAGGTGCTGGTGCTGAAAGCCAGGCAAAAAGGACCGAGAAGTGCTACCGTTATAGAGAGATTACCCTTATAGAAAGTACCGTTATAGCAAGCTTTCGCTGTATTTATTTTTCACAACTCTACAAAAACGGGAAGCGCGAATTCCTGTCTTTGTTGTTTTTGTTTAGGAATACCGGATTTTAGAGACCTAAGAACGCGTTTTCCACATGGTACCGTCCCTTGGATTTGTTCTTACACTTGACATTTCTGAAATCTGGACTTACTCTATTGCTGGCAGGTGTGCACTTATCTACATACACCTTATCTACATATCGTGCCAAGCGCATTGGCATGCAGTTGAAAACCACTGTTACACTCACTGCCAAGTAGTTTCGACCTTACATATCGAGTACTTATGATTATTACAGGCATCCTTGTAGCTACCAATCCGCGCGCCTAGAAGGACATGAATTTGAGTCCTTTTGCACAGCCCCAGCCCCACATACGTGTAGGTACATGCCTTGCAGCGCTTACACACATTTGGGGAGGGTAGAGTCTAAATAGCTAGGGCTCGCCCAGTTGACGGTACCCCGGAGTAATATCCCTAAATCATCTCCCTCTTTCTCGCTATTACTCAAACAATAATAAAACAAAGATCTTCAATATGTCGACCCTACGAATTAGAAGGATCCCAGAAACAATCACCAAGGATTACCTTTCTGAGTTATACCCAGGCTGTGCCATATCCTTATGCAGAACCGGGTGTGGGAAAGTCGACAAAACTCAGACTGCTACAGTGACCTTCAAAAATGAAAGCGCCGTGAAGGATATAATCCGAAACAAACCACTTTTTATCGACAAAAAGAAGGTTGTGGTTGATGATGAATTTAACGCGCTGACGGTGTTGCATTCGGACCCTAAAGCTTGCGTTGAGTTGCGTATCCGTTTCACTACACCCGTTATAACGTTATTGACTCTAATCTAACTTCAAACCTTATGCATAGCATAATCGCGGTTCATGGACTTGGAGGCCATGCATTTCGTTCTTGGACATTCAGGGGCCCGGGGAGTAATGGTGCTGGCGCCATGTGGCTTCGCGATTTTCTCCCAGATGAAATCTCGCAATCTCGCATCATGACCTACGGATATAATTCAGATATTTTAGACACAGACAGTGTCGCGGGCATCCGGGCTTACGGTTTATCACTACTTAATATCATCAATGACATGAGGACCACGTCGAAGGTAACTTTTGATTCACATCGTAACATAGATATAGTGAATATTTATATATTATAATAATCTAACATTTATATTTATCCAGGAAAAGAAGAGACCGATCATATTCATATGCCACAGTCTGGGAGGTATAGTTGTAAAGGAGGTATGGTGCATTCATCGTACTATTGGTTTATGCCTTAGCACAAGTAAATGCGCTAAACACATCGCTTTCTCATATATAAGGCCCTAAATAGGGCTAGAGTGCATAATTATCAAGACATTGTTGGCCCAACAATAGGTATCGTGTTTTTGTCTACACCACACCAAGGGACCTCACTTGCACAATATGGATCGATCATAGGCGTGATTGCAGCAATCCAGGGTTTAAATCGAAAACTCATCTCGGATCTCGAACAGAACTCAGATCGTCTTACTGAGATAGCCGAGGATTTTATCAGGTACCAGTCCTCGATTTTATTCGCCTCGTTTTATGAGAGAAGAAAAACTAGTCTTTTTGGTGGTTTTTGGGGATATTGGTATGGGAGTAAATTGGTATGTCGGCATAGACCCTTCCAACGGCATACTATCTAGTATTAAGACATTGAGCTCTAATAAATTGTCAACCTGCTAGCTGGTGGATCAACTATCTTCAACCCTGGGTGTTCTTGGCGAGAAACGTGACCCACTAGATAAGGATCACATGTCGATCTGTAAATTCGAGCACCAGGAAGATATTGGATATAGGACAGTTGTTAAGCGCATCCGAGAAATAATGGGTGGACGGACGAAGATGCAAATGGAAGGGAGCTATCAAGTTTCATCCTCCAAGGATCTAAAGGAGGGGTTGTTGCCACGACAAGAGACCACCAAGTCGCCCAACGAATTACAGAGTATAGATCTTGAAATAAGCGTACAGAAAATGACCTACGAAGAAACGAATTAGCTGCAAAACTCCTCAAACTTATCGCGTTTCTGGATCTCTAGGAAATTCCAGAAAAACTTCTGAAGACGTCAAGTGACTTTGAGGGCGCTAATGACCAGATGGGTTTCGCTGATGCTCTGCAAAAGCTAACGGAATTCTCGCTCGTCACATGTTCCAGAGAGGTAACTTATGAGGCCCATCGTCTTGTGCAGTTAGCAACATACGAAAGTATCTCAGGAGAGGAAAAGGCTATGTGGAGGAGAACATTGTATATACTTTCGTCAATATTTCCACAAAAGCCGGACGTTACGAAAATTAGCACCAGCAAAATCTACCAAGCTCACGCCCTTCACGTCTTGGATAGATGGTATATATATAAAAGCTCCAATAACTGCGTTAATGATCCCAAATTGCAAGGCACGAAATCCATAGTAAATAAACGGTAGTTTAAATTACAGTTAGGTATTTACATAACTTATGTACAAACATAGTATTCCAACCCAGGGTACATCGTGGGTTACCACCCGGGTCCTTTCCAAAATTTTGTTTCTATCTTTCTGAGTCTACGTCTTCGACTCGGCCCTACCGGCTCTGGCCCTGCCTTTTATTGTATTTAGAGTCCGGTCGGCCGTTCAGTGGTGAGGCGCCAGGTGTAAGGCTAGGGTTGTCGAAGGTTCTGTTGTTTGTGTATAAATTGGGGTTACCTTTTGGAATTGCACGTCAGGATGATTCATGAAAGCGCTAAACCTGGGTAGCCTTTAAATTTCTTTCTTGAATTGTGCAGAACCTTGGGCTCAATGACCCAGCCCGGTTTTGGGATGCAAATATCAGACAACGCTCGAGCACCCCTCCGAGCTCCTCCAGGACATAAGGTCACAATAGTCTAACTAATATATGTACATACATAAAGCGCAAATGCGGAAATCAGTGTAGATATCGAACCCAGTTTTGGGTATAAGTAGTCGATCCGCGCTGCAGTGGCAGATATTGCGGCCCGCCAACATCATCGATGATTTTATGGATGGTAGGAGCTAGTGTACTTGATATCTGACATATATGTACGTACACTATATACAATATCCATCGACCGTATAAAACTTCTAGCCCCAAAGTGGTATCTTCATAGCCGAAATAGCCACATCAGTATCCCCTACTAGTACTCGCACTGTGAGCGGCTGACACTACGTACTCTAGTGGATTTATGATCCATCAGGATTTAAGAAGTTGATATATACTCTAGATGAATACTGCCAAGACACACATGGGTTCCCCTAGTTTGGCTCAGTTGGGAGGCTATCGGTTCTCAATTAACAAGTCACAACGCGTACATGTAATATTGCATCGCTGTACGTATATATACGCAGCTGATTCCGAGCGGAAGTTCCTGGGAGGTGAACGTTAGCGGTTTATTCTATATTTGTATGTACCTAGTACATGTATCTATAAATTAAATAGACTCCATCGGTCTAGATTTTTTTTTATCTTTAGGCCAGGCTTCAAGCAGCGCAACAGCAATTGCGCAAGTTAGTGAATTAATGAATCAAAAAAAAGCTCAAGCTAATGTGACAAGAGTGAGATCTCATGATCCACTGTTACCCGGCCCCCTATATGATGCATGATGCGGCCCCTGGACCATTCGCCCAAGCAAGCAAGCCCCCAGATAGCTCCCGCCCTCACTCATACCCCCACCACACTCATATACAGCCATGGGGAACAACAGCAGCACCCACCGCGTCACCGCACAAGACCGGTATACCCTCTCATCCTCCCCCCCGCTCCTCCCCGCTAACACGCCGACTCCACCAGGGCAATCCTGGACATGAAGATCCAACGTGACAAGCTACGCCAGTACCAGAAGAAGATCCAGACCGTGCTGGATCGCGAGCACGAGATTGCAAAGGAGATGCTCGCAAAGGGCGACAAACAGCGCGCGCTGTTGGCACTTAGGAAAAGGAAGTACCAAGAACAGCTGTTGATCAAGACGGATGGACAGCTGCAGGCGCTGGAAGAACTGGTTCGGCCCCCTGATATGGACTGCGGGCATGGTCGTGGCACTTGTAAGGAGAGAGAGCTGGTTTTAATGTTGGTTGTGCATTAGACATCGACGATCGAGTTCTCGCTCGTACAGAAATCTGTGCTCTATGGGCTCCGGCAAGGGAACCAAGTACTCAAAGAAATCCATAAGGAGATGTCCTTGGAGAGTGTCGAGAAGTTAATGGAAGAAACAGCAGACGGCATCGCATACCAGCGGGAGATCAGCAATATGCTGGCGGGCCGGATGTCCAACGAGGAGGAAGATGAAGTCGAAGATGAGCTAGAGCAGATGGAGAAGGAAGAGAGGGCGAAGAGCATGGCGGCGCAGATGCCGAATGCGCCAACCACTACGCCAGTCGCTGCTACCAAGGAGCAAGAAGAAGGGGAAGTAGAGGAAACAGAAACGCAGAGGAGAGCTAGGAGAGCGAAAGAGAGGGCAAGACAGAGGAGAGAGGAGTTGGCGGCGGGACCTGTACCGATGTTAGCGTAGTATTGGCGTTTTGTTTCCTTTTTGTTAGTAACTTTTGTGGCGTTGTGTGTTTTCTTCTGGGATTCTCTTTCTTGTTATATAGTTATTTATCGCCTTTTCTTCTTAATCCGTATACTAGCCATGGGAATATCAAAATAATGGCTTATGAGCTCATCATGATATGTAGTAACAATTCTCACGATTTTCTCTTTATTTATGATAACTATGGTACATGAACTAAGAAATTACAGCGTCAATAACAGTGAGCAGGGAATAAGGAAACAAATTACATCTGATTAGCACCCAGATACCTTCTCAGACTCGCATCCTGCAAGACACCAGCATCAGTTCCTCCCTTCTCCCTCAGCTCGCGTTCATATCTCGCCTGTAGTCCTTCTTCATCCTCATCCATGGCACCCTCATCCTCGTCCCTCTCCTGCATGCCCTGGCCAGCTTCCTCGTCGCTTGACTCCATATCGCTGAGAAGATCCTGCTCCTCCTCTTCTTTGGGCATGGATTTCTTCCTACCACTCTTGCTGCTCACGCCTCCGTCGACGTCCATGTCTTTCATGAGCCTATCGAGCTCCTTCTCCTTCTCCTTGATCCTCTGCTCATCTCTCTTCTTTCTGGCCTTCTCCATCTCCGGCCTATAGTCTCTTTCGTATTCTTCACATTTGCCTTTTACAGCCACCATGAAGTCCTCGATCCCGGCTCCAGTCATCGCACTCACTGCTACGAGGTCTAGGTGCTTGTAGAACTCATCGAGCATCAAGCTCATGGAATTGAGCAGACTAGCCATATAACCACTTCCACCTACGCCCTCATCATTGCCCTCTTCGCTCTCTCTTAGAGCTCTCTGAAACGCCTCGAAGTCCGTCATCCATTCCTTTGCAAATGCTGCATCCTGCGCATCTGTCTTATTGAACACCAAGATCATCGGCAGCTTCGTCTTGTACAGGATCGAGCACGCATACAGCATATTGCTCATAAACGTTGCAGGGGAAGTCGTCCTTGGCGTATCTATGATATACGCAATGACCGTCGGGAAAGCCGATGCCAACGCATCTGTTATTATGGCGCCGGAAGCAGACCATACGAAGCACTCGATCTGCCCAGGGGTGTCCACGAGCACGCAGTCGATGCTGCCCGCATCCTTGCGCTTCTCGAGGATGCCAATGACTTGGTCGACTTTTGTTGCAAAGAGGTTCAGGCAGGTCATGATGCCGCCGTTGGGGCCGAGGTTGTACTGCTTCATGACTTCTTTGTAGTTGACCGAGTCGCGGATGTCGATGTTGCGCTCGAAGGGGACATTCTTGACGGCTGGGTCGAGGTTGACGATGTAGGGTGGTGTTTTCTGCGCATGTAGGTGGGCGTTGAGGCGTTGCATGAACGTGGTTTTACCAGAACCTACGGGGGGAGGTCAGCTTGGGGTTAGGTCGAGAAGGAAGAGGAAGAGGTACCGGCCATGCCAATACAAATGATTGCAGGCGGAGGGGTTTTGGTGGCGGAAGTATCTGAAGTGGCCATTGCGGGGGTGTCTGTGGGGGCGGTCGAGGAGGTGTCCATGGTGGAATCTTTGGACGGGGTCAAGGTGTGGATTCGAAAAAGGTGTTTGGTTTTGGCGGGGATGGATTAACTGCTTCCTATCGGAGGTGGTTACATAGTGGGGGATAAGTGGCTTGGCAATATTGAGCCGCATGAGGCGTCATTGATGGTCACTCGGCCCTTTCTTTGTATCAGTGCTCTTGGAACAAGTTGTTATATAGGTTCTCATAGGGTTTATTGAAGGGTATATATCTATGATCACATATTATATATCCGTGGAACAGGTGTAAAAGACAAGAGTTGAGCCAATTACTGTGTGCTCAAGCGACGAGTGAGCTGCTGTGATGCACAGATCAGTGCTAGGCCTAAAAACTAGCGCTGGTGTAGCTTTCCAAAGTCATTGACACCCCAAGCAGGGACCATTTCTTCGTTGCCCAACTCCATTATCCACAGAAGACTGCTTGAACGCACTCCGGCTATTTCCTAAATACAAACCCGGCAAAAAATGAAATAAAAAAAGACCCAAATATGTTCAATGTCTAATAATATACACTTACTGATCCAAATTATCTTTACGCCTGGGTCGCCCCCGCCTTAGCCTGCTTCAGCGACTTCGGAACCTTGGGTCCAGCCTCCGGATTCATTTGTTGAATCCTTGCTACTGGCCACTTAGGTTCCAACAATCCAAACTATCCATTGTATTACATTAGCTTTCAATTCGCCAAGCTATCCACCACCCTATACACTCTTTCGTCCAACGAGAACATACCATAGCGAGTAGGCGCCACACAGTATCTGTCGGCTGTGCGCCAACACCGATCCAGTATTTTGCTCGGGCAGTGTCGAGTTGTATGTCCTTCACCGGCCTGCCAATTCCGTCTGCTGGGGGTTTCGGAATAGGATCATAAGTTCCTTTCATGTCTTATTAGCTCCTCGTCCACCAGCGGGATAAAGTGGTGGGCTACCAATAACTTCGAGAGGCCGTGAGTCGCGTGCAGTTCTAATTTGCACTATTAGTCGGAGGATAGCAGCAGGAGGCTTTGGAGACGTACCGGGCATGTGCGACGACAATGTTGTAGACCGGAGCATGACGAACGCCGAAGCGGGCAAGACGGAGTTTTACTACCATTTTGCGGGGATATGGGAGCGGCGATGGTCGGTGGGGGGTTGAGTAGTGGGGGTGGAGAGTGTGATGCCGAAAGCAAAAGCTTCGATTGGCTTGGCTTGGCTCTGTGTGATGCAGTGCCTGGGGGCAAAGAAAGTAAATGTATAAATATATACAAAAATAGATTCATCCTCAGAGTAACAGTCAGATAATAATAGGATAGATGAATTAAAATACCTGGTGGGAATATTTTCATAACTTGTAACTTTTCCCTTGTGACTCTGTTTGTGCTCACCACTGCACCCCTCCATGCAAAAAACCTGCCCACACAAATCCCCACAAACGAACAACCCCACCAAAAGGAAAAAAAAATAGGGCGGATTATTCTCACCAACTGCCACCACCGAGATAGATAATAATAATCAAATATGGCGCCTTTCAAACTATCGGCGCTCATCGCCGCCCTTCCAGAACACGAAACTGGCGCTTGGGGACCTCCGTCGGGTGTCGATTCTTCATTAAACGAAGTACCATACGCACCATACTCCAAGGGTGATAAACTAGGCCGTATGGCCGATTGGACCTCTGACAATGCCAAAGATGGTGGGAATCAACGAGGAGGACGTGGAGGCTATAACAGAAATTATAGAGGTATTTAGGTACTTTATCTTACTCGATTAAACTTCATTATTAACAATAGAGTTTAGATCAGCAGGTCTATGGTGCTGGAACCTCGTCTCTATTTTCATACCAGCACGCCGAGGACGAAGCTTCTTTCTCCGTTGTTGATAACCAGCGTACCTCCAGCAAGCCAAGAGGTTCTTTCGGCCGTGGCGGTGGTACAATCTTCAGAGGCCGTGGCGGTCGCGGTGCGGCTGGCCAGACGAGCGGTCGTGGTGGAGCGCAACAACAGGCCACAGGGCGTGGAGGTTATGGTGCCCGTGGAGGTCGTGGGGGTCGTGATGAAGGCCGCTTTGATGCCCGGGGAGGTCGTGGGGGTAGAGGGAGGCGATTTGGCTGGAAGGATTACGACAAGCCGCAGCGTAACCGCGATGCTTCGGTCAATATCAAGCCAGATTGGAAAATGCTCGAGGAAATTGATTTCAACCGTTTGGCGAAGTTGAACTTGGAAACTGATGAAGGAGAAGATGTGGATAGCTACGGATTCCTTTACTACTACGACCGCCAGTATGATAAACCTGCCGGCACCAAGGCCGCAGAGAAGAAGCTCATCGTTCAGGATCGCGTTTTCTTCAACCCCACCACCAGCGAGGACCCTGTGATCCAGCAACTTGCCGAGAAGGACGAAGCCACTATCTTCGCCACCGACTCAGTTCTGTCTATGCTTATGTGTGCTCCCAGATCCATCTACCCATGGGATATTGTCATCATCCGTGAAGGAAACAAGCTTTATATCGACAAAAGGGAGGGCTCCCAGCTCGACTTCGTCTCTGTCAATGAGAACGCCGCTGACCCACCACTTGAGGTAGCGGAGGGTAACAAGGACTCGATTAACTCTCCTCAGGCCCTCTCTATGGAAGCCACCTTCATCAACCAGAATTTCGCTATTCAGACCGTCAACGAGGAATCGAAATTCGAGTTTGACAACGAGAACCCATTCTATAGCCCTGAGGAAGAGAGCGAGCCACTGGGCTCAAAGGCATACAAGTACCGCCGTTTTGACTTGTCATTGAACGACGAGGAGCCAGTATTCCTTATCGTCAGGACCGAGCTTGACGCAGTCATGAAGTCACCCAACGGCGAGGACCTCTTCCTTACCGTCAAGGCTCTCAACGAGTTTGATGACCGTGCACAAGGCAGTGGTGGTGCGTTGAACTGGCGCACTAAGCTCAGCTCTCAGAGAGGTGCTGTTGTGGCCACCGAAATGAAGAACAACTCCTGCAAGCTCGCAAGATGGACCGCACAGAGTATTCTTGCCAAGGCCGATCTAATGAAGCTTGGGTATGTTACAATCTCTCTTTCTCAAGAAAAAGTATATTAACACTCCAACCAGATTCGTATCACGTGCCAACCCTAAGGACTCGAACAAGCACGTCATCCTTGGAGTCGTTGGATACAAGCCTCGTGAATTCGCGAACCAAATGAACTTGAACTTGTCCAACGGATGGGGTATTGTGCGTACGATTGTGGATATGTGCTTGCACATGCCAGAGGGCAAGTACGTGCTTGTGAAGGACCCGAACAAGCCGGTGTTGAGGCTGTACGAGGTCCCATTGAATACCTTCGACGAGGAACCCGAGCAGGAGGCAATCAGAGAGGAAGAGGAGGAATAAGGGGAAAGCATCTTGCTGGTGGGAATATTGGAGAAATAAAAATAAAGTCTTTTTTCGGCGCTGTGGTGCGTGAATGTTAGGAGGTTCATGTCTAAAAGTCATTGGTTGAATGAGGTATTGAAAGAGCCCCGGCTTCTGTGTCAGATATATCATATCAAGTCTGGACCTTTCAATATATAATAGTGAAAGAAGTGGATATCTCGAAGGCCTTCTCCTATTAGGACATGTAGCGATATCAAGCCAATCGACCTAAGTAGATTAAAGGACCAAATAACTATACACAAACACTTTAATTTTTCTGTAGACTTTAGAGCGTTATGGCTTTTGTTCCTACACTTAGCCTCAACTGTCTATTTGTTTAATATACGAGTATTAAAGGCGATGGTTACCCATATGGCAGAATATGTGGTTTGCGCAAAGGACTAGGTGTTAGACGGACCAAGGGTGGTTGGAAAGAAAATCCCTTCATTTAAATATATATACAAATGTTTATTATCTATTCAATACGGTCATCCCTACCATTGAAGAACCTCAAAATCGCTCCCGCAACCACCTCTCCATCATGCTCCATCCCCGCCCTCTCCTTTGCATCTTCTGCATGTTCCGTCTCCACCGATCCGTTCTTGTGTCTCGCATCAATATTCCTCTTCACCATCTCCTCGTCGTATCCCAAATGCCCCTGCGAGGTGAATATCCGCTTCGGTATATAAAGCCCCTGGATCTTACAGTCCTTACTCTCCCCCCACACATGCACCCTGTTGTGCTCCTTCAACAGTCCATTCGAGGTCGAATGATGCGGCGGATCAACGACATGGTCTTGGTGCATTTGGTGGAGGTATATCGACCCCTTGTCTCCAGTCGAGAACAGGGCCTGTCCCAGTGGGGTCAACGAGATGTGAGTGTGCGCGAGCTCCCAGCTGTTTGGGTTCTGCGAGACCTGGGCCCCAAGGGAGCGGGATATTATTTGGTGCCCAAAGCAGACGCCAGAGAAGCGTATATGTGGATGAGATTCCCATGCAGCTGCGTTCAGAAGTTAATGACTGGGGCCTCTAATGGTTGGGACATAAACACTAAAATACTAACTTCTAATCCATTCAATCAACCTATGGATCCAAGGGTCGTCGCCATGGGCGTCATATTTACTTCCCGTAATAAGAATGCCGTCGTATTCCTCGACCTCTTTGATATCCGGCAATTCGCCGGTTTCTTTAGATGTGGGGTCCTCGTGTCCCACTACGTAGCAGGGCACTGTTTCCACGTCGATTGGAGGGTCGAGTTCCGAGCCAACTTTGGAAAAGAGCTTTCCGAATATCTCGCCGTAACTGCCTCTGGTGGAGTGGATGGGGGCGAGAGGGTAATCGGTTTCGAGCACCAGGATTCGTACCGAAGACTTCATTCTGAATTGGATTTTGGGTTGGATTCGTGGCGTAGGATGTATGTGCTAGAAAAGTAACAGTTGTAGCTTTTTAGTTGCCCCATTTGCACCCTGAGCGGTTTTTCCCCCGGCTTTATACCTGAGGGTTCGTGGGGTTCGATATGAAACCTGTAAACTCTACCATTTAGCTCTTAGCGGACTAGGGCGGCGATGACATACGCCAATGTTAGTAGTTTCTCGGCATGGCATGCGTCAATGGTATGCCGTTAATGACGTTTTCTATCGCGGTTTGATTTATCGAGCATGGTTGTTGAGCCAAATTCGTGAGTGTCTAAGACAAGATATCGCAACGTGTGTGTCTAGACGTTGTTATGTCTCAAAGCGACGAGTGACTGCTGGTGAGTAAAAAGAGCAACCCAACCAATCAACCCAGGGCTTCCACGGTAACAAGATACTGCGATAATAGATTCTGCATAACCATTGCTCTCGCGGCACATTCATTGGTGAAAGCTATCGGCATCCTACCAGTCATAATGGCCTTCCATGAACACTTCCGTCTTTAATAACCCAGTCTACGTAAGTAAATACGATCATTTCCTATTCACTCAACTTCTGTATCACATGGTGGTGATTATTAATGATATTTGGTACTAAAGCCTTGGCACATCAACTAGATTTGTAAAGTTCTAGAGGTGCCACTCGTGTACTTTATTTTACCTAATACTCAGAGTTTTCCTGTCGTGATAGGCCTGACAATTACGTGCTGCCATTTTTGTGCCCGAAGTCCCTTTGATTCAACATCGATGTAAGTCTTATGCAGATCAGGAGTTAAACCCCGAACAACCTCCTGCGAGGGTGATACTAACACCCGCCAAGACCGCGCCTCTAAGAGTTCCTCATAAAAAAAACTCAAGCTGTACTCTAGATACTATGTATTCCTTGCGCCAAGGAAGGGGCACCGAGTGATTTCCTATGAATCTAATCACTAGGCTATGACATCATTTGCTGTTTTTCGAGAAGTTTATCATGACGCGGCTTCATGTCTCGGCTTATGCCAGTTGTCCAATGTGTCGCATAGTTTGAAGAAAAGCTGTAGTTACATGTATTTAGGATAACTTGACACTCTTGGAATATTGTTCAATGCCAGTTGCAGTGATTCTTAGGGGATGAGTCTATGGCAAAAGCTCAGGCACTAAGCTTAATTCTCCCGGCGGTCGTGAATTTCAGCTTTCTTTAGCGGTCTAGTCTTTATATAGATTTCTGTAATACATTACTACCCAAAAGGTAGATTGTCGGGGCATTTTGAGGTAAAGAGGGGGGAGGGGACTAGGAGAAGGAGGCATACATTAAGATGTTTTACCTTAAGTATGTTCTGCCCTGTGGTTTCTCAATATTTTAACCGGAAGACCAACCTGATAAATTATCCCCTAGAAGAAGGGATTCTACCTATGTGCAGCCGGCCGCGCACCCGGGACGTTACTGCAACGGGAGTTGGCCTCTTACCCGGGTGCTCGGCTGGCTACTCGAGGTAATGCGGGAGAACAAGAGACTTCTCAGTCTCGCTCTTCTATATCAGCCGAACGCATATCGGTGGTGTGGCCTATGACTCACACTGGGAGGATGTTGACGCTGCTTTCCCGTCGGGTATGCAGTAGTAGCTCTTTGGTAACCCCTAAACCTACCAACGGTGTCATCAGAGCGAAGTAAAATTGTTAGAAGTTGGGTATATAGTTCACTAGCTCAGAGAGCCGACACGAGCATCAAATCCCCGACCTTGTATTCCTACTACTATATATCCGGCTCGGTCCTGGTCCTGAGCTTTAAAGCCACATGTTAACTGAATTTAAACGTTTCATGCCCTATCTGTAACCTCATTGCACCCTTACGTTCCCGCGCGCGTTTGAGCTACTAGCTGGCTGTGTCTTTCTTCATTCGAACCTACTAGTGGAGAGGCCATGTGTCCTGACTCCCGATAGAATAAACTCAGGTCGACACTATATGTAGCTCAGCCCCTCATGGAAGGTCTCCGTGGCTCTTCTTAGGGGGTTTGATACCAGATCTAAGTGCTTTAATATCACTAAGGTTCATTATTAGCGAGATGTCACATAGACCTTATATATCACCAAGCTTTATGGTTTTATGGTTACATCTACGTGGAAAGGAGCGAGTGACGCACCATGACCCATGCCAATAAAACAACGCAAAATGAAGTCAGAAAAAAAAAGTCGAAAAAAAGAAACCGAGAAACAAAATGTGATATCATGTAATGCAATGTACGTTCTAGACCCCTTCTCTTGCTCTATAATGAAAATACCATAAATCTTTAGCACAGCAACGTTAACTCCCACGAAAGAAAACAAAAACCGAATTCCCAACTTTTAAACACCTCACGCAGACTTTCCTTCCTCAACCTGCTTGGTACCACGGCGGTTTTCCGCCAGTCTCTGTGAAGGTGTATATTAGTATCAGTGTCTGGATAGAATGTCAAAAGTGACTTACAAGAATATTTCTGAGAAGCACAGTGATTGTGACCTTTCCAATGGCAGGGACGTAGATTGACGCCTTCTCCTTAACACTGGGGTCAAAGTTCTTCTCAGACGAGAAATTGATGCAAATAGCTCCCCTACCAAATCACATTAGCGCAATCCTGGAGTTATGGCGACTTTCTAGACAAGAGGGGCTCACTCTTTCAGCAAATGCGTTGGGAACTTATAGTCCTTGCTCGGCACACCCGTGATCACCACATCACTTCTAGGGACCACATCCTCGAGCTTCAGCTCAGTACTATGCACCTGGTGCTGCCTCTTCCTGATTCCCTCTCCTCTGGTAAAGTGTTCAATCCCTGTGATATCAACACTGTACACGCTCGCACCATCATTCGCCAACAGCGCTGCCAAAGGACGGCCGACAATCTCAGAGCGGTTAACGACAGTGATAGTCTTTCCAAACAAGCGGTTTCCGTACGGGAGGATAGAGTTGTAGACTCTAATGTGCTCAAGGATCTTGATGACCGCAAGAGGTGTGCATGGGAGAATAGACTTTTGCGTTTGCGCAGCGTCCAGGAAGCGGATGTTTTGGTACATGTTGAAGAGGTATTTGTGGGAAAGACCTTCGACATCTTTGTTCATGGCAGTCACCTGCTGGAGGTATTGGTCCTTGCAAGAATATTAGATTTGGGACTTCGATATGAGGATGTGCCGTAGAGCTCACCTGGCGATTGCCGAACACAGGGAAGTAGACAATGATACCATCAACATTGTCGTCCACATTTGCTGCAAGAATATTGTCCTCCAGATCCTCCTTGTCCACCTCGCGCAGCTCAAATTTGAACCCACTGCATCGCACAGAAAGAAAAAAAATTAACCTTCTCTCCCACACAAAATGCGCGAAAACCTAGCAGGAAACAACTAACTTTTGCGTACAAGTCTTCTCTGTCCAATTCGCATACATCCTCGCAGCCGGGTCATTATTTGCCAAAAACCCCACCAACAGCGGCGCCCTATCAAACTTCTGCAGCGAGCTCTTCACCTCCTGGAGGAGTTTGTCCGCGACAGTCGCGGCGGAGACGACCTTGCACGTGGCCGGGGCCGGGCCGGTGGGTTCGACAAAGCCAGGGTTGCTGTCACTCATTTTGGCGAGAATCGAGGAATATGAGTTGTAGGTATTTTGGCTGGTGCTGAATTGTTTGGTGGTGCAAATCCTTGTGGAGAGTTTGGAGGGGCCCGTAGGTGGGGCTTGCATGTTCTTGGCGTAAAAAAAAGACCCTGCCCAGATACGGCGGGCGGACTGGATGCGGATGAGCATCGCGAGAATTGAATTCCAAATCCTATGCTTCTTAACAGAGGCCTCAAGGATTCGAAGCACGAGAGCCTCGTACGGGGTTAAGTAGGATTGATCAGGCAATAAGCAGCTCCACCTCCTCAAAAGGTCATGTTCGTTTAGTCACGTGACGCTTTTTGTTCCACAAAAAAAAAATACTACTTACCTTCGTAGAAACAATAGAGGTTTACCATCCGTATTCTAGCCGCGGTACATTGTCTCCGAGGCTAACTAATCGCTTGAGATTTCTAAATCATCTGTCTGATCATAGACTATCATTCGGACCTTGGGTGCAAAGAGTACCTACATTCGAATTTCTTGACGTGATATACTCACAAGCTAATATGTACGTATTAAGATGTATATACACGTTTCACCTGAATATATCTATCGTGGACTGATCTAGATCTAATGCAATTGCTAACCTAATAGAAATATTCAGGGAGGTACAAATTGAGCCTTTACGAAAATAGTCCCGCGTTCAAAATCCCAATTGTCTGATTGACCTTCATCGATCAGGTTACCAGAACGTTGAACTACATGTAGTGTCTTTTAGATTTTCGCAAAGGTACAAATAGGCTTTAGCTTGTAGACAAATTGTAAAACAAACCAAACCACATACTTATAGACAAGGGTATATATATTAGTTCCTTCGGGATTATATAGAGTTCACTGTGTTTTTGGTCGGGCATGACCGTGCAAAAAATACTATCATTGCAAGCCAGGATGTTAGAAATTCAAAAGAGAGTTTCTCAGTTATACTGAAACCATTATAACCGAGTTCATAGAGTATCCAATATAAAAAGTGTCTTTAATTCAGTTTGTGGTATCCGGGATCCGGAGCGCTAGTAGACCTTGACAGTTATTTAATTGCTTGATACATGTAGTATTTTTCATCAGTCGCCATTCACTGTACCAAGTGCAAGCTTCTAGTACACACAGCTAAGTAATATACTAGAGCCATATGGATGAATACATGTATATAGCTAACCCATCCGGATAACCCCCAGCTAATTAAGTGCAGCAATGTTTCACCAAATCAGTCTCGCTGACTAATCAGATCTAAAGTTGAGGCTTACAATTTCATTCGTGATTTCTAGATCTGTCCTTTAAGCTTCTCATCACGTTAACTTCAACTCCTTTTAACTCAAACTATGGGCCGGCGGAGTCTCGTAGTCATTATTGTCGCCGTCGCCCTCAGGCTGGTTTTGTTCGCGGCCTTTCCATCACTGCCGGATCTACTAACCAACCGCGTCGAGATCTCAACACCCGTTACAAGCTTCAAGCGACTGCAGGAGGGCCTGTTTCTCTACACCCATGGAGTGTCGCCATATGATGGCGGAGTTTTCCATCAAGTACTTATTCCTTGCATATTGTAATGGTCTCTACGTAACTGACTTTTAATTAGGCTCCGCTACTGCTCGCGTTCTTCACTACTCTCCCGTCCTCCGCGACAGCTACAAACCTCATTTATATACTACTAGATGTCTTCTCAGCATACGCCCTCATTAATATTTCCACCTCCGGCATCTCTGTCGCAACATCAAATCGCAAGGATGCCCAATTCCCTCCGTGGGCCGTCTCCGCTGCTTTCCTCTTCAACCCCTTTACTGTCGCAACCTGTCTAGCTCGACCAACTATCGTTTTCACCAATACGGTCATTCTTACAGCTATCTCAAAAGCTGTCCAGGGTCATGGCGCTGCTGCGGTGTTAGCCTTAGCTATGAGCGCATATCTATCGTTGTACCCAATTCTTCTGCTTCCGCCGATGATACTGCTGAGCTACGATGGGCTTAAGGTACCGAGTGGAGGCCTGGGCGTTTATGCAGCTAAGATGACGGGTGTATTCATAGCTGCTGCGGCAGGACTACTGGGACTAAGCTACCTAATTACTGGTGGCAGCTGGGAGTTTTTAGCATCGACCTATGGGGTACATCTCCTGCTACCAGACCTGACACCGAACGTAGGCCTGTGGTGGTATTTCTTTATTGAAATGTTCGACAGCTTCCGTAACTTTTTTTTATGCGTGTTTCAACTACACCTAGCGGTTTATGTAGGCGGTCTATGTATACGACTCCGGTGATTACCCATCTTTCTCTTGATCCATTCCGTATCCTAACTGAATGTCCTAACAAATTTATTATAGAAAACAACCTCTTTTCGTAATCACAACCCTTCTCGGGATCTTTAGCATCTTCAAATCGTACCCGTCGATTGGCGACACAGCGCTTTATCTATCCCTCCTCGCTCTTTACCGCCATATCTTCCCCTGTACGTTTTCCTTTCACGCTTCCCTCTTCAACCATCCTCTTCCAGCCCGCTGACATAGTAATAGTAATGCGATACGCCTTCTTCGCAACCTCGACCCTACTCTATGCCACTCTTCTTGGTCCAGCATTCTACTATTTGTGGATATATGCAGGCTCAGGTAATGCAAACTTTTTCTACGCTATTACACTCGTGTGGAGTCTTGCCGTCACGGTCATTGTTACGGATGCATTATTTGCGGTGTTGAGAGATGAATGGGAGACTGAGAGACCTGAGATGAGGGGAAAGGATGTAATACGGATATAAGGAGTGCGCTGTTTTCTAGGCACTGTGAGGGCAATATTTCTCTGTAGGTACTTATATCTTCTATAAGCTGCAATAAACCGCCCATGGAACAAATTATCTTCAAAAGCAAATATTTTTAATATATCGTTCCACATTCGAAGATATTACTATCCGGCCACCATCATCACTGATACTTGACCCTAGTTTGGATCCTCTTTTACATGGTGGGATCGAGCTGTATGGGTAGTCTAGTACTATGAATAACTCACTGGACGTTTTTTTTTTTTTTTCTTTTTTTTTTTTGATGTATCGTCAGTGCCATATCACAGACTTTTGATAACCTCATAAAACGAGTTTAAAGTGGCTAGTCACTGCGTATTTTGAACTAAGTATGTTTAATTATAATCGGAAGATACACGTACTCGGTGCATAGCATTAGTATCACCAGCTTGATTAGCAAATCATAAAATACTATAAATTAAAATCCAAGGATAAATCTTGATTCAATAGTTTATATTAGAGTACATTACGAAATTCCGTATAATACTAGAACATCAAAATGATCCCTAATCCGTGGATTATCAGAGTACTGTTTATTGCATGTACCCTCAAGTTTTCATCAATTTCAAACTTTCCGTTAATTTTAGGTAGGCGTAAAGTGTTTATGGCATGAATTACTGGTCATTCAATTAGGGGAAGTATGAATAGACAGACTAATGATAATAATAGAACTACAGTCGACTCTTGCTATAAGGGTACCTTCTATAAGCATACTCGCCCTATAAGAATACGACTTCTCGCTCCTTATTGGGCTTTTTGAGTACAAATTGACCCTTGCTATACGGGTACACGCCCTATAAGGGTACCGATTTCCGGTCTAGAGCGTACCCTTATATTGAGAGTCGACTGTGCAGCGGTAGGTACAGTCGCTCACCTACTGACGGTGGATCCTGTCTGATGGTTCTGTTTGCAGTAATTTGCCCTTGGCTTCCATAACCTAACTCTTTTATTGGCCTCAAATCCCTGACCGCCATCAGACAGGATCCACCTTCACCCCGTGAGTGAGTGTAATAAGCGATGGAATGCCCTGAGATACAGGTATACCTGCAAACACCGTACGTTGGTGGCGTTTTACCCAAAACGGGTATCACTGTGTCTCAGGGCGTCTCATCACTTATTACCTACCGCTATACAAGCATTGGGTCATCTAGGAAGGGGGTGGGGGCCAGTCTACAGCTCTCGATACAGGTATGTAGAACGACTACATCAGAAGTTTATCCACTAACAAACTTCGTGTTAACTATATTTACTGCTGAACTATAAGAAACTAATTACTATGTATTCAACCACTCTTCTAATCCTAGTACTTCATCATGATTGAAGTACAATCAATACAGTGTTAATAATATATCAACTATCATCCCTACTGAGCTAAATACATGAGGTAAGAAATACAAAGATTATTTTATCAGTTTAGAGCTAGTTTTTGGAACGTTTAGCAGAAATAATCTGCTTTTCTTCAACATCAGCTGTCCCTTTACGCTTTCTTGAAAGATTTTGCGTATTACCACCTTGGCCACAAGCCCTATTACTCCAGGTCCCAACCTTCTTTCCGTCATTGCGCTCCTGTTTCTGTACACCGAGATCCTGCGGTCTCTTTTGGCTTTTATTCACCTTTACTTCCTTATCCCCCCCCAAAAGACGTCTTTTCTGGCGTTTATTTGCTTTTTTTTCCTTGTTCTCCTTTGAATGGCGTCTTTTTGACTGAAGTTTTTGATTATTGCTGCTAGGTGATTGATCTTGTTCACGATTATCGCTTCGACCGGGGCCATCACCGTCCTGACTACCTCCTCTCCGCCCTGTTGCTGTCGATTTCTTCTCACTGCTAGACCCACCAGTTAGCAGTCGAATTTCAATATAATCAACTAGTCTTCTCTGGTAAAAACATACCATTTAACTTCGAGTCCGCCCTCAGATTCATAGTCTTGTACTTCCGTCTGGGGTTCTAACTTGAACTCTTGTTTAATTCTTCTTTCGTTCCCATCGCTCTCGCTTTGGTGATCACTGATGGCAATGACTGAGGGCTGGTGTTCGTCAGGGCGTGTATCCAGCTGCGGCCTATGATCGTCGTCTGGAATATGCGAAACACTTTCGTGGGGGTGTTGGAGGGCAGGGCCGTGTGGACCATCATGATAAGGGCTTTGGGTAAATTGAAATAACTGTTCCAGTCTTTCTCTGCAGTCCTCTTGTTTTTTGTGTTCCCACGGGTGGAAAAACAACGCCGCGGATTTAAAATATCCTTGTCTTGATATCGAATCATAGTGATCGCAAGAACTTGCGATAGCTATCTCGAGATCCTCCTGGTCTTTGAGAAGTATACCTTTCCTCAAGATACCTTGGCGTCGGATGAGTGCATTATCTATGACTCCAAACGGGGGTGTATAAAAATCGCTCTGAGGACACGAAGAGGGCCCATGAAGATATATGCGATCTTGACATTCCAGATAATAGTTATGGAATATGGTTTTAAGGCGATCATAGGACCTTTTACGATCCTCGGAGTCCCATGGACAGAAAAACATAGTTACAGAATGAAAAAATCCTGCTCTTGTAATAGAGTCTGAACAGAAACAAACGCTCCTTGCGGCTAAATCTTCGAAGTATTCCTGAGTATTGGCGTCAAAAGCTGTCTTGAGATAGTAACGCATGTCGATGGGAGTGCTAGCAAGGCTTTTTTGCTGAAATGTTCGGAGATCTCTCTGAAATTTACTCTCTAATCCTACTTGCAAGTGAAGGTTCTGGCTCTGATAGACGCCAGATATAGGCTGGGGATCATTGCCCCGGCTCTGATCGACGCCTGATATAGACTGTGGATCTTTGTCCTGGCTCTGATTGACGTCGGATACAGACTGGAGATCTTTGTCCTTGCTTTGATCCACGCCAGATACCGACTGGGGATCATCGTCCTGGCTCTGGTTGACCATGGGTATAGATAACGGTCGAGAGAAATGGTGCTGCTTTCGCTCAACTCGGGATGGGGGTATCGATTTGGGATTGTGAATCTGGATACTTGCTGGGTTTCGGTGAGCTGGCTGGGCTCGTAGGGCTGTCTCTAGGCTCCCTTTTGATAACTTAAAATGGTACCGGGTGCATTCAGTGTGAAGTATTTTGTAAATTGCCGATGGGCCTTTGCGCTCTAATAGTTCAACAACATTTTTAAATAGAGTAAAATACTCTGAATGGTCGTATCCATCATCATTAAAATGCTCCCTGATTTTCGTTTCGGCAGCAGAGTCGACCAAGCTACAAACCGAATCAAGATCACCAAGCCTAACAGCAAGTTCTAGTGGTGTTTGATCTCCATTGTCCGGGCAATCCATACTTTCCCTCTCCTTCCCAGCCAAAAAACCGATCAATGATGAATGTCCATATTTCACAGCCAAGTGAAATAGTGAGCGGCCTTTATGATCACGGTATCCCATTTCAATACAGCTGTCCAATAAAAGATGTATAACACTGTGCGAGTCCTCCAACCCTTCGGTTTCTCGTCGCTCTATTTTTTTCGATGCATAGAGGGAATGTTCCAGAGCGTTAAAGCCTTTGTTGCACCTCTGGTTTGGATCGGCCCCAAATCCGAGTAATAACTTCACTGCATCGGCTATCGAACATTGGGCAGCTTTGATTAGTGGGGTGGCCCCCTCTTCGTCCTTGCCGTTCAGAGTTGAGTTAGATGATGATCCGACTGCTGTTTGGAAGTGCTTGGCGATATGGGGCGACCAGAGTTTTAATAACAAATGTAGGGTGGGAATTTTGCAGCCATAGGTATGAAAAATTATTTTCTCGCAATTCTCGTGAATCCAGCCAGACATATTTGTTAGATAAGCGTCGCTCGGGTCGTGGACTCCGACAGCCCAGACTGAGGAAGGGTTATCATCTGCGTAAATCTTGCAGCTGAAAGTAGAATCGAGTTTGTTATCCAACGCAAATCTAATACGTTTAATATCCTTAGTAGCAATACCCAGAGTAAGCTCCTCCAAAAAGTTTTTTTGAAGAACCTTTTCGTGAGGGTCGTAACATCCTTGAGGATAAAAAATCTCATTAGGGTGAGCATTAGGGTGAGGGGTGTTGGGGGAGGGGTGATTCTCTCGAGGCGCTTCTTGATTCATAGTAAGATAGAGGATTCTTAGAACGGGATAAGTGGGTTTAAGTGAGGTTAAATAATACCGCCGGCAGCGTGAGAGGTTGATAAGGATGATTTACGGGTGAGAGTTGATGGATGTTGGTAAGTTGATGATGACTGAGGTGAATTCAAATGATGGGCAGGGAGAGACAATACAAGGCAGAGGGCTATGACGAAGGTATGAGGTGCTGGGTAGAAAGATGGGAGAATGGGGAGAAACTTTATAACTGAGGTGATATAGTCGAGTAGAGCCGTTTGATGGAATGGGTGGAGGGAATGGAGTTGATGGAGTTGATGGAGTTGGTGGAGTTGGCGGAATTGGCTGACTTGGTGGACTTGATGCAGCCTATGGGCTCGAGTTGATGGAGTTGGTGGAGTTGGCGGGGTTGATGGAGTTGAGTTGAGAGTTGAGATGACAGAGTTGAGATGAGTCAACCGGGATTATGGTATTGAATGGGTGAAAGGGGAGTAGAGGGAAGCTTAAATACATGTACCAGGTGGTAGAGAGTCATGCGATATCACTCGGTCGAGTTTCACACTAACCTACTATTACTTCAACTTGCCAAGCCAATACTACAGTTTATGGCACCACGCCAAGACTACAGTCTCATTCCTAACACTCTACGATATTCAGGATATTGAATATTTTTTCTAGTGCTAGTGTTCTGGCAACCACAAAATGACAACATCCTCGATCTGCCATCTGCCCAATATCGCAAACAATATTCTTTTCCAGCCTAAATATTTGAAATAGCACCACTAGAAATATTACTCCAGTAGCATAGAATAAATGACTCGGTCCTTTAGTAGAGTCCTTTAAAATCGTCCTTTATACGACCACCGTTAATAACGGACGAAGTCATCTAGAGATATGTGACCAGGTCATTTTATAGCTAAGTGACCTTTTATTATTATAATTTTATTTCTAAATTATATTATTTACTAGTGTAGCTACGGCACCTCTGTTCGTCATTACCTCTATCGTACCTACTGCTGCTGCTGCCACCACCGCTGCTGCCACACCGCTACTACCACACCATTGCTGCTGCTGCTGCTGCTGCTAGTAGTGCTTGTACCAATTTAGCACGATGGATCTGACCTACTTTGGTACTTACTGGTGATGGCGATAATGGTGATGGCGATGACGAAGTGTTTAAGAGCAGAGAGCCGCTCGTGGTGGCGATTTTATAGTACTGGAGGCATGGAAATAAGGTTTAGTGCCAGGACTGACATACGTAAGTCAGTCCTTCAGTAAAGGTCATTTAACTAGGAGAGTCCTTTAGCCATTCGCCCTTTATCGGGCTCACTAAAGGACGAAGGCATTTATAGTTGTCTTCTACTAGAGATAATTAGCGGCTCAACCCACCAAGTACACCCCAACGTCCCAGTTGTGGTTGTAAACCGATCGACGTGCCATTTTGCTCGCAATTAAGTACGTAATTTACTACATGGGTACTACCATAGCTGCAACCATCATGAATTGCGACGAGATAGAAGTCCTGCGTCCACAGCTCTTATTGGCTATATACGTGATCTTTGCAAGCTATAAGACTTTACAGGCCATAAATTAAACCGCTAGAATTCTTCTCCGACCAGACGTCGACCCGACTTTCTGCCCGGCTGGTACAGCTAGCTCTCTATTTTTGAAACTCTGTACTAATGTAGCTATTTTGGTTTACATAAACTGCCTTGATACATGTACGCACATGTATGTACATGTAGGTATATCCCTTAGCTTAGACGGCTACTCCGAATTGGAATTATAAGATGCCGCTATATGCGTACGTGTACGTGTGGTCATGTAGTGCGCGTGGTTATTCGCTAAATTGGATGCTTCCCGGCCATGGGTGTGATTGAATCTCTCATTAAATCTGTAGTACATCCTGTGGGGGATCCGAGGGGCTACATGTACATGTATATACTACATGTAGCAACAACCATCAGAATTTGGCTCTTCATCTTCCATACCCATTTCTTTTTTCTCCGGCCTTCGGGTTAATGACCATTTGTGCTATTTGACCTCCAATTGACAAAAGTGGTCAGAAGAACCCAAACATCCAAACTCTTAACACTGACTACATGTATGTATTTCTAAGTATAGTGTCTTCTCTCATTCTGGGCGTGTATATAACTGGCCACAAATGCAATGCCGGGCCGACAGTATCTAACTCAGGATTTTCCGCCGGAGCTCGAATATATACAGACACGAAACGTGTTATATATATACATGTACATGTTCCTATTCGATCGTAACATCGATCTCTTCGATTCATTTCAGTACATGTATTTTCATGATCAACTAGACAACGATTCCATAAGATTAATGAGTAGATTATAGAGAGTTCAATACTATATTAAGTTAATTATAAACTTTACTACAAATCGGTGAGTGGAGATAAACTATATACTCATGAAGTATTACAATGGCGCATAACCTATTACAACAATAGGAAGAATGAAACCCAAGTCCCAGAATCTAATACGTGTCTAAATAACCCCGCAACCCAATAAAAGAATCTCTCATCGCACCATCTTACTTCTCAACATGTCCACAGCAAGGCGATTGTCATCAATCATATCCGCGCCCTTCGCAACATCCAATGCTGTTTGTTTGTGCACATCCCGTGCCAAATAGTCGGCTCCTCTTCTCAAAAGCATCCTTACCGCATCTGGACGCCAATTTCCCGCTGCCAGATGTAGTGGGGTCTTTCCAGTACGCTCTGTTGCATCGATTTTTGCCCCTCTATTGACTAGTAACGTGATCATCTTCACATCGCCGCTCTCTGCCGCCAGGTGAAGCGATGTGTAGCCCACCAAGGTCTCTGAATTTATATCTTCGCCGCCATCGAGCAGCATCTCTGCAACGCCAACTGCGCAGTTACTAGCTGCACAGTGGAGAGGCCTCGCGCCAAGTGCATTTTCCACGTGAATGTTCGCACCATGCGACATCAGCGTTTTTACTACAGCTTCATGCCCATAATAAGCAGCTTGGTGAAGTGCGCTCGTACCACCGATATTCGGCCCAGTTGTTGCTGCAGTAATGTCTGCACCTTTCTCTAGTAAAAGTCTAACAACATCGTCTTGTCCCTGTGATACGGCATCCGAGAGTGCTGACGCGCTGTTGATGTCCACACAGGATAGATCTGCTCCCTTCTCAAGCAGCAGTTCACATACTTTTGTACTCCCACTATATGCCGCCCAATGCAGTGGAGTTCTCCCGCTGCTGCATTTTACTCCAACATCAGCGCCAAGATTAACAAGCAATTCACTGATGTTTTCAGCGTTGTTACGCGCGGCTATGTGGAGCGCTGTACCGTAGCGTTGACCACGGCCGACATTAATATCGCTGCCGTGAGAGATAAGAAGCCGGACTAGTGGCTCATGACCCTTGGAGGCTGCCCATTGGAGGGCGTCGAGCTCGTATCCTCGCTTTTCGTGGGCGAGGCGGTGGAGGAGTGGTGTGAGAATTGAGTGAAGATCGTGGCAGGTGCGTATTAGATGGGATAAGTCTTTGGAGTTAAGTTCGGAAGAGAGGGATTGTATAAGCTCGTTAGGTAGATCGAGGAACGGCATTGCTAGGGTAGTTTGTAATTGGTGCCCGGAAGAAATATAACTATAGGTGTTGCTTATGATGCGATAGCTAGCTAGAGCTCTTGAGATCTAGTTAGTGAAAAGGATTTAGAAGTAGGTAATCTGAAAAGAGGGTTCGTTGACTACATCCATACCTATTACTAGGGCTGTAGTTATGCTTTAAAGATCGTGTAAAGTATCAATGGGAAAGCTGAAAAGCGAAAAGGAGATGTGTTTGGAAGCTCAATCAGCATCTTATTTACTGATAGCTCCTATGATGTATGTATGTAAGTTATTACTCAGGCACTATAGGCAACCGCACCTCACACGACCAATCGTTGGGTCGTTGCTATGGCAAGTCTCTTAGATATCGGGACTTGCCGGGGGAAAAGGGGGAGGTAAATATTGGAGGTGCATATGTATGTATGTATGGATGTACTTATCTATTCGGGCTATTGGTTGATCGTCCCGTAAATTCCCTATTGTCTGCTGTCAGTCTAGATTAGTAACAGTCGGGTTGCGACATTTTGAACGATAACCAGGAATAATTTTAAACAAGGGTACTCCCAGAGAGGATTTGTAGTGGTGTGACAAGAGTCGCGTGACAGTATGCTGTTTCATGGTTTATGGCTGAATTTTTAAGAATCAAGTATTGCCTTAACGTGCTACTCAAGGAATAATTAATGTCATCCAAGGAAACCGGTGATGTTGTACGTTCTATGGTACGTGTAACTGGGTAAGTTCGCTTTGATATTGAGAGATAGGTACATGTAATTACTAGAGTTTCATCTAGGAATATATATATACATGTATGTACTCAATATATGTTTAATCTACATACATGTAGTTTTCTACATATATATGTCTATTGAGTAATATAAAATCAGTGTTCCTGATACATCTACATTTAATTAATATACACACATGTTGACCACAATATACATGTAATAATTGCAATACAAGTAAATTATTTACAGTACATATATATACGTACTAGTACACGCACATACTCGGTGGGACCTTAACGTAGCGCATAAATTTGATGTTATGTCACGTCACGCGTGAATGAAGTGTCACGGCTACACATGTGATGAGATAGGATGATCTACAAATCGGTTACCATAATCGCTCAACCACAAGTTATCACTCGCGACTTCAGAGATCATCTCCTACTTTGGTATAGTCAATCACCACTACCCGAATAGGTCTGCAGCTGCGGACGAGACTAAGACCGTGTAGGTACAGCACCAGAACCAAAGAACCAAAATAAGCCGTCCACTGAATCAAATTTCATTGCCATCTCAACTATAAACGGGATCAAGCCAAATACATGTAACTACATGTACTACTCACAATACATGTGCCTCGTGAAAATAACACAACCTAAAACACATTCCTCACAAGCCCAAACACTAACTGCCGACCGAACCTAGAATCCACATGGACCAGGGTACACAATTCCCTTCGAGCTTGGCTTCCCAAAACTATAATTCTCCAAGCCCAACGGACACATATCAGAAACTGATTCATATGGTACCGTCTTCACGTTGACCAAGTGCTGGCAAATCCCAACTATACCCAGATACGCACTAGCCACACAATTTAACTTATTCTGGCACTTTTGACAGCAATCCAAATGACCGCTAGCCTTTACGTTCTCGATATGGTTTCCTGAACCGTTTCCAGAGGTTGCATAGGCGACCTCGCATTTGCTGCGGGGGTCTACAGTCACGGTAGCTGTGCTAGTGGCAGTCTATATATGAGAGTTAATCTAGTCAGCATGCGGCTTTCCGATGATACAGAGGGAGGCATACTGCAGTGGGTGCGGTGGAGGTGACAGATGTAGTGGCGGTCACAATCGGCATACAAGAGCAAGCGCTCGAAATACGAGACGCAGGGTACTCAGACACGAAGGATGGAATTGCGATTTCGCGGCGCTCAATAACACCTGCTCCTTCCTCCAGTGCGAATATCACACTCTCCGCCGCTACTTCGACTTCCTCGCGAGCAGCAAGGGTAGCTGCAGCACGCCTGTTCACCACCGGAGAGGTTATTGTAGCATAGCTGGTGACAGTTCTGTGCGGGCCTTTGGGTAAGTAATTATTAAGCTCCCAGCTTTAGGGAAATTAAGATTGGCTTACATAACAGGAGTAGTAGTAGCTACAACAGTAGTAATGACGGGCACCGAGATATAAGCACTGCAGAAGGGGATGGCTTCCACACTAAACCTGCGAAGGGCTCGAAGACAATTATCTGCGTTGCATCCGGTACCGTCGGTCCTCTCCTCGAGCAGAGGGCTGCAATTGATGGCAGAAGAGAACAAAAGGAGGGCAACGGATGAAGTAAGAGTCTTGAAATGCATTGCTAGAATCGAAGCTCTGAAGGTATATGTTGATACTTTGTCGTGAGTACTAGAGTGATCGAATATCCAACTAGGGGGATTGCTGCCTGTATTTATACTAATCGGCTTAGAATTTCCCCTCTTTATTTTCATTCATCAAGTATTACATGTACAGATGATGATTCCAAATCAAAAGCAGCTGAAAAAGAAAAAAAAAGAGAGAGAGAGATAGAGAAAGCCACGATACTAGTAACTAAGCTCAGCCCTTTGCCAGCATATACATGGACATACATATCGTGACGAAAACAGAAAATAGCAATCTAAATAACCATGCGCTGCGGCTTCTGTACAACGATCGTTCAATATTTCTCAATTGGAGAGGTGTGCATTCACATGGTATAAATCCCATCTCAGAGGAATATGGGGCAAGAACCCTGCTTAAACCTTCCTACCCCCAGAGGCACAGATAAGGCCATAACCCTAATATATACATATACTTACAGGCTATTTGCGCTGGGAGTTCGATCTTTAGGCATACGATTCGTGTTCTGTGTGCGTAACACAACAGCACGAGCCCATCTTGTACAACCGTTCAGCCTGTGGTATGGGTCCGGCCTGCTCGCCGGCTCCCTGTAGCTGGATAACTGGCGAATTTCTCACGTTGTGAAGACAGTCCCCATGGGTATGGAATATATCGTTTGGATTGAATTTCTGGGGACTGTAAGCCTAGGTAAACGGATATTTGGATGGATTGGAACGTGGGCCTTCAATTATGGCTTAATGACTATAATATTTCCGAACCCAAATCAAAGGGCTTTGCATAAAGAATTAAGTATGTGAGTTCCCGAAAGATCGTATTGTTGGTAGCTGAAATAGTTATAACCCGGCGCATATATCTACAGAGATACCTGAATTAAGATATATATCGCACCCACATGTATAGCTTTTTTATAAACACAACATGTAGGTAATTATAAACACCACTTCAATACAAGTATCTATAACATGCAATTAGATATCTCTATTGATACACGTGGGTATATTATACAAGACTTCACTGGGCCACACTAATATATAATGCGGCTCTCCATAATGTGTAAACCTATCCGTCAACATCTTGAAATTAATCACTGATAAGCGCGATCATAACATAGATCGAGTGCTTAAGCTTCCAGCCATGAACAGCACAATCAACGTATGTTATAAGTAATATCGTATGATCTGGAATTGCAAGCGATTTTATCATTGACTTATACATACAGGGATTACGCTGGGTCTATACATGTACTTACGTGTAGATTACTCATAGGAGTAGTGACTCTTCTCTATATATTGCGCCTAAAATACATGTATCTAGGCATGAATATTCTGAGATGTGGAAACCTACATGTAGACAGATAGAATGCCAAGAAGATCGGAGGAAGCGAGAGTGAGACATGTCTCAGCTCAACTATCTACACTCTTTGCATATTTGTACATACATACTTCCTACCTACTGTCGTTCACGGGGTATTGACGGGCACTGGGTGTTGACGAACAAACCAAAAAAGAGACAGCCAAGCCAAGGTTTGCCTGCAATCCGTCAGCACCCAGTGTCCGCCAATACCCCGTGAACGACAGTACCTATGTACTTTATCTAATAGCTTTACCGTACCTACATGTACCACAAGCATGCACAGACGCCGATGGCACGTGCACGCTAAAAAGCTAAATCCTTTGTTTCCATGGACCATGGATCCAGGAGCCTGGATAGATCATTGGTTCAATTGACTTTGAAAAACGTCGGCCACGAAAGTTTCAATTGCTCATATAGCCATGGATGGTTCTTGTTTGATTCATACAAGCTCAATTTTTCAGCCGCTTGCCCATATTAACGATCCTGTAGGCTATGCCTAAACAACATGCACTTACTTAAATGCCTATATACTTTACCACCCACGAGTAGACGGTCGAAAACGTGCGGGGTATTTCTGTCATGACCTATGGGTACCCACAAAGCGCTACTAGCCCAGATCAAGTGGAGTACCTGCATTTGCATCTGCATGGGCATACCCTCCTACCTGCACGCGAGCCTGTAAGGCTAAATAAATCTCCTGCTTATCAAAGTTTGTGGCACCTGAAAATTTGCCACCAACTTCTTAGGTATCCTATCGGTGTCACCTAACTTCTTCTTTCCTTCTTCTTTTTTTCCTTTCTTCTTTTTTGAGCACACTGCCGAGCTCGCACAGACAGGGCCGGGGGAGCTAGTCCTATTAATATTAGAGGATGCTCCTTTGAGGCACCCACTATCTATTTAGGCATATCATACAATCACAGTTTATCAATATTCTGGAAAGCATGGCTATTCTGGGAATGGACCTCGCCGTACCATGATGGTTAAGGAAGCTCAGCGATTCTAGCGCATTAGCCCCACCACCCCCCGGGTCCTACTCTCTCTCTGGGCAAAAGTTTAATTAGCGAGAAGGAGATTTTCGTTGCGGCCCTAGATTATGGACATGGTACATATGCCACGTCAAGAGATATTGAGGCGGCTTCGTCGTCAACAGGCCTGTCGTTGTATATCTCGATCAAGTAATGAATCGCAGCTGGCGGAAGAGCTGTGACTGTGGCTTGCGCTCATGGTGCAGTGTGGTGTGTAACGAAGGTAGGTACATGTAGCCATCTATAATATCCGGAAACTTCTCGATTTTCTCGTAATTACCACTCAAGCACTTGCACGAGAACAGAAAGACAGTGGTCAATGATATCTCGAACCGGGTCTAAGTCATGATGTTATGACATGGGATGGGTAGGTGGTAGGTACTTGTTGGATATCTACCCATATTGCTACATACAGTACTAGCCACCACTAGGAGAAGAGCTCTTAGCACTTTGGGTCCGGGGGGGGGGGGGGGGGGGGGGCTAACGATCCTAGCTGTAACAATGAGAGTACTAGGTGATTACATGTAGTAATGCTTGATACGAATATGTGTATTGTGTGTACTGTAACCAATATGCCACGTCAATATTGTTTCGACGATGGTGAAGATGAGCTGCCAGTTGAAGAGAAACGGAGAGTCTGATAAGACAGGAAGGGAGTTAGGTGAGCTGTGATTCAGATTCCAAAATGATAAACGCTTAGAGGCGTTAATTTCAAGGTGGACGGTCTCGAAGGCCTCCGCGGAAATAGTCACAACTCTCCTAAAGTCATTGACCGCTTCAAAGACCAGTGGTTTTTTTTTTCTTTTGCTGATATCCATGCAAACTTCATGGACCAATCTCCACTTTTAATAATATCCATAAGCCACATCAACTTGAAAAAATAATCGAAAATAAATCGTTCATGAGGTTTGCGTTCACGAAAGGCTAGGCCTATAGCTCTTGCTGTATTCAGGCAGCATTTCTTGCACGTGTTATATAATCTAGATTCCTGCAGAAGAGGAGTCTGTGCCTGTAAATTTTCAGCCCATGGGAACCTCCGGCCAAATAACAGGACCAGATGATAGTCCAAGTGAGAAAATGAAAGAAATGTATATTCTGTAGTTACGCCTAAAGTGAATAACCATAGCTATCGCAAAAAAGGAAAAAAAGAAGAACCCAATCCATGCGCCACATACTATCCTTTTAGTTCAAGCCGCAAGCTCTTGTGGTTTGTTTATGCATAGTACCTATAACCCGTCAGCACTGGTTCCCGAAAAAAGACTTGTAACTAGGCCGTACATTTCCAACGAGGATCCATTTCCAATCTCGTAGTCGGCAAGTGTGATATGGTCCTTAAACGTCGAATACCACTTCTTAAGAATAATCTGCACGCCAAGGTCAGTCTCTCGTCCACTCTCCCTTCTTGACAGGTGCCTACCTTCTCCGGAGCAGTTCCGATCTGGGCCGCGACAAGCTTCTTAAAGTCCCCGATGGTATCGTCAGGGTCGCATTTCACGCGGATTTTCTTCCCGAGACGATCGTTGCTAGGCGTGACATTAGCAGGATAGTATCTGTGTGGAAATCGCAAAGAGACTTACCAAGTGACTTCAATCATAGCTGCTGTTGCTGTTGAGACTTAATTTTTGGTGGGGTTGTGGGGTTGATCTGATCTGATCTGAGACGCGATGGAGTAATCAAGATCAAGAGGTGACGTTCTTGGCGCCGATGACGATCTAGGCAGAACTGTAGCTAGGAATCGCGCTAAACCCTACCTTAACATCATATCAACAACAGTTAACTATGGCGTCCAGCTGGATCTATCTCGCCATCGGCAGCGGACTCGCAGCTGGCCTCAATGGGCTCTTTGCAAAGCTTGTTACAACGACGTTAACGACCTCATTTGCGTCTGCAATCGCGCGGGCGTTTTCGTTACCGGAGGATGAGAAGGTGGTTGAGTATATTGTTCGAGGGGTACGCGCTCTGAGTTCCTAGTACTTGTAAGCTACACATGTTACATATATTAGGTATTGACTTGGACTTTTCTATAGCTCTTCTTTGGACTGAATTTGTTGTTCAATGCTATCGTGAGTCTGAATTCTTTTAGTTTACACCACATATAGATTATATCTAACCTTTTGTACTCGTAGATGTGGGGTTTATTTACTGGTTAGTTAGGACCTAGCTCAGTTGATATTTAGAGCACCATTTCTTCAATTATGCCAAAGATTGCTCCTATCTATTCAGGGATAATTCATTGCCGAAACCAAACAGTCAACGCCTTTTACTATTACTATCTACACATACTAACAAATCATTCATCTCCAGCTGCACTAGCCAAAGGCTCCTCCGCCACAAAAGTCAGCATCGTCAACACCTCCTCAAATTTCATGGTACGCCTTCACTGCCTTATCCCCAATATCAAAGCTAATACACATAGATCACCGCCATCCTTGGCTGGCTCGTCTTCTCCGAGTCCCTACCGGGCACATGGTGGCTAGGAGCTAGTCTACTAGTTGCCGGGAACGTGGTCATCGGCATGCGAGATGATGGGTCCGCTGCTAACACGGGATACGAGGCCGTTAGGACCGAGGAGCCGGAAGAAGAGGAACTGCAGTCTAGGCGCAATAGTGAGAGCGAGAGTGAGAGTGAGAGTGAAGAGTCCCGGGAACCCAGATGATTGGTCGAAGTTCTTGTTTATTGACATTTTTTATTCCCGGTTTCTCGTGTCAGAGAAGGATCGATAGATGAATGATGAGTATTTGATGCTATTCTGTGGCGGCATATAAGGTGGTGTCATTATTGTATGCTAGATAATATACTGTGTTTTCAATCATTGACAACCGGTTCGGGCCGCGCGGGCCTGAACCAAATTGTAAAGAACTTAAGCTCAAGCTCGGCGGGTCCCGCCCCCAAGCTATAAAAAGCCGGGCCGGGTCGAGTTTACGGTTCCATGGACACGTATACCTGACCCGATCCATGAATTAGAGCTGAGATGCCAAGGGGGACATCGATATCTCTAAGTACATCTATGTAGCGCCCAGCCAGCACCGCCATGGAAATACCAGCTACTGTAGTGTACGGCTTCCCTGCGTGAAGCACTACATGTGCTCTACATCCCGTACTGGCTAGCAGTTCTACTCAAATCTACGCCCCCATCACGCTCACCCGGCGGATAGAACCTCCCACCACTCTATATGTATGTACTTTAATCTCACCTGTTATATTATACTTGTATACTCTTGGGTACGGCTGCCGCTCTTGACTAGACCCAGCGGTTCTATTAGAATGCTCTCTCCGTCAACAGGTGTTGTTGGCCCGGAACGTCTAGATTTTGGCCTTGTCGTACCTCATGTAGTTTACAATGCCGGTATGTCGACCTTCTTATACTCATACATGTAGCGTAGCTCAAGAGGCGCGTCATCCCACCCAGTCCATCCTTGTATTGTATGTACAGCGGGATGCCATAAATCATCGGAAGGTGAGGTCGCAACGCCGCAACGCCTGACTGCAATGCCTGACCACAAATTTTTTCCATAACCACCGATGGCGCCCAGAGACAGTGTACCCCATTCTCCTACAACTATTAAGTTTGTAAAGGTATACACCACAACCCTTACAACTCAGCGGTTGGAGGAGTGTGGGGTAGATGTTCTGGAGGACTAGCTTACCTATTCCCCTGACTTAAATCCCATTGAACATGTTTGAGTACATCTCAAGAAGCTTTACCATCAACACTACCCCCATTTGGGATATGATACTAGATCACCTTAAGTATTGAAGCCCCTTATGGAGGAAGGTCTAATTCATTGCTGGGAACTGTTACCTGATGATTTATTCTCTAGAGATTTGGTAGCTAGTTGAAAGCATGCCTAGGAGAATAGAGCTGTTATAAAGGCAAGGGGTTGGTATGCAAGATATTAAATGTCCAATTATCTTTATTTAGCTACTATTGAACAACTATACAAAAAAACAGCTCTCCAAAGGGTCAATTGTGGTTGCTGGGTGGTAGTCATGATGGGGCGGGAGGTGTCGAAACCCGTTGCTACGCCGCCCCATACGATGATTTATGTCCTAGAACTATACCTAGCTATGGCTGACGTTCAGAATAGACACTTCGTTTAAACAGATAATTTAGCTATATCTGTTCCGCGCTTTTTATTATCGTCATCCCCAAACCCCCGTTAAATACGCGTAGGGGTTATCTCGAGTAGATAAAAGAGAAAGTACATAATTTATATTACAAACCCGCACTCCAAACCATAAAAGAGAAGTAAAAAGTAAATCATTGTCAATTAGAAGGAAACCTAAGAAGACCCATATGCCTGCGTGAACTTTACAACTTCAACCCACTGCTTCCATTCCCTCTCGCTTTTTCCTTCGCAAGTCCCCCGTCAATATTTCTTTGCTCGCCTTGCTTCCCGATCACCTTAACACCGCCCTTCCTGAGGCTATCCATAACATCCTTCTTACTACCTTCCTTTGCATTGGCACCACCCTTGTTGCCCTCTATAGCATTCTTCTTCCTGATCTTCTCCTTCTCCCTGCGGCGTCTTCGTTGCTTATCGTCCCGAGTCATCTCTCTTGTCGAAATAGCTGCACCACCCTTGGTAACGATTTCGCGTCCAGAACCTCCGCCAACCGAAAGAATAGCTTTGCCCTTGTGAGGCGCATAAACCTCCTGGGGCGCAAGCATAGATATATTCGCGGCCAGCATGCCCCCGGCCGCAGCTGTAGGTTGCGCTTCTTCCATTGAAATAGCAGCGACATCTGCGACAATTGATAGCGAGGCCTTCGGCGGCTTGGGGGTGTAGTGCCAACTTGTCAGGGAATCCAGTTTTCTGTTCACGTCCGCGAATAGTTCCTCGATTTCAGCGTGTTCCTTCGATAGCTTCTCATCTTTGGCTGTTGGGTTATTTTCCGGGTCGATGGCCCTGAGATGCTCCTTCTCATATATTTCCGCAAGTCCCTCTGTCGCCTTGGAATCATCAAGCTCGATACGGCCTCTGCGGACCTTCCCAGAAACATCATCCGGGCGACGACGAATCACTTCGTCGAAGTCGGATGCAAGAATCCGACGCTTGATCATGTCTTCGAGGCCTTCCGTCACTTCCTGAGTAATTACTGGTACTGGCTTCCCGGATCGCTCGAACTCAAGATCTTCCTCAAGGAGGGAATTGAGGGGCCGGTTATTAGCACGGGCTTCACCGGAAAGTGTCCATTCACGTTTCGCAACGTTTGCTGCTTCGAGGGCGCGAATCTGTTCAATGAGAGTAGCCTGGCGTTTCTCATGGGAAGACCGACGTGAGAGAGGGTCAGAAGGGTCAGCGGCCATATCAACATCAGAACCATCCTCCTCTTCATCGTCAAAGAGGTCACGGCGGACACGGTCCATGTCGTTCTCAATGGCAGTAAAATCATCATCTTCATCACCCGCAGATCTCTTAACAGGTGCTTGCTTCCAGGACTTTTTCTCGTGGGGCGTGTGATTCCTATTTGAAGCTTTACGGGGAGGAGGGGCAAAAAAGTCTTCATACATTAGATCATTGGCATTTTCTTGATCGTCACCGTCGAGATCGTCGGATTCTTCGTAATCGTCCTTAGAGACTTTTTCCTTTAGGGGCGCATCTTCTTCATCTTCTTCGTCACCCCCGAGAGTGGCTGGGTCTTGGTTATAGTCGATGCCTTCTTCCTCATCGTCCGAGTTTTCTGGTCCTCCACGCATGTCTTGGAGCTCTAGTAATTCTGTTTGACGATTGAAGTCGTCAATGGAGAAGAAACCATCATTTAGGCCGTGAACATCTTCTGTGTATTCTTCAGCCTCTTCATCTTCCTCCGCTCCCTCGTCCGTCTCTTCAGTGCCGGACCCAACGTCCATTTGGTCGTATTCGTCGCGGAATTGGACACCACCCTCATCTTCATCGTCACTATCGCTGTCGCTGTCGGGCACTTCCTGGTCCAATTCTTCCTCGGGAACTTCTTCATATTCTAATGAATCTTCGGCGTCGCTCTCAGCCGAACTCTCACTGTTTTCCTCCTCCTCATCAAAGTGCGCCGCTTTTCGCTTTTTTCCGTTCACAACCGCTTCGTCATGAACGGGACCAATGGCCTTTCTCTCACCTACCCCACTCTCAACAGCATCCACCACAATTTTAACCTGCTCCCACACCTGGTCCACGTCAAAGCCTTCCAGATAAATCTTCTCCAATACATCCGGCTTCTTCCCACTCTGATTCTGTTTCTCCTTCCCCGCGAACACTGCCGCTAGCGGGTCAAGGTACTGCTTTGCCATGACGAGCGCAGCATTGTGTAGATTTGCCCCTGGCTGCAAAAACTCGTGCGGGCTCGCAGAGAGTGCTTGCAGCAGCAATGGGGAGGGACCGCCGCTGCCTCCGTTCATGGTGGATTTTCTGGTATTGTCGGCGGAAAGAGTTCTGGAGGAATCGGAAGCGAGAGAACCGGCCATGCGTAGAAGTGCTGAGAGGCACTTAAAGGGGGCTATTTTATAGAGAGGGGGGGGGTTTGGTTGCAATTGCTTGTTTTCTCTTCGCGATGCAGTGCAGCTGCAAGAAAGGAAAAAAAAATCAAAGTGAAGTAAATCATAATTTTTGCCGAGGGGTGCTAACGCTAGTATGCTTCTGGTAAGTGGGGAGCTATACAGCCCTAACCCTGGTCACCTGAGTGACGTACAGCGGTGGGTATTAAGTCATCGGACGGCCTAGCCACAATTTTGCCTGCAAACGCGTATTTTGGTGGCGTTCTGTCTGATCACTTATTACCCACCGCTGTACAAGCAGTAAAGAAGATATCTGCGAAGATGATGGCTCGCATCGCCTGTATGAGGTTACAAGAAACTCCGTCAGTCATAGACTATTTTGAAGGCTGTTCGGTGGCAAGATTTCTCTCCAAACCCATTTACCTACTACATGCATATCTCAAATTCAATTCCCCGCAGAGCTACAAATTAATTGATGCCGTGTTCTTTCTTGGCTTTGAATGGCGAACAAGCCCGATATAAGTATTTGGCAATGACCGGAGTCAAGAAAGAGATTCTATGAATGTGTATCGACGTTTAAGTTAGACATTCATAAATGGGTTAGGGTTTAATTCTATTCGTTAACTGAGTCAGCGCAGATCTTTGTCATCACATTGTGATTCACCCTCACCTTTTTTCTTTCTCTTCTTTCCCCTACCTGTTGTTTCAACTTCGACTTGATATCAAAAATCTGCTGTCATACCCAGCCTCATCACTTAGGTACTTTTATCTATCACATCCTTAGACCTTCCTGAGGTTTTTTTTTTCCATCAAAACTTAGCCTTTGTATCTCTTCACCTTATCTCGACCCCTCACCAACACCCCACTACACCCCGCAATATGGAGGAAACGAATGGCGACAAGCTAGGAAACGACGTCTTTGACAATACAGACAAGCTTGGAAATGATCTTCCTGACGATGGGAACGACTCAGCTCCTGGGTCTCCTGGACTAGATGCCCAATCTGATTCTGAACTTGACGAAGTCCCGAGCAAAGACCTCAAGTCAGCACTAAAAAACACTGGAAAGATCCAAGAGATTGTGGCACCTAGACCACCGCTTCCCCCCCAACCCGACCCATCAACTCTTGATCTTTCTACGCTTTCCCCATTGTCTCCCGAAATCATTTCCCGACAGGCAACAATAAATATTGGTACCATCGGGCATGTCGCTCACGGGAAAAGTACCGTTGTAAAGGCCATCTCCGGTGTTCAGACAGTCAGGTTTAAGAACGAGTTGGAGAGAAATATTACCATCAAACTTGGATACGCCAATGCCAAAGTATACAAGTGTAATAATGCAGATTGTCCTAGACCTGGTAACTACAGGAGTTTCAAAAGTGACAAGGAGGTTGATCCCGATTGTGAGAGAGAAGGATGTGGTGGAAAATACGAACTTCTACGACATGTTTCGTGAGCCTACCCTCCTTAGATTTTTTAAAACCTCCGACTGACTTTGAAACTAGCTTCGTTGACTGCCCGGGGCACGACATTCTTATGAGTACCATGTTGTCTGGTGCCGCTGTAATGGACGCCGCTCTTCTTCTCATTGCCGGAAATGAATCTTGCCCTCAGCCTCAGACATCAGAGCATTTGGCTGCGATTGAGATCATGAAGCTAAACCACATCATCATTCTTCAGAACAAGGTCGACTTGATGCGTGAGGCCTCTGCGGAGGAGCATTACCAGTCTATCCTAAAGTTCATTCGTGGAACTGTCGCAGATGGCTCCCCTATCATTCCTATTTCTGCCCAACTGAAATACAACATCGATGCTATCAATGAGGCGCTTGTGTCGAAGATTCCTGTCCCTATCAGAGACTTCACCGCCACCCCCCACATGATTGTTATTCGATCTTTTGATGTCAACAAACCTGGTGCTGAGATTGAGGACCTGAAGGGAGGTGTTGCTGGTGGCTCAATCTTGACCGGTGTATTAAAGTTGGGAGATGAGATTGAAATCAGGCCTGGAATCGTTACTAGGACCGACGAGGGCATCAAGTGCAAGCCCATTTTCTCCAGGATTGTTTCGCTCTTTGCCGAGAACAACGACTTGAAGTTCGCTGTCCCTGGCGGTCTTATTGGTATAATCTCTACGAAATGCATGGTTATATAGCTACTAACACAGTGAACAGGTGTTGGAACCCGTGTCGACCCCACCCTTTGCCGTGCTGATCGTCTTGTTGGTTTCGTTCTTGGTCTCAAAGGACGATTGCCTTCAATCTATTGCGACCTTGAGGTTAACTACTTCTTGCTTCGCCGTCTCCTCGGTGTCAAGACTGCCGACGGCAAACAAGCCAAGGTTGCCAAGCTTACCAAGAACGAAGTTCTCATGGTTAACATTGGTTCAACCGCTACTGGAGCTAAAGTCATTGCTGTTAAAGCTGATGTTGCCAAGCTCCAGCTGACATCCCCAGCGTGTACCCAAGATGGAGAAAAGATCGCGCTCTCCAGAAGAATTGAGAAGCACTGGAGATTGATTGGATGGGCAACGATTGTCAGGAGCGGAACCTCCCTAGATCCGGTCGAGGATTAGAGAGTGTTTTCTCAAGAGTGCTTTTTCTATTGTTTGGGGTTGGGGCAAGGGTTACATGGGGAGTTACCTTCCTACTCGGTTTTTCTTTACTCTGTAAAACCGGAGTTCTTTTCTTCGTGCTTCTATTTTTTCTTCTTTCCTTCTCGGCTTGGAGGTGGCCCCTTGTCATAATCTTGATATGGTATGAGGAATGAACAAAAGTTGGGAGTCGCCAGGTGGGTTGTACTCAGTGAACATAGTTCGTTTTTTGTAAGAGGAATAGAAAATATACAAAAGTTTCTTGGCGTAAACACCTCCATGCAAGTAGATGGGGGTTAGAGAATACGGCTTACCAAATTTCTATTTTGGTTTATATTCTTAGGAGTCTACCTACTTTATTTAAATTCATGATTTGAACTCGAATGTCGTATCTAGATCTACATGTAGTCAGTTAACGTAGTTTTCATATGCAGAGTTCATCTCGAGAGTTGTTAAACGCGGCATAGACCTGGAAGCTACGTGGCTGCGCTGTTACAGATCAACCGCCATAGTTTATCACTCGATATTATGGTTTAGCCTACGGTTTTTTTTTTTGTTTGTTTAATTCATTATGCCTACCTACGGCTGCTAATATAATCGGGGCAGGTAAAAGTACCGGACAATGCAGGTTTTTAGTTCACCAATGGACACGCGTGCTAGGCGTGAACTACTACAAAAAAAGCCCAGAGACAAAACTTGCATTGTCCGGTACTTTTTACCTGCCCCGAGTATACATGTAGGTACATATACTCTAGAGCGGAGTCAGCAGGATAAGATTAGGATCAAACAAAACAAATTACAGCTGTGTATGATAAGTTTATTGTGGTACCCAGCCCGAATTACAATAGATGTAGTCTAACACAATAGGTCAAAAGTGGAGTTTTTGGTCTCAGGTATGCATACTAGTATGTAGGTACAGCCACTCTGCAAAAGTGTTCGTGATTCCGATTTCGGAGTGAGATATTTCTCCATATGTAACCGTGGCGGATCACCGAGAACCCCCCAAGAGAAGATTTTCCCAGTGACCAATGGCGCCTAAATTAATGAAGAATAAGATCAATGACCTATCTTCTTTTTATATATATAGTCACAAACTATATTATATATTTTTTCGTTGTTTTGAATCTCAACTTTAATAACATAAGTATTACGGGTGCGCCACAGTGCGCACTGACATTAAAACTATATCACGAACACTTTTGCTGAGTGGCTGTATATACATAGCTGGACTGTTTCATTTCTCGATTACGAAATCTTGCGCACATTTCGCCTTGTGCTACCGCACTTAGTTCCCTGAGCCTTGATGATGATAACGAGCAAAACTGCTTAAGCTGTGTGCTCAAAAACATCATATCCGTGCTAGAGCACCACGCCTTCCCGGATCGTCTAACTATGCCCAAACTCGTTTTCCGCGTTACGGGTATTCCACTCTGGGCTACCGCAACCGACATCGAGGAGGTACTCCTGTTGAGGGAAGAGGTCAGAGTAGAGCGCATGACAATCACTCCTTCCTGTTACGGTGATAATACCCAAACGGCTATCGTCCAATTCGAACCAAGCCCTCCGAAATATTTGGAGGAAGTCGTTTCTGGTTCTTTACGGGACCGCCAGCTATCAATGTGTGGCTCGGACATAAACATCGACAAGAATTTCTACGGCTTTACTCAGCTTTACCGCATAGAGGACGATGCAAAGATTGCAGCAGAGTAAATTCCCATCTAGAATTCGGCCGGATTATACTTGATATATGCGTGCTTATATATACACCCCTAGCATTGTGGCGGTAACAGGGCTCGCAGGCCATGCATTTGGATCTTGGAGAGGGAAGGGCGATTTCAACAGGATGTGGCTTCAAGATTTCCTCTCGGAAGATCTTCCAAATTGTAGGACAATGATATATGGCCATAACTCGGCACTTTTAAATAATGGATTATACCAAATAAAAGACTACACCCTGGGATTTATAAGCGAACTCATGAGAGTGAGGTCATCAATCTTGAGTAAAGTAAGCAAACACCTTTCTTTACCCGCATTCAGCTACCCCGTTTTCCGGGGATTAAGCTTTTTTCATCAAACTTCTGAGATCTTTGATAATTATTATCTGTTATCAATTCCGAGCGTTCCTCTGAGATCTCCAAAAGCCCTTAAGTGTTACTTATATTGTAGGTGTCTATCTTGCTTATAATCTATGTTATGCCGACTTCTAGGGGAAAGTAAGACCAATAATCCTTATTGGCCATAGTTTTGGTGGTATCATAATTACCCAGGTACTCTTCAAAATTTCATAGCTTTCCAAATCGTATTACAATTCCATATACGATATCATATATACATGTACTAATGTATCACACTGGCAAAATGCATCAATGCTAACCATTCAATGTGGGCGTGGAAAGTCTCTTGTAAAATGCAAAGAGCTCTCCGGCAGTGATCTAGCTGCAAGTAATATATTCAAGTCGACATTTGCCACAGCCTTCTTCGGCACACCGCATCGTGGGCTCCTCGGTGACGACATCCTTAAAATGGCCAGTAAAATGGAAAAGGAGAGAATAGAGCTTGTTAAGTCGATTAGTGAAGATAACTTGTGTGATGAACTAAAGAAGTTTATCAGACTTGCACCGGGGCTAAAGATTCTAAGTTTTTACGAACAATTGAAAGGGAAAGGGCTGGAAGAGGTATTGCACATGATTGATTTCCGTTTTATATACGTGTATGTGCACGCATGTGCTCAAGCTTAAACAAACCTAGGACATGGAAGGGCGTTTTTCCAGAACCGGCCAATATGTTATGGCAGTCAGCCGCGAGTCTGCATTACTAAATCTGGCCCCCGATATCGAGACTAGTATACCCGTGGATTCCGATCACACGAATCTGGTGAAGTTTAATACGAAGGAAGATGCGGCCTACAGAGAAATCAAATCCCGGCTCGGGCTTTTTCTGGAGCAATATTATAAGAAAGGCGGTATGTTAATATATTTATCATTCACGATAACGAGAGTTTCAGTTAATCTGACCATAATCCAATATCCTAGGAGAGAATAATAATATTAATAAGATTCATGGTCAACCCACGCACTCTTTAGGTTAATTAGCCCGTTTGTATTTTATTATTAAACTGATAAGACTCAATTTAGAAATTGGGACTAATCTTACATGTATACTACCTAAATAGTTAGCGATATCCCGCCGGAACTCAACGCCTCAAAACAGCCCACTAGACACCGCACAATACCTCACTGTGCCAGTCCAATTTTTACGGGGAGAGATGACATTCTCGAGTATCTGAAAAACTATTTCTTCCCGTCAGATCCACCCGATTCAGACCAAAGGCTTGTCTTCGTTTTGCACGGGATGGGGGGTTCCGGGAAAACCCAAATCAGTTTGGAGTTCATTCGAAAATATGGCAGCAGGTATTTCGCACCCCCTATACGTGCAGTTGCCATCTCATGAAGATGTATATTTATGTAGTGGTCTAAAATTTCATGTATCAATAGATTCTGGGGAATTTTCTGGATAGACGCCAGCACGCCAGAAATGACTGAGCAAAGCTTTTGCGACATCGCACGAGAATTTCATCTTGATGAATGTACATCGAAGGCTGCAAAACTATATTTAGCCAACTGCAAAAAGGAAAACCAGTGGCTGCTCGTCATCGACAACGCGGACGACCCTGATATCGATCTTGAGGGGTTTTTCCCTAGAGAGGATATGGGTAACATTTTAGTCACAACGAGAAACGCTGAATGTCGATCCTTCTTCTCAGAAAACGGCTACTTCGAAGTGGATGCGATGGACCCCGAAGATGCCGTCAAGTTATTGCTTAAGATTACAAAATTAGATGGGCCATCGTGCGATTCTAAGAAACCACTGGCAACTAAGATCGTACAAGAACTGGGCTGCCTGGCTCTTGCGATAACTCATGCTGGAGCGTTTATTGCAAATGGCTCTACAATGGATACATATCTAGAGCATCTTCGAGAAAACCCCAAAGACTTGTTCAATATCCGCTTCGCTCAAGGCTCTGGAGCCTACAAAAGAACTGTTTTTACAACGTGGGAGTTGTCGTTCGATTCCCTGAAGGATCCATCCGCATCACAAATCTTACAGATCTTTGCATTCTTCCACTATGATAGAATTCCTAAAGACATATTCAGGCACGCATCTGGAAGTCGCCAGACAGAAGAGCTGCCGCAATCATTGTCTAGGCTTCTAATACGGAGACCTGGTGGCACTTGGAATTCTCTAGATTTCGAGGCGTCAATTCGCAATCTCCTCTCTTTCTCTCTCATAAAGCAAGACACATATAGAGAGAAGGTTATCTACTCTATTCATCCTCTTGTGCATACCTGGTGCCGCGAAAGGCTGGAGCATAGCGACCAAGCTAGTTTTCGAAAGTTAGCTAGTACTCTTCTTGAACGCTCGGTAGACGGAATCACCGATCGGGATAGGGCATCTCTCATACCGCTGTTGCCCCACATTGAATCATGCAAAAGGACCGTCCCTGGTTTAGCCCTATTTATACAGCCTTCGTGTTTTTGGAGTGTATATCATGCTGCAGGAAAATGGAAAGAAGCGGAAGAAATTACTATAGAAATGCTGAATAATAACAAAAAGCTGGGCGAGGAGCACCCAGACACCTTGACATCGATGGGCAACCTTGCATCGACGTATTGGAACCAGGGAAAGTGGAAGGAGGCAGAGGCCCTTGAGGTTGTGGTGCTGGAGGCCAGAAAGAGAGTGCTGGGCGAGGAGCACCCATTTACATTACAGTCGGAGAGAAATCTTGTACATATTCGGGAAGGGATTATGCGTTAAGAAGCAGCAGAAGTCAATTCAGTTGCAGTGTGGAAAGCGAAAGCACGGAAATTTTTCGGTATGGGAGATGTACGAAGGACTCGGTTTCAAAGTCGCAAGCAGAATATTATCGCGGGAGGATAACTTAGAGACATGACTCTACCTTTCTCATATATATATGCATGATTCATCTCGATCTTATATATATTCTCATTTGGCTGTGACTCACGAGTGAGAGCGTGTGATGCGTTACCGCTATAGCTAGAGTGAATGCGCATACCATAGCCACACGATCAAGGAAAGAACGCTCGAGTTGCGTTAAAAGGAGTTGTCTTATGCAGATACTTGGGAGTTTGTATGCTGTCGATCAAGAAAGGGAGTAAAGGAATGGGGGAGCAGCAACCATAAGATATGCAGATAAACCTGAGTTCTGTGGCCGTAGTACCTTATATAACCCGGCTCACCATTAATTCATCACAACTTCTGTGGACGTAGATATGCTTAGAGCATGCAAAATACCTACATATATATGTATGCATAGCCAGGGGCGTCCGAGAAAGTCCGAGGTAACGAGTACCCCGATTCCAAGTCTGCGGGTCCCGGGAATTTATTTAGTACCCTCGCAACTATTAACGACCAATTAAAAAGAGTCTGTAGTGTGTGCAATTCAGTGGACTTCAGGCCTAGGTGTAATGTCAGTATCTAATATAAGTAGATGGAGGTTCTGCTCCTAAGTTTAAAACCTTTGGCAATACGATATGCTTACCGGTATAGTTATGGATTTGCCCTTAAGCTTATCATATCCGGTTTATCTGTGTTCTTGTTTTCAAAATATCATGTGAGTGATTAATTAAACAAAGATGGAGGAGGTATTACATATGTATTAATTGATCGGGTGTGATTCATTAATTATTTCTTAAGGATGAGGTGTTAAGAAGATTAATGGGACCGGGCCATCCTATCCTTATATCCTTATAGCTAATATCCTTATAGCGAGAGATTGCTGTAGACGCAAATATCCCCAAGGATCATAAGTAGAAGAACCCCACAGTGCCCACAAAACTAGCACTAGAATATTAACCAATCTTCAATCATGCACACCACAAACACCCACCCACCTCACCCCCTCCTAGCAACAACAACACACCCCCTCACAACCCCATCCCTCCCCACCACCCCACCACCCTCCCAGCCGCCGCAAACCCACCCCACCCCTTCAAAACCCCCACATCCCTCACCACCTCCCCACGCACACCGATAAACCGCTCCAGCCCCGGAAACACCTCCGCCGACACATCACACACCGTGATGTCCTCGCGCGCATACCCCGCCGAAACCAGCATACCGCGGTACTCCTCCTCCGTGAGCATGTTCGCGTACGGGATCTGCGTGACCACACACACAAGCCTCAGCAGCACCCGCTGCAGCGCCGTGGCCGACCCGGGCCGCAGCAGGTCGAACGCAACGGGCGACGACCCGAGTTCGCGCGAGACGTGCTGCAGCGCTGGCGCGCGCGTAGGCTAGGAGTGGTATAGTGAGTCGAGCACGATGGTCTAGCGGGCTGCAGTGGCACTGCTGGTGTCTGTGGGCCATAGTGCGGGCTTGGAGGCGTCAGCGAGGTGTAGCTCTATGGTGTCTTCCTTGTTGTGGGCTGCGCCCAGATATGGGTGGGCTTCGATGTGTGCCTGGAGGCGTACTTAGGCGTGTAGGAACTGGGGGCGGTTTATGGTGAGGCCGTCGTATTTGCAGAGGGTCAGACCCGCGCGGGAGAGCTCGGTGCAGAGCGCTATGGTCTGGTCGCCGTAGCCAAAGCCGAGGCCCCAGGGCCTAATTGGGCGTGAGGACGGTGTTTTGAGGATTTCGGACTTTTCGAGGAGAAGCTGGAGTAGGTTGTTGCAGGCGATGGGGAAGTCGGATGTGTTCTATATACGCAGTGGGATTAATATATGAGTATATATGTTTGGATGAATTTGTAGCTAGCTAGCTAGGGCTATTCTCTTTTAGTGGAAGGAAATACCTTCCACTAGCCCATGTTCATCCACATTGTAGTTTCATGTTAAGAAGCGCATGCTCCAGACCGTATATATCTCTACGCGGTGGAAGCCCATAATTGAACAGCCTACGGATGGCGCCCAGGAGCCGCGGAGCAAGAATGAACGTCAGAAGGCCAAGGACATAGGCAACAATTGAAGTATTAGAAAACATGGCGATACTGGCGTGGAAGTACGAACGGACGTCTAGCTGCGACGACGTCAACCAACCCACAAGCGCCAAGGCAAATAATACCTGGACTCCCTGAAACACAGCCCATCACTCGTCCCATCCATTCCGCGGCTGTGGCGGCAGCGGCGGCACACGCACGAGCCACACGGAGCTGGTGCATGACTCAGCACACGCCGAAACCTCACCAACCGTTCAAAGAAATCTTTCTTGGGAGTCCCCGCGGCGCACATCTCATCCCACCCGCCTTTCCCCCCCACCACCCCACCAAACCAATCCACACTCCGGGGAAAGAAGCAGGCCCCCTTTCTACATACCGGAAAGAAAGTACATACGCAATTGACAATCTGCAGCAGCGACACAATGGCGACGAAGCCCGTCCACCCGGTGGTCGCAAATCTGGGCAGGAATCTGTTCATCTATAACAACATCCAGACCAAGCAGGTCGTGTACTCGTTAACGAGATCGTTAAAGGTGCTCCGCCTGTTCACCCCTTTCTCCGAGCCCCTGCCTGTACATTGCGCCTACTAGTCCTCCTTTTCCTCTTACCATTACTACATTACTACCACTACCATTACCACCACCGCTATAGTTACTACCACTACTACATACCATACTAACACCCCACAGAACAATAAAATGCTCAAACAAATCACCTTCGTCGGCAAAAAGTCCGTCCCCGCCGCCCTGCGCAAAGACGTGTGGACACCGCTCCTCTCCGTCTCCTTCCCCTTCCCCGCGGTGGGTCTCAAAACGTTCAAGAAGCTGCGCGAGTTCAAGAAGCTGCACGAGACGGCGTACCCGCGCGAGCTCGTGGCCGGAAAGACAAAGAAGGAGAAGAAGAAGATCCTCATGGACCAGAAGGCCAACTCCATCGCCGACCTGGCCGCCTCGCTCGAGTGGGAGATTGCAAAGGCCAACCGCGAGCACGACGAGATGGCGGGCAAGAAGGACCAGCCGCCGAGGATTGGCAGGGATGAGGTTGTCGTGAGGTGGCAGGATATCTATGATGCGCAGTATGCGAGGGATTGGCCGGAGCTAGTAGTGCATGAGGTAGCAGAGAGAGCGAGGCATACGGCGCCGAAGGCTGTGGAGGAGAAGGGGGTGCAGGAGGGGAAGAGGGAGGTTGAGGTTCTGGCGGCATAAGGGGTGGGTTGGCGCGGATGTGGTGGGGTGGGGTGAGGTGGGTGGCGTGTGGCTTTTGGTCGCACGGGGTGTGTTCTGATGTTCGTGCGGGTAGCGCGCTTTCTTGTAGAATTCATGTACAAATATTAGGGACATGTCCTGAGCGGACGCGCAAACGTATTGTGCATACTCCACATTGGTTCTTTAATTTCTCTGGCTCACACGAGGTTCTATATGATGCTATGTTTCATATAAACTATCTTTATTTTGAGCTACACACTAAGCATGTATCACAAGACCCAATAAGTCCCCCAAGCATCTTGAGTATGCTAGTAAACATATACCAAGAAAGAGCAGGCCAATTGAGTTACTCGACCCATTCCCCTAACCCCCTCGCCGTCAGCATTACTACCCACACTACCCAGTGCCAGAACCAAAATGTAACCTACCATTCTCTTTATGCCACTCCTCCAACGACAGATTATTATAGTCCTCATGGACCTGCTTCTTCCCCTCCGGCCACCGCACCTACGCCCCCCACCACCATCAGCACCATTCCCACTACCACCACCACCATCACACGAAAACAAAAAAGGACTAAAACTCACATATGCAGGCTTGCTATTATTCTTGATACACACCATCTCCGCGGGCTCCTTCAACGGCGTATCAATCGCCGGCGCAAACGGGTGCACCAGCTCCGGCCTATCCTCCCATATCATGCACACACACGCCATATCAATTAATAACCCCCCCACCACCACCATTCGCCCCCCCTGGGGACAGGCACCACTCACCAATGACTATCCCACACCCACAACATCGTCGAGCACTTTGAGCAGAAGCTGCGCTCGCTATTCGCCAGTTTCTCCTCTGGCGTATCGCGGTTCAGCACCGCCTTGTACTTACTACATGTATATAAAAACCAACAGTGAGCAGTTATCTTGCTGCGCAATTAATTGGGGTTTTTGGCTACCTGATGACATCGGCCCCCTGCGAGATCTTGAGCGTGTTGAACCAGCCGCCGAGATTGACGGAGCCCAAGTAGCCGCCGGTCTTGCGGCAGATGGAGCAGGCGCAGAGTTGGTAGGGGACGGGGGTGCTGCTGTCGAGCGAGAAGCGGACGGCGCCGCAGTGGCAGGAGCCGTGCAGGGTGCTGCGGGTCGGGGGTTAGTGGGTGTGGGGAGGAGGGGATGGGGGAAGGAGGAGGGGGCGTACACTGGCATTATGACCGGTTGTGATATGGGGTTGTGTATGTGGTTTAATTGTGGGGTTGTAGTTTATTGTAGCTGAGGCCCTGGAATTGGTACCTACTTGTATTGCAGGTACTATTGCGGGATATATAGCTTGAGACAAGCTCGGTGGTAAGGTGTGGGGTAGGTACTTTATCGCCGAGAAGGGAGGGTGCGGGTGTGATGTCATTGGCTGGGGGCGATCACGTGCAGTGCTGCTGCTGGATGTCACGGATTTGCGTGGGTTTGTAAGGATTACAATTATTATTGTTGATCGACACGGCCGGGGGGATTACAATTGTTACTCTGCTTGACATGGGACGTGGGGCCATGGGTGGGCTGGTGAGTCATGGTGTATCACTCGGGGTGGAGTGTCGTAGCGAGGGTCTGGCTGGGTGGTTGGTGGGTTCATTGAGTTGCTGCAGAGAGACAAGATTGCAGAGACAGGAGTATGTGTGGTGTTTTGTGGCCTTGGTCAACCAGGGGCGCTGTAGGTTCCCATACCGTTCTGAGTATTGCATCAATTACGGCCACATCTCAAGACCAAAGCACAACCACAAGCTGTCTTTACAAAAAGCCACGAATGCATACATACACGGCCCGGGGCGTATATCTACCACCCAACCTCCACCACATCCTAGATCCGCAAACAGCATCTACAATCCCTAGCCTACAACCACTCCACACCACACCAATCCATAATCACCACAACCACCATAAACACACCACAAAAACCCAAAATGTGCTCCTGGATCCGCTTCATCTACGAGTGCCGCTGCATCGGGCAGTATATGGCGACGCGGTACTGCCAGCGCGGGCCCTGCCCCACGGGCATGGGCGAGGTGGTGCTGCTCATCATTCACCGCTTTGTGTGCGGCCCGTGCGGCGATCTGAGGATGCAGGTGGCCAGGAGCGAGGCGGCGAATAAGAAGTAAGCACGAGAGTAGCGGTGCGGCAGACTTTTGCTGTGAGAGCATGGGGGCTATGAAGCTTTTGATTCGGTGGATGCGGTTTTTATTTATTATTGCGGTTATATTGGCTAATAGCGGGGCGTTGTTATTGCGAATGACCGGCGCGGCCGAATGAGAGGTAGGAGGTTGTGGGGAGGCTAGGTAGTAATAAATATGGGGATTGATAATACATGACGTTCGTTAGGGCCTGCATGTTGGTTTTGATGTTTCACCTCCAAAGACACCTAAAATACCACGCACAGTACTATTCTGTTGGGCTGCAATATCATGGTATTTGTGTCCATCCAATGGATCAAACAGGCCCGTAATTCATATTCCTTTTTTCTTCTTATTATCCAAACTTTTCACTGCATGTACTTTCTTGTAGTTATGAATGAGCACACATGATGGGGTTGTAAACATGAACTATCACTCGCATCCGCCAAGACTTGGTTGATACTATGTGATTGGGACATGGCATGGTGCTACAAGGTTAAAGTAGACTGGCAGTTTCCCGATAGTCTTTTTTATGCCAGTTAGAAGCGCCAGCCCGACCCAACCTGGCGACACTCAACGTTCAGCATTTATCAACAATCGTGTTACGCCAGACGGTCGTTCCAATTTTATTCTATGTCACGCAACGCCCGCCATTTCCAAAAGCTAGCAAGCCAAGTCGCATTTTGTAGTGTACATAAGGTAATATTAAGATCTAGCAACCATCAGAACCTCTCATCCGCACACACACAAAAATAGGAGCGCAAAGCACAAACCATTCAAAATCACTGAGACGAAAAAAACGAAGAAAAGCCGCTACAGTTCCCAATCCTTCCCACCCTAACTCCTCGGCGCCAGCCCCGGCACCCCCGCATACCGCTCCTCCCTCTCCGTCTTAAAAAACAGCTGCAAAAAGAACTCCTTGCTATCCGCATCAAAATGCGTCCAAAACCTCCCGGGACTCCTATCCACCTCTCTCGCCTGCAACTTAAAGCTAACCGTCTCATACGGCTCCGCCGCCACAAGCAGATACTGAAAATTCTTATCCGCGGGCACCTCCACGCGCTGCTCAAACGCCGACATGAAGCGGTACCTTGGTTTAATCTCCGTGCCGATCTCGGGGTACTGCAGCTGGAAGAGCAGGCCCAGCTGCCGCGTCACGGGGTCGCGCAGCTTGGTGATCTTGTAGCCGGGCCGCCCGATCTTGATGAGGTTCTTGCGCGGCGCGATGAGCTGCTGGCCGATCATGCCTTGCGGGAGGCCCGTGATGGGGTCGAGGTTGCGGCCTTCTTTGGCTTCGCGCGCGGCGCGGCGGGCGAGGTTGGTTTGGTGCTTGCGGCCTTGGGTGTGCGCGAGGTAGGAGCCGTCGTTTTGGTGTACGGTCAGGCAGAGGCGGCATTCGAAGGAGCCGACGTGGTTCTTGAAGCTACGCGTGTGTTAGTGGGGAGGTGGCCCGGGGGGGGGGGGGGTAGAGACAGTGGGGGAGGGGAGGGGGCTTACAAGTAGGGGTCTTTGTCGAGGTCAATGGTCTCAAGTGCGAGCTTGCGGAGACGCTCGCGGCGGTCCTGGTTGGAGGCGGAGTGCGAGGCGACACCGCCGCCGCCGAAGCGGGAGCCGACACGGCCTTCGTATGCCATTGCTTATGGGAGTAGTAGTGGTTTTACGGTGGTGGTGAGAAGGTTCTTGGTGTTGTTGTTGTAGTGGCGCTGGACTTGGTCGTGGAAGGTAGAGTCGATAGTTGAGAGCCGGGTGTGTGATAGTTGTTGTCCCAGACTCCCAGCTGCAAAATATCCGGCTGCTGTAGCGCGCCGTCCGGGTAACCGTCGCTGCCCTTGTAATCCCTGCAACGCAAGACCAGCTGCCAAGACTCGGTTGCCAAGCAGCACAGCAACGACGGGCCATGGTGGGGGACAACTGCATGATGGAGGAGTAAGTAGTTGGAGAGCTCAGTCAATCAGCACCTCAACCCACAATCAACTCCATCAACCACCAACAACCCCCCCTCCATCACCACCCATCAAGAAAAAATAGATATCCAGAATGCCCGGCTTCGACTTCTCAAACCACACCCGTAATGCCGCCCTCCATGCGAGAGGCATGCCGCTGCCCAAAGCTACGTCCACGGGTACCACCATTGTCGGGTGCATATACGATGGAGGGGTTGTCATAGCTGCTGGTTGGAACACCCCCCTTCCTTCTTGATAGAGATAGAGATGCGGATAGAGATGGTGATGGTGATGGAGCTTGGTGCTGATGGATGTGCGGTGGAACAGATACGAGAGCTACCAGCGGCCCGATTGTGGCTGATAAGAACTGTGAGAAGTTGCACTACATCGCTCCGCAGATATGGTGTGCCGGTTCGTCTCTTCCTTCTTCAAACTATACAACGATATAAAGCTAACATCCCCCAGGAGCCGGAACCGCCGCCGAGTAACCCCCCCCCCCCCCTCTCCCCGCCTGACTGCAAGCACCCCCACTAACCCCACCACAGCACCGAATTCACCACCTCCCTCATCTCCTCCTCCCTCGAGCTGCACTCCCTCAGCACGGGCCGCAAGCCCCGCGTCGTCACCTGCATGACGCTCCTCAAGCAGCACCTGTTCCGCCACCAGGGCCACATCGGCGCATACCTCGTCGTGGCCGGCGTCGACCCCACCGGCGTGCACCTGTTCACCGTGCACGCCCACGGGTCCACGGATAAGCTGCCGTATGTCACCATGGGCTCGGGATCGCTGGCCGCGATGGCGATCTTTGAGACGATGTGGAAGAAGAACCTCACCAGGGAGGAGGCCATAGAGCTATGCAGTCAGGCGATTCAGGCGGGTATCTTTAATGATTTGGGGTCTGGGAGTAATGTGGATGTGTGTGTGATTACGGAGGAGAAGGTAAGCAACAACAACACCCCTCTGCCTCCCCACCCCGCGGCTTGGGTGTGGTGTGTGTGACTAACAGCGGGTGCGTAGGCGACACTCATGCGCAACTACCTCACCCCCAACGAACGTATGCCGAAGGAGCAGTCGTACAAGTTTGCGCGCGGCACCACAGCGTACCTGAAGGAGGTTGTCATCGAGAAGAAGGATCTGAAAAAGTACGTCACGATTGTGGATCTGGCGGCGTCTGGGGCTGCGGCGGATAGCATGGAGATTGATGCTTAGAGATTCTTTGTGTGGCTACTGCAATTAAGATCTCCTGTAGTAGGGTGAATTGAAAATTAGCAATTGATATCGTGGCTTTGTGGTTTTGTGTTTGGGATGTGGTGTGAGACTTGGTGATACTTGGTGGGGCAGGGGGCCGGGGGGGGGGGGGGGGGGTAGGGTGTGCAGGTGGTGATGACGAGTGACGCTGATTGATATACGTGGCCTACATAACTAGCTGTGAGATATGTATAGCCGACTCCCACTATAAGGGTACCCTCCGTAGGAACACTCGCCCCATAAGGAGCCCGGTGCGCAAGCTAGCCACCAAAAGTGAACTTCCCACTCTACCAAATTCAGTAGTTGCGAACCCTTCATCCCCAAAAGCGAATTTCCTACTCCGCCAAATCTATCTAACCCTGAGATATCTAGAAGGGCAACTGTTCTATAAAGGTTAGTACAATCTCGTGGTATTTCCGTACTCTTATTGGGAGTGTCGGTTGTATTACTACATGTCCTTATGTAGTACTGTGCATCCCCTGCCCTTTGCTCAAGGTGTGGTCGCTTCCGGTAATGTCAATGATCGAAAAGATATAATTTGTGGATACCTACGCAAGTACGAAGAGGTCAGAGAAGAAACATAGCTGCAGTAAGTAGGTTTTGTAAAACTGTATCCGTTGATTGGTGTACATTGGTGAGTAGGTTGTGATGTTATAGTGGGGATGTGATAGGCGTTAGGGGTGGGGGTGGATGCTGAGTGGGTGTGTTGGTGTGGTTTTCGGTGGGGTTGCAATGTTGATATGACCTTGGTATCGAAAGGGGGGGGTAAAGAATTTGGTGGATGATATGTTAATTGTTACTTTAATTCACGGAGGTGAATGAGAAGGGGGGGGGGGGGGGGATGGAGCATTGGCTCTGCATCAGTACTCACGCTGCGGTATTTATACAGGCAGACTCAAGATTATATCTGCTAGTTTGGAGTGTCGAATGAATCTGCACCTTAACCCGTGCGGCGCGTGAAGGCATTCAGGCATATTGGGTCAGGGAGTGGGCTAGTCTGACAGAGCCACTAAGTTACTGTCGATTTCGTTTACTAAATGCGGTCCCCTGAACGCCGATATAATCGATTTCTGTTGAAGAGTTCAAGTATTGGCCATATGGAACAATTATAGGATAGTAACGAAGGGGTCTGGGGGGGGGGCCCTCTTCTCTGACGTCGGCCTGGGCCGCATATTTAAAGTTCACGCTAAGAAACCCAGTCCATGCCCTCAAGACTATCAAAAAGACAATGATAAGCACATGGGTTGGATGGCCTAGCGGTATTTGAGCCATTGTCTCTTTACCTGCTGTGTCTTGAGTGCGCGCGTTCAACCCATGCCCGGACCGAGGAATAAAGATTACCAGCTTGAAACCCCGCTGCAGGGGATGAGGGTTGGGAACTTTTTTTCTTTCTTTTATTGTCTTTTGGAAGATCCCGAGATTATTGTGTTTTCTGGTTAGAATTGTGGCAACATAGGCATGACAGGACTATGCTATAAGTCTTCTACTCCGCAGATCGCCTTGCTAATTCCATTTCCATCGTGAAGATATCACTTCGTATGGAGGTAGAATTTACGTCATATATTATCACTCGTGTGCTTACGACAACGCACATCTAACGCTGATTGGCTGGGTTTATGCGAGTGATCATTCATGATCAAATCCAGGCTTTTTCTTCTCAAGTAGCCACTTGGTTTGAAATTAGTTATATCTCAGTTTATTCCCACTTTGTGAAGATTTGATTGGTTGGGCAAGTTCTCAGGGTGATGCTGACTAGACAACGTACGTACTCCGTGCAAGTGTAATGCGGTCAACATGCGTGTGCTTCGGTCTTGTCGTGAATCGTGCATATCATGGGGGTTGCAACATAAAAAGAGAGCAAACACGAGTGTGATCCCACCCAGTTACCCTGGAGAATTCAGTCGGGCCACTCACTTACCTGATGATTGAGTCTTTCGTTATAGCAAGCAACTGCATCGATGGCTGCTATTCATTTTCCACAACAAAAGACTTACGTGCCCTCTGATATGGGTACTGCTTTGGCGAGATGGTATATATATACATTGTGATACCGGGGGGGGGGGGGTACGAACGATGGCCCCATGTTGAATGACCTCTACTAGGAGTGGTATACGAGCAGTTTTAGACTGACTCGTTCCCACTAGGCCATCGCGACCCCCATAACTCTGGTTCTGATTTTAGCGTATTTGAGCTGGAGTCTGGTTTATTTGATGTTTTGGCGGCACTTGGTGCGAAATGACACCCAGCGTATTAGCGTTTAACTCAATCGAACCCAGGTCCTCGACGCCGTACTTTTTTTTACACATCAGCGCATTACCATTACCGGATTGAAGCTGAAAGAAATAAGTGCGGGGGAGACCGTAGTGATGGCTTTAAGCTTTTCTCTCCAGATGTCTTCACAAGAATATATCTGGGGTGCTAAGTGTCGCTGGACACTGTGAGATCTCTCCAAGTATCGTCCCCCGTTAGAGTTTACATTTATCATATCGTACAAGGTGATGAGACATGCATTGGCGGTTCTACGACGCCGGAGAGATATTATTCTAGTGTTTGTGATCATGGATTATCACTCGGATATACTGTGTCTTCTTTGGAGCAAATATATGTATTCTATTGGGGAAAGCCTAGCCTCGCACTAGAATATAAAGAGTTTTTATCTAGAGCTTAGTAGATTCTAGGTGAGTAAGATATTTGACATCTATTCAAGAAGCCATTACTTCGGTAGTCATTCTCAATATCTCGAAGATGATATTAAAAATCCTACCAATAGCACAACGTCTTCATTTGGTATGTAGTTTTTTTTTATTGAGTGGGCGTGTATGAAACTCCTTTATACGAGATGTTCAGTGGTAATGGGATGTGGTCGATTTTGTCCCATATGCGTGCTCCTAAAGTGCAATTGAGCCGGGCGATTGCAGAGCTCAACCTTCTTCTCAAGGTGCCAAACTATCAGTTCAGATATCTTTTTTCATGACTGAGATAGAAAGCCGTGTCTATATGGAATTATGAGAATAATGGATTGTGCAAAGGGGACGTGCGATTAAGATATATAAGGCCGTTTTCGATCTAAAAAACATGCAGAGTTTTTGTGCCAGGTTACAAAGGATTTCCGCTTCAATACTCAATTAGGCTACAGTCTCTGCCCTCGACATATGACAACATATCACTGACGCCATTGAGGGGCAATACTTTTTTTTAATTGAGCAAGTTCTCTGTTGGGTATTTCTTTTCATCTCTATAATTAGATGGGGATGTATTTTCCTGGTTTACCCACTGTTCTCTCCATCTCTGAGTCCGTGGTCTCCTTTTCCATTCTAGTGAGTTAGAAACCACGGAGGAGCTGTACAATAATGTTTCTCCCAGTAAGCTTCTAGGCAAGAGCTACATAGCTACTGGAGATGAGTTATAGTCACGACACAACAATAAATTCTGAAACACTGGGCAGAGTCTACGCATAAACAACGATTTCTATTAAAACAACCGTGCCATGCATCCCGGGAATGGTATCGCAAAAAACCTGTAGATATGTCGATATGACTCCGCCAAAGCTATCCGGGACCCATTTTAGTGTTTCTCAACGCACACGAAAACAATTTACACAAATACACACCTTGGCAGCAATAAAAGAAAAAGGGATAAGAGGCTAGATAAAATGCAAGGTAAAAAGGGGGGCAATAAAATAATGATTTTTCGATGATTACCATCACGCCTGTCTACGGTATCTATCTTGGTCCCAGCTTCTCGAGCGCACGCGTCCCCTGCTCCTCCCACTCCGCCTTGGAGATCCACATAGCTTCTTGCTCTGCCATGATGTTTGCGAGCACAGCTCCACCAAGGAAGACCATGTGGCGTCTTCGCGGGGGGTCTTCGATACGGACTTTAAATTTCTGATAAATTGAATCTGGTCAGTAATTAATCCACCGAATACTAGAACTAGGAAACTCACGCTCAATCTGGTTGGGTCGCCGTTGAGGACCCTGGTAAGCCATAGCTGCTTCAGTTCCTTCTCCAGTCTGCTTGGCAGACCGGGGTACATGCTAGAACCACCCGAAAGCACGATAGCCTTGTACAAAGAGGTCCTGACATCGACATCGGCAGTTTGAATGGTGTTGAACAGCATCTCTGCGATTCCGGGCTGCTCACAGTCGACAAGGTGAGGCTGGAACATACATTCCGGCGCTTCGAAACGTTCACTGCCCACGCGGATCACACGACCGTCAGGGAGCGTATAGTTTTCAACAAGGACAGTAGTTTCCTCGGCAAGCTTGTTGTCAAGCTCAAGGTCGTAACTGACATAGCAGAGCTTCTCCTTCATCTGGCGCACAGTCTCAAAATCAGCTGTGCGGTTGAAGGCATAACCGCGGCGAAGCAGCAAACTAATAAGCTGGCGGGTGACGTCACGACCTGCAACGTTAAGTCGTGCTGTAAGATGGTTGAGAACGACACTCTCGTAGACAGGGACAATATGGGTTACACCATCCCCAGAATCGACAACAACACCAGAGCTAAGACCTAGAGATCAAGCTGTTATTTGGAGCTCAGGGCCAAGTAAACACGGGGAGCTACCGCGTACCTTGAGCGTATAGAGCAAGTACAGCCTGGATGGCAACATATACACCACCAAAATTGTATCGTTCAAACATAACTTCACACATCTTCTCCCTGTTGGCGAGAGGGTTCATCGGGGGCTCGGTAAGAAGGATTTTGCGACCAGTGGGGTCGATCTGGAGCTTCTCGGCGAAGGTGTAGTCCCAGACGTGCAGCATGTCGTCCCATCGTTTAATGATACCGTTATCCATCTACGATGGAGTTAGTAACTTGGCCGAGGTGTACTGCAGTTCAAGTATAGAGCTCACCGGATACGTGATCTGCAGCATTGACCTCGCAGCAGCAGCTTCATCTCCACACATGATGTCTTTCACCACCTACACGCCAGTATCTAGGTCAATTATATGTCCTCGTGCTTCCAATTCCTTCCCTCGTGCCTCCCTTGCACTGCCAAGAATAAGACCCAATGGGGAGGTATCCGTACTATGTCTCCCTGACGTTCCTCCGCTCGCAGAATCGGACGTCCAACAATGGATGGGTACTGATGCTCGGGGAAGTTCTGACCGGCATATCCGACCTTGAGGCTTTAAGAATTGGTATTCTGCGTCAGTCTGGAGCTCTTGCCAAAAACAGGGAGCTTCCGGAGAACCTACAAACCAGTTCCACCATCAAGAACTACCCCAAGAGAGAGTTCCAAGTTAGCCGGCAAAAACACATACCATTGAGGTTGAAGATAGGGGAAAGTGTACCGATAGGTGCTTCTGACATATTTGAAGATTAACAAAGATTATAGGGGATATATTGGTGGCTGTTGTTGACAGGTGAGCTGACGTTGTAATGAGCGGGGGAGAGCCTCTCCACGGGGCGTTGCCGGTGGTACAGCCACTAATGAGGCTCAAGTCTAGTGATGACGGGTACGCTGTTGGCGGGAAGACGCGGGAACCCCCTCAACCCAGACTAAACCAGACCCCACCAAACCATCAGAGCTTAGGTCGAGAAGTTACACAGGGAGACCCATAACTTCAACTTACGAAGCCATGGACATCATTTCGTTCGTATCAAACCTCCGCCAGGAGGCTCTCCTGCTGGGCGACTACAATGCCGTTCGAGGGATGTGCTCACGTCGGCTAGCAACTCTCCGGAAACGCCTTGGACGTGCAAACAAGAAAAAGTTCGCGCAGCAGCCTCCATTGACTGCTGAAGATGTCGGAAATGATCATACGTATATTACCCAAGTTATATTTACATGTTTTTGAAGTTTATACTGAGCTATCATGAGAATTCTAGGCATATTCATTTACTATTGTATTCCTCTGAACGGGCATACTCCCACGCAATGCACTTGAAATCACTACTCGCCGACGATGCCTCTACAGCTACCCCAGCAATGCGCGCCCACTCTGTTTCTCGCCTCCATAAGGCCTATACCCATGCAACAGCATTGTGCACCCTCCTCTCAGACCCCGTCTCAAAAGCCACAGAGAAGGACGTACTAGAGGCACACGCCTATGCTGCTTCTCTGCGCGGTTCAGAAGCTTTCGAGAAATCCCATTGGGAAGCTTCAATAGTAGCCTTTTCTGAAGCTAGGATCATCTACTCTGTACTACTCAACAGCAACAAGAACGAGCTATATAGAGACCAGTTGACCAGCACTATCGACCCAAGCATAAGGTACTCCGCTTACCAGCTACAGCTTCCAAGGAACATGGGTGTTGCCACCATCTCCCGAAAGTATTTCCCGCGCGAACAAGCTGAGAAGGTGGTAACTGTAATTGAAGCATTGGACCCCAGCATCTTCTCTGAGTCCGATGAGGACACGCCAATGGCAGGCACTGCGGGCTCTGTCTCGTCAGTGACTTGGCGCTCCCATTCTGCTCCGGTGGATAATGCGGAAATATCAGTCGCTTTGGCAGGTGCACAAGCTGTGGAAAATGCGTATTACGCTAAAACACCTGGAGAGGCAGCTTCTACTGAGGCATTTGATGATGTTTTGGCTGCATGGCAGGAAGCGGTTGACGCTACGAAGAAGGCGATTGATGATCTGCAGGCAGAAAATGTCAAAATGGAAGATCAAAGGATGCAGAACCTGCAGCTGACCTCGACTGTTGTCAACTACTCTTTGATCTGCTGGAGGGTTGCGAGGAATCGTGTCATGATACAGGGAATCGCGCAGGGTGGAAAGAAAGGGAAAAAAGGTGGACCTGAAATTAGAGTTAAGAAGCTTGGGCACTTGAAAGAGGAGGTAGCTCTGTACGATGCTATCTTGCAGGTAGGATTCGATAACTCCCAGCCTGAAGCGTTAAACTCACAGCACCTTCTAGAGTCTTGAACAAGTCTACGACCTTCCAGGTGTCGCTCGTGATGAAGAATTCACTAAAGAGCTTGACAGCAAAAAGGCATATTTTTCAGCCTCCAAATGTGCAATAATCGCACAATCGCACGCCCTCCTCTCCAACCGTAGAAACGCACTGGCCCTCCTTAACCGTGCCCTGTCCTATGTCTCCACACCCCATGTTTCCTCTGCTTCTATCCCCTCCCACAAAGGGCTCGAGATTGATTCAGAAACTGCTTCTGAAATACGAACACGTCTCAAAGGCGAAGTTTCGCGATTCCAAGCACTAGTAGAGATGGACAATATTGCCGCCAAAACAGCCACGAAAGGGGGTAACAGCGGGGTTGTATTGGAAAGGCTAGACAAGTACCCTGAGGGTAAAGACTTTGATTTTGAAAATGGAATTGTGCAATGGCCACCAAAAGTTTCACCGGTCCCGGTAAAGCCAGTGTTCTTGGATGTTGCGTGGAACTTTATCGAGTACCCGGGTGATGGTGGACCAAGGGCTGTTGTAGAAACCAAGGAAAAGGAGAGCAAGGCAGAGACGAAGAAGGGTGGCTTCTTGGGCAGCTTGTGGGGAAGGTAGTTTGTGCAGCAATTCGGATATCGGGGCTGTAACATACAAAAGCACTTTAGTAAAAATTTATGTAGTTCACGGCCGATCATTGACCTTATCAGGGTTGGTATTTTTTTTCTTTTATTTACTGAATATGATATTGGTGAGGTTTAATCTTGAAGCGGTCGAATATGTGTAATATCTCAATGGTTAATTTTATGCCCTTTTAACTTTATATATGTTGGATGATAGGAAAGACACGGTAGTAATGGATATCGGTGCTGAGTCTCAGCTGCAGGCACCAGTTAACTAACCGCCAAGTCAATTAACGCGTCCACCAAACGACGCGTCTCCCACAAACCTCACACCTCATAACGATCCCACCATATTATTTCACATTTATTTCACATATATATACCACGATCGCAATGCCTTCCTCTAAAGAATCCTCTGTCGACATAGAAGACTACGATCTCCCTGATGCCCCCGAAACGCCATCTAACTTTCTTGAAGTTCCTCTATCTAAAGTAGAGGCCACTTCTGAACCCGACATCCAGGGCCTCCACCTCAAAAGAGATGAAGAAGACGACGATGACGAAAACTCACCCGTCAAACTCGAAGACATATTCTCAGACGATGAAGAAGATTTCCTTGGCGACGCCGATGATGCCGACTTTCTCATATCAGAGACCCCCGTGAAATCCGAGCCTGAGTCTGCCGCCGCAGAGTAAGCCCGCCCTTCTCCTCCGAGTCGGGGTCAAACTAATGATCCAACAGCACCCCCGTATTCAAGCCTACATTGCGTCCCTCCGACCCGGAGGTAATGATCGCGTTCTACCAGCGCCTCTTCCCTTTCCGTACGCTCTTCCAATGGCTCAACCACTCGCCAGTACCCAGCAATGACTTTGGACACCGTGAGTTCGCATTCACACTCCAAAATGATATATACCTACGTTATCAGGCATTTCCGACCGCTGACTCGCAAGTCTACTTCTTACCTCTTGTGATACCCAAATACTAACCTTTTGTAGGATGCGCAAAGAGGTCCTTCGTCTGAACCCTTCACGTTTCGAGATTGGCCCTGTATATAGCGCAAACCCGCGTGACCGAAAAGTATTGCGAAAGTCGGCGTTGCGCCCGCTTACGAAGGAGCTGGTATTCGATATCGATCTGACGGATTATGATGAGGTGCGCACGTGCTGTGATAAAGCAAATATTTGCATCAAGTGCTGGCAGTTCATCACTGTTGCAATAAAGATCGTGGATGCCGCGCTGAGGGATGATCTTGGGTTTAAACACATCATGTGGGTCTATTCAGGTAGAAGAGGAGCGCACGCCTGGGTGTGTGATCGCAGAGCGAGGGCATTGGATGATATGAAGAGGAGGGCGGTAATATCTTATTTAGAAGTCATTAAGGGTGGTAATCAGGCGGGCAAGAAGGTCAATGTTAGGAGGCCGCTGCACCCACATTTGGCGTGGGTTTACCTCTATCCCCTTTAGTAGTACACGTGTGGGCTAACTTGGATTTTAGGCGGAGTCTGGGAATCCTACGAGATCCATTCAAGAAAGACGTTCTTCGCAATCAAGATCCTTGGAGAGAAACCGAGCGCGCCGAGCACTTGCTCTCTCTCCTCCCTGATAAAGGCATGCCCGCTCATACCTCTATCTCTTCCGCCATCCTAAATAATAAACTAACTTACTAAACCAGAGCTCAACGACGCCCTCCGCAAAAAGTGGGATAGCCACGACAACCGCCCAAGCACTAGTAAATGGGATGACATAGACGCACTCGCCGGCGCCGGCGTATCATCAACTATTGACCCAAAGAAGCTTCGAGACTCGAAACAAGACGTCATCCTCGAATATATGTATCCGAGGTTGGATGTAGAGGTGTCCAAACATTTAAACCATTTGCTTAAAAGCCCATTTTGCGTGCATCCAGGAACCGGTATGTATACTGATACTACCTACGCGGTTGGGTAAATGTGTGCTAATGAGTATGCCCAGGTCGTGTGTGTGTACCCATCGATTCTTCGAGACCCGAGGAGTTTAACCCAGCCGATGTTCCAACAGTGTCACAACTGTTGGGCGAAATTGATTCGTGGAATAAAGAAAATCCCGGAGCCGGTGCTGCGGATGGGGAGAAGGTCGATGGTGTGTATTATTCATACCTACCCTCTCGTCTTCTGTTCTTTGCTAATCAGTGTGAGTAGATTGTGATAAAACCTCTTTAAAGCCATACGTAGACTTTTTCAAGAACTTTGTTGCAGGCCTACTAAGGGACGAAAACAGGATCAAGAGAGAAAGAGATGAGGGCGCTGGGGATGCCATGGAGTTCTAATAGGACGGTTTGATTTGTAGTAACGCGGTCAGCGAGTGGGATACCATAGTGATTAATAGAGGATTTCAGCGGGAAAGTGTGACATTTAGTTCCTTGTAAATCTATTCCATAATATCGAGGAACATCTCGAAGATTCCTCGTAAACGCTGGAGTATCCTGCCGCCTGTTTGTCAAAAGGAGGAAAATACACTTCTAACTAGGTGCCCTCGAGAAACAGAACCTAGCTAAATCCATAAGCCATCTCCTCGTTAGAGGAAGGCTTTGGTCTATGATAGAAGAATGCTTTCTTCCATCAGAACTAAGAGCTCTTCAGTTCCTGGCATATCAGGCTAGTTAGTTGGGTATAGCGGAGAAGTCCCGGGCGACAAGAGACTTGCGTGGTCTGTATCGTCTCTCGAGAGCGTCGCTCCCACACCGGGCATTCTCAGCCGGTAAGCATTATTCACTCCATGATGTCTACCATACTGCACTTTCGATAGATACATGTAAGTGTGGGCAACTAACGAACTGCATCCATAGCAGGATGGCTTACGTACCCATCCTCGACCCTAACGTACTAAACCTTGAATCTGGCACATCTTTGCTGATCACAACGCGGAGCGACCCAAATGATCTTTGTAATAGAAATGAATTTCATTATAAATTTTTGCACGTTGATTTCGATGAGGGTCACTGATTCAACCAGCGAGGCTGCCAAGATATTTCTGCATGGATTATCACTCGGGCGTCACGCTTAATTCCTCCGAGCTAAACAAGGTGGGAAACCACACGGAACACTGAACTTTCGACCTGTAACTTGTTTCTGCAGATATATTATCGATGGGGGTGTGGAAAGTAGACGCAAAATGGGTATTTTGAACGATTGGTTTCGAAGGAGAAAAACAGTAAGGACTGAATTGATTCGGAACTTGGGTTTTGTTATCTTCTAGCTCTTCATCGCCTTCTGGCTTTAAGTGAAGGGGAGTTATTGTAGTTTCTTCTTCTCTGGTCTGTGGGCCACCTTCTGATGCGCCCACTGTATCTATTACAAGGCCCTGGGTCGCATTTCGGTTTCTATGTCGTTCCCCCAACCCCGGCAACTTCTTCTTTCCTCGTGGGTTCGTCACCCACGGTTTCTCACCATTGCGTAGGTAGGCGAGATCTCGAGAGTCATCTTCATTTACGTCGTAAGCGGGAAACTCCAGGTTTCTTCGTGGGGAAAGAAGGTCTGGTTGACAGCCATGAATCTAGAAAGCCACCCCCGAGGGCTCCGCTCTTTTCTTTTCCTCGGGCTGATGGCCTTTTGATAGGAGTTGCGGGGGCTAATTAGATGTGCTTCTCAAGAGAGTGGTCAAGCTCTTAGGAAACAAAGGTGTGGTGGATGGTGGATTGTAGAGAATTGCTTCTACGTGTGAGAGGCAAAAACAAGACGTTTGGGCTTCAGTGAGGGAATTATCAACGTCAAGTGGTATACTAAAAGTATGTAGGTTTCTTAATTCTGCACTGCACGTACATGTACGGTCATAGAGCGGCGTAGGTATTAAGTTGGCTGCGTGTGTGGGACAACACGATGTGTTTGTCTATTCTATGTTTCCGTGTGTAGAAGGGGTGCAAGATGGGGCGAACTCATACAGTGTTACATCTTGGATGGGGTACTGCACCTCTGGGGGCCAGAAGGGGAACATCAGCAATAGAAAGGGAGGAGCCTACATGTATGTACGTACGCAATCTAAACCTCACTCACCAGCAGCGCACGAGCAGAAGACCCAACATATACGATATACGTACGTACCCTAAACCTAACCTTTTAGGTGCCAAGATTGCGAGGTCGGCGGAAAGAAAATGGAGCAAGCTTTATAAGGCCTGCTTCCCCCACTCCCATCTTTCTTCTCTAGAGCACACGTTAGCCTACCTAGCCTGTCTAGTTGGGGTCTCACTCTTCCTTCGGGAATTGTGGGTTCCTTTCGAGATGGTGCAGCCCAAGGTTCTGAAAGGTGTGTGCTCTGTGCAAAAAAAAGCGTGGTCCCTTTACCTGGGGGGCCCCTATTTTTGGGGAGTGCTTGCGCTTCTTTTTCATTGTTTTCCTGGCTGTTGCGAGGAAATGATGAAAAAAAAAATTGGTTCCATTTGGCTTTGTGGGGTTCTTTTGGCTTTTTTTTTTTTTGGGAGAGGGGGTTCCTGTTGGCTCTTTTTTTGATTCCTTTTGGCTTTGTAGATTTTTTATGGGTTTTTTTTTATCCTTACCTTTATTTTGGCTCTTTTGGTTCCTTTTGGCTTTGTGGGTCTTTTTCGGCTTTTTTGGGCGGGGAGTTCCTATTGTGTTCCTTTTGGCTTTTTTTGGTTCTGTTCCTTTTGGCTCTCCTCCTGTTCCCCTGGCTCCCCCTTCTCGCCCCTTCCTGGCTGTTGCGAGGGGATGACAAAAAAATATTTGCTCCACCCGGCTCTCCTTCGGCTCCTGTTGGCTTTGGCTCTTTGGCTCTTTGGCTCTTTGGCTCTCTTCGGCACTCGTTGGCTCTCAGCGGCTGAATTCTCGCATCTTTTTATGCCTTTCTCGCCCTCTTTTTGTAAGCATGTAAGCTCCGTTCCCTTCCCCCTGGCCCCCAAATTTTAGATATCATCAATGTACATAGTTCTCCGTAGTTCCCCCGTAGAAACAAAACCGTGCTCTTCGTGACGCCGTGTGAAACTAACCAAAACGCTCGAGTCCTCCCTCACCCACTGTAGACTGATAATCCCAAGAGCTGACTGTTTGCAGCAATTAGATCTCTCCCCAGTCACGCAATGTGCTACGAGCGATGTAGTACACGTACTACGATTCCGCCCTTTCTCTGCTCTTTTCCGGAAGCGAGTTCCGTCTCCTCTCCCCCCCCACAGATACGGAATCCTACTCTTCGTGATCCAGCAGGAAACTTCAAACAAAAATCTCGAGTCTTCCACCTCCGTAGACAATTAGTCTCCCCCAAGTACATACATGTCGGAACTGCGAGTGACATGTCATGACCTTGATCATCCTAAAACTAAGACCGAGCCAAGCCAAGGATTGAGCCCTTTGGTTTAGTTGATAGGGTGTACATAGGTTTAGTTTCCATATCTATCTTTTAGTAAAGAAATCGTACTACTCCTGAATCTTCCCGTAAGATTTTAAACCTTGTTGTAAGAAATATATTCATGAATTATCACTCGAGACTTGATGGTCCTCATAAACTATGGTCATGGCCGCCTAGAGAACCTCGTATGTGGTGGATAGTACACTATGACTAGACTAGCTCAAAACCTTTCCAATAAGTCGATAAGTACATGTAGTTCACGATTCCCCACCAAAGTTTAACAAAGAACAAAAAGTTCACAACACTGCTTTGGTTGCTACGTCTTTTCTACGTCCGGAGGGGGTTGAACGCTCACTTTTTCGATACAGAGTGTGACCTCTATACCGCTAGGCCACGTCCAACCCATGTTCATCTTGATTCCTTTGGTGCTGTTAGCTGCATGGGGGGCTCGTACGTACGCTAGCTTAGTACATCTAGCTAGCCACAAACCCAAACCTACTAATTATCTCGTCCACGATCACCACAGTCCCGGAAACGTAACTATAGTAATATATATCAATCTATTGAGCCCGTATATTCATTCCAGTTCCAGCCGTGAAATCCTGACTTTTGAAGAAAGAGGTTTGATTCCTAGATCCTCCCTGTGGCAATATTTTCTTTTTTCACGGGGGCCGAAAGATTCGCCAGTACTAACAAATCATTACAAATCATTGGATCCGAGTAAATCTCTGCAGCTGTCCAATCTCTCGCCCCGGCCGGCCTTTTAGCCCCATGGGAAAGGCCGGTCAACTGTGACGGACCATACACCGGGCTTGGGCTTCCCTTGTTCTTTCTCGCCTCCCAGTAATGACAGTCTCCCCCTCCTCGGGCCTACCTCGATCCCATCTTTCGGAGCTTCTCAAATCTCCTCAAGACATGTAGATGCGGGAATGGGGCTGGGGTGCTGTGATACTGGTAGCTACATATGTAGAAGCTCTGTTATCAAAAAGTCAGATCAACACCAACACCGCGTGTAATGCCGGTGGGGAATGAAGTTGCGCTGCGTCTAAAAGTACCAAACCGAATGAAATCATAGACGTTAATCTACTGGAGGCAAGAGATTTAGTGTCGATCTCGACCTGAAGGGGTGTAGGCTAGCTAGGTTGGTTCGAGGGTATGACTGGTCATAGGTTATCACTCGCTGCATGTCGAGACTCTTGTTACATGAACAGTGCTCGAATTCCGGCCGTTTCGACAATTTATAGCACCCGGGGAGTAGTTAAAAGAATTCTCCGACTAAGTGGCTATGATATCAATTAGCCAACGACTATAACTAAGAGCTGGACCTCCGTCTGTCCTGGTTACTCAACCAAAAGGGCTTTTACTCAATTGATCATCCGGCCGGGCACCTCACGACCCCGCCCCATTCCCAAAGACCCAACGATTCGAAAACCAAAACCTTTAATTACTAATTAATTTCTATTTTACATGTTAATTAATTAATCCAGCCCCTTGAAGGAGGTTGCGACCGGCTGTCTTCCCACACTCCTCGCCTTCCCCTTGCCGCCCTTCCTCTTCTTGTTCTTCCTCTTCCTTGATACCCTCTCCTCGTCGCTGCTGTCCTCCTCTTCATCCTCGTCACTGTCGTCGCTATCACTCCCAGTCCTCTTCTTCGAGCCCTCCTCCTCCTCCTCCTCCACTGCATCCTCCCACTGCCACACCTTGACAATATTTCCACCCCCAGAGACGATCCTACCCTCACAGTCGACTCCCAGCGCCAACACCCCCTCCTCCACCCTCTCCTCGCCCGTCCCCTCCCCCTCCCGCACCTCCTCCACCGTCCACGAGTGCGCCATTGTCGCCACAACCCCATTACTCCCCATCTTCACAACCTTCACCTTTCCATCCCCCGCCCCAAACGCCACAAAGCGGCCCCACCCCGCCTCGCTCCCCAGCTGCCACCCCTCCGGCAGCACACACACCGCATCAACACTATCCCCCGACGCCTTCGCCACATTGACACGATTATCATGATCCGCCCACTCCCCCTGGTTCCACAGCGTCGCAACCCCGCTCGCCATCCCAGTAACAACCTTCTCCCCCCCGCGCCCGTTCCTGCGCGGCAGCCCCGAGACGAAGGCCGAGCACAGCAGCTCGTCCTCCTGGTCCTCGGAGGTGAAGAGCGTGGCGCCCGTCTTGCGCACGTCGAGATGGGTCAGTGTTGTTGCGCCCGTCGAGACGAACTGGCGCGAGAAGCCGGTGGTGGATGCGGCGGTGGAGGGCAGCGCCGTGAGCGAGGAGACGTAGTCCTCGTGGACGGCCCTCCATGTTGCGGAGGGGGGCGCGAGCGTGGGGGTGCGCGTGTCGTAGAGGTGGACGGCGCCGGTGTCGGTGCCGACGAGGAGGTGCTGCGGCGAGAGGACGAGGAGCGCGGTGGGGGCGTCGGGCGCGCCGCTGCGTGGGGGGGGGATGAAGGATTTGGCTGCTACGCGGCCGGTCTCGGAGGAGGCGGCTTTGAGGAGGGTGTCGGTGCCGATTGAGTAGAGCGCTGCAGCAGCAAATTGCCAGTCAGTCGGGGAGATCCAGGGCAGTTACCGGGGGGGGGGAGAGTGGTACTGTCGCCGTCGCCGCTGAAGGCTACTTGTCTGCAGCTTCCTTTGTGTCTGCGCGTCTTCCAGGCGACTTCGAATCCGCCATCTGCGGCTTTGGGTTCGTGGGCGACAGAGTCTTCGTCATCTCCAGAGTCGTTGTCCGAGTCGTCGTCTTCAGGCCATTTGTATGTGTAGACATGGCCGGAGGAGAGACCGGTGGCCAGTAAGGGCTTGCTCGGGTGGAGGGCGAGCGAGAAGACGTCTGAGGGAGGGTGAGCGAGTGGGCTTTGTAGGGCATAGCTGGTTATTGTTTTGTGAAGATTCAGATGTATCTATCTAACATCAATGATATTTCAATATTACATGTAGCTGCAGATATAGCGACTGTGGTTACCCTGCATGCAAAACACCCAAAACACCCCGCCTTCGCCCCACCAACCAACCATTCTCTCCACAGACCCGCAGCAGCAGCAGCAATGACAACTCCCCCACCCCCACCACCACCACCACCGCAACAAACAACTACCGCTGCACCAGCCCTCTACACGCCCGACGACCACCTCTTCACCGACCCCGCAAGCACCGCCAAAGAGCAGAACAACTACTCAAACCTCCCAGAAGATGAGTTCACGCAGGTCTACGAGATCGACTCCACGGTGAAGCAGATCCTCGAGAAGGGCTATCGCCGCATCGCTCTCCAATTCCCAGACGAGCTTTTGGGCGACAGCACAAAGGTCTACGAGCTCATTTCCAAGGGCATCAACGAGGGCGTAGCAGACCCCCGGAAGAGCACAGAGGTCAAGGCCACCGCCGCCCCGGAAAAAGAAGAGCCGCAGAACGGATGCTGCGGCCAAAAGTCGGGTGGCTGCTGTGGCGGCAGCGGTAAAGGCTCTGAAAACGCCTGTGCTCCCAAAGAGTCGCAGAGTGGCTGCTGCAAGAACAGTGGGAGTGTGAAGACCCCCGACGGCACCTCCGGAGAGAGGAAGAAAGTGTTCATCCTCGCCGACACATCCTACTCGGCCTGCTGCATTGACGAGGTCGCCGCCGAGCACTGTTCCACCGACGTTGTGGTGCACTATGGCCGCTCCTGTCTCTCGCCCACGACCCGCCTCCCCGTCATCTACGTCTTCACCACGCGGCCACTCGCTCTCCCGCAAGTGATGTCCAGCTTCACCGCCACCTTCCCCGACCGCGCCTCGCCGGTGATCCTCATGGCCGACGTCACCTACACCGCGCACATCCCCGCGCTGCACACCGCGCTCCTCGCAGAAGGCTACACGCACCTCTTCGCCACAGACATCGTCCACGACCCGTCCTCCCCGTTGCCAAACCGAACGCACCCCCCACCAGAGCAGATGCGCGAGTCCACCCTCTTCCACATCGCCGAGCCCCTCCCCTCACTCCTCCTCGTCCTCGCAGCCCGCGTCGCCCAGATCCACACCTACACGCCCAACACCACCGCCGCCGCCGCCACCACCCCCACCTCCACGGCACTGCTGCTCCGCCGCCGCTACGCCCTCCTCTCGCACGCGCGCACAGCAACCATAATCGGCATCCTCATCAACACCCTCAACGTGCGCAACTACCTCCCCATGATCACGCACACAAAGGCGGCCATCGCCGCCGCCGGCCGCAAGCCCTACCTCGTCGTCGTCGGAAAGGTCAACGTCGCAAAGATCGCAAACTTCGACGAGATCCAGGTCTGGGTCGGCATCGGCTGCTGGGAGCAGGGCATCGTGGGGAGCGCCGCAGGCCGCGAGTTCTACCGCCCCGTCGTCACGCCGTTTGAGCTTGGCATTGCGCTCGATCGCAGCCGCGTGTGGGGGGGCGAGTGGATCGTGGATTTCGAGACGCTCTTGAGTGCGCCTGTGAAGCCGGAAGAGGAGGAGGAGGAGGGGAGCGATGAGGATGATGAGGATGATGAGGCGCCAGAGTTCGACTTGAGGACGGGGAGATATGTAGCTGCTGCCCGGGCGCCACGGAAGCGGAAGGAGAAGAAGACGCCCGGGGAGCCGCGGGCGGGAGCACTCATCCGTAATGACGATGGTAGGAAGCAGGTGCTCGCTGGCGGCGTCGTGTCGCCTGCGGCGGAGTTCTTGAGGGATAAGAGGTCGTGGAGAGGCCTTGGGTCGGACTTTGTCGTCGAGTATGAGAAGGAGGAGGGGGCGAAAGAGGAGGAGAAGAAGGGTGCCATTGTGGAGGTTGGCAGAAGCGGTGTGGCGAGGGGGTATACGGTTGGTGGTGGGGAGAGACACTGAGGTGTGATATAGGCTTCTGTTTGTGGCTTTTGGGTTTGGTTGTGGGGCGTTTGTGGTAAAAGTCTTTTTTTCTTTTTAAGGGGGAAGTGTCCTTTTTTTTTTTTGGTTTTTGTTTCTCGTGTTTGTATTTAGATAGTGCTGTAGATAGAGACATAGGTAGAGAAATACCACTATGGATAGACGGGTTTGAGGGTGTTTTATTATTATTATTATTATTGTACAGTGGATATGGGCCTATGACTGTGAATCGATGGAACTTCTCTTCCCACGGATTGAGACCAGCTACGAAAGGCGGCTCTTAAGACCGATATCTACACCTTTTTCCACACGAGTGATACCTTGTGATCTAATAGTAACTAGCTTACATGTAATCAATGCAGAACAACAGCGTCATGGCCTAGTCTGGGAAAGGGGAGAGCAAACCTCAACAACATATTCTCCTTTCTATAGTCTATAGAGCCACTGGTTTTCACAATTTGAAAAACGAAACTCGAGCTTTTCTCAGAATAAATAATCAGTAAATATGCTGGAAGCTTCACAGCTAGCTAGATAGACTTAATGTGGCCCTTATATATGTTACTGCGCCTGCGTTTCCGGGCTGGATGGAGGAGACGCTGTGAAGAAGTATTATAGACAACGGGTACGACACCGTTAACCTCTACTGAACACATAACTACATGTATAGCCTCTAATGGCTTCCTACTCTGGGGTACTGGGCTCTCACGAGTTTGATGGAAGTACACGCAGCGGACCCCCCCCGAAAGTATTACATGTAGGGTCGGCATGCATAGAGAAAACTGGGAATACGGTATATGGTGTCTACATGTAGCCTGATATAGTGTGGCGTTTAGGTTGTAGGTTTAACTGAGCCCTCACCAAGGACAGCATGTTCGTTTTTAATTTAGGGGCGCATGCTACATCTACATGTATGTAGTGATAGAATACCATCAGGTTATTTACGTCCTGTTTTATAGCTATATCATACTGTGCATAGCTAGTCAGTGGGTAGGAAGAAGATGGCTATTTCTTCATAGGTTGTCACTCGACCGATTTGCACTCATGATAGATTGATCTATTCGCAACCACATGCAGCCCCCCAAACCCGCTCGCATGATCAGTCATCTAGGGGGGGGGGGGGGGAACAGAAACCACTGGGAACCGGCCAGTAAAAATAGAAATACTCCATAATGAACCAAGATGACAACATCTATACCGCATGCGCATCTTCCTTCTCTGCTCCCGCCGCAACCTCGAAGAACGCGAGATTATCTCTGAACGCAACATACTCCGAATCTACACCTCATGTCAGCACGTCTCAACGGAAGAAAAAAGGAGCTGGATAAACTGAAACCTACCTGCATAGCCCAGCAGCTCCTGGATCTTCCCACTTCTCTCGCCCTTAATCCTCGCGATCTCAGCGCTGGAATAGTTTACGAGCGCCCTTCCAACTTCCTTCCCGAGCACTTCATAACCGCCTTCCTCTCCTGCCCGTCTCTTGACCACAACGACCGACACTGCGTCTTGCTGCGCAAAATGACCAGAAACGTCGACAACCCCTACTGGGAGCAACCCAGCTTTATCCGACCTCGTGAGAGCGCGGTGCGCGCCTTCGTCGATGTAAATCGTGCCATGGGGAGCCAAACCGTGTAGGATCCAGAAGTATCTATCACGCAGCGCGCGCGGCTTGGGTAGGAAGCGGGTATGAAGCGGTGGCGGGGTAGTAATCGCTGGTGGCGCAGGAGTGGTAGACCGCAGAGGTGTGACAGGCGCAGAGGCAGAAACAGTCAAGGGTGGGTTAATGGAGGTGTCGGGGGTGCCAGGGCGGGTATTGGTAGCAGACTCGGTCTTGAGCGATTGGATGTAGCGCACAATGTGGAAGATGTTTGAGGGGGTGGAGGAGCGCGTGATAATTGTAGTTACGCCGGCGGAAGTGGCAAGGCGAGCGGCAGTGAGCTTGGTGGACATGCCACCGGTACCAAGAGAAGAGCCAGCGGTAGAGACTGCAAAAAGTTGTTAGTAGGGGTTATTAGGGCAGGGAAGGGATTGCACCATCAACATCAAGTGACGATATGTCGTCGACCACCTCGATTGGTTTGGCATCGGGGTGGGTACGTGGGTTGTTGGTGTAGAGGCAGTCGACATCCGTCATAAGGAATAGGTAGTCTGCATTTACCATTCCTGCAGTGATGGCTGAGAGGGTATCGTTATCACCAAATTTGATTTCCTGTGTTTTGGCCTCATGTCAATCCCAATGCTTACGGTTTTGGAGAAGGCGAGGCCAGTACATTTACAGAAAGAGTGTCGTTCTCGTTCACAATGGGAATAATCCCCATGTTGAGCAGCTCAGACAGTGTATTCACGGCATTGAGGTATTGTGTTCTCTACCCACGGTCAGTAAACATCACAGCGGTAAAACTTCGCCAACATACATCTGCGATATCATTCCTTGTCAGGAGAATCTGCGCAACGGGTTGTCGCAGCTGCTTGAACAGCTCATCCCACAGCGCAATAAGCCTGCACTGACCCACTGCCGCGATTGCCTACTCTCACCCAAATTAGCATTCCCTCCCTCCCTATAAAAAAAAGAAATCCCTCAAAGCGACTAACCTGCACAACCGCGAGATGTTTTGGTCTCTTCTCAATATCCAGTCTTCTCATTCCGATACCAATTGCGCCGGAGCTGACAAGAATCACTCGGTGTCCCTCTCGCCGGAGCCGGCATGATGTCTCGACGAGTAGGGAGAGATTGGATAGTAAAGGTTCGTGGGTTTTCTCATCGCAGATTGACGATGTTCCTGGTGGTGGTCAGTTACTTGTAACATTTAGCAATAGCACCTAGGCGTTCAGTAAAGGGCTGTGAAATCCGCGCGCAACGGGGCCGAACAAAAATTAGACTTAATGCGAACCCGACCTCAACTCAAAGAGGTACCAAAGATATTACAATGGTATCGGTCGGGTCTACAGTCCTGGGGACCAGCTTATTGTGCCTTGTGTTTGGTTTAACTAGTGGATCGAATTCTGTTCTTCGCCGGGTTGCGCTGGCCTCACAACCTATTTACTGAAAGCCTAAGTAGTTTAGTAACCGCAATAGTAGAAGGGGAACAAACCAAGCTTTATGACAATTGTCAGGGGACGTGGGCCCTTCATATTTGACTGCGAATTTGAGGACTCGCGAAGTTTACTGATGTGTTCGTTTGCTAGAGTCATTGTGTTGCAGGGGATGGTAATTAGTGGAGTCGGGGCGTGCAAGGATAAAGAAATGTCTATACCACGGAGGGGTTGGTGGGGTGAATCGAATAACCGTCCGGGTAACGTTGCGCTGGTGAGATTTCTAAATTGATAAAGCTAGAATAAATTCGAAGCTGGCAGTCTCACAACAACGAAACAAAAGTAACAAAAACATATTTTCAAAAGGATGACTGGTAAACGAGCTGTATAGTCATTGGCGCAAAATCATGTATCTCCAAAACACTCTGGCCTAGTCTACTAACTGTCATGAGCTCTTCGAGACCAATTATAAGACAACAGACGATACCACTAGTTTATGAATATATATCTCACATTAGAGCTCTAGGGTCTGACTCGCCGATCGGGCCACCCAACATAGAAATTACGGTCCGATCCGGAAGAAGTCGTAGTTTGGTGAACCCAACCCAACCAGAATTGAAACCTTAGATTCGACCTTGACCTGTGCTATATAATAGCGCTCGCAGTCTTGATATGACAATAACTTGACTGAGCCGCTCAGCTTTAAAGCTTAAAGGCCCTTTAATTCCTTTCTATTTGTCATCTCGACCCTAATACCTATAGATGTAGCCCATAGAGGGTTAGGGTTTTCGAATTTAGCTCTTTTTTTTCCTTTCAGTTTCTGTGTACTAATTGGGCAGATTCTCTTAAGCCTGGATATAGCACCTCCGTGAGTTATATCTAATGTCCATTATGAACAAAACCTCGTCTAATCATGCCACATTTTCAAACCACAGAGTGATACCCCATGATTCCGAGTGATATCGTATGATCTCCGGGTAAGTGCTCTCTCTTCACACCCCCGAACCCCACGCTCCAGTACCAGCACGCCGCAAGAAAATGTCGACCCCTCAAACACCCAGCGCGCCCATTCGCGGTCCCGAGTTCTGGCGCCGCACCTTCTGCTATGTGACCGGTCTCGGACTGTCACCTGAGGACCGCGCAGCCTACGAGGCCGACAATGAGCTCCGCAAAGAGCAGGATGAGTGCCGGAGGTGTGAGAAGAACCGGGATTACCTCCTTCGATACAGTATGCGCCACCGGTATGGATTGGTCGAGGTGGGAGCGTGCTAACCAGGATGTGGAATAGGTCCAATTGTGAGGTTCATGCTCAAGAGCGTACAGCAGGTGGGCGGCGACTTGTCGGCGGAGAATATCAAGTGTCTTCCGTGCGATGGGGCGCTGCGCACAGGCGGATTCTCACCGCAGTATGGGATTATGCTGTGCCAGAATAGACTGGACAGAGGGAGAATGGAGGATACGCTGGCGCACGAGATGGTGCATGCGTATGATCATCTCAGGTTTAATGTCAATTGGGATGATTTAAAGCATCATGCTTGCTCAGAGGTGTGTCCAATACGTAGAGCGTGTTGATATAGCGAAGAGTGTAGTTATGGCTGACCGTAAAGATAGATTAGGGCATCAAGCTTGAGTGGTGAGTGTAGATGGACTAGAGAGGCGTTTACAAGAGGAGTATGGGATTTTACGCAGCAACATCAAGCTTGTGTGAGAAGGAGAGCTACGATATCGGTCTCCCTTCATCCAAAGTGTAAGGATGATGCAGAGGCGGCCAAGATTGTCGACATGGTATTTGACTCATGCTTCGCCGACACAAGACCATTTTCGGATATCTATCGATAGAAATCCCGTATAACGCACAACACTTGTATAATGTCTGTCGATACCTTGTAATTATAGCAATAGAAATATCATACTCCCTGCTCTCATCTGTAGAAAAAAATGTAATAAACAAAAAAATAAAAATAAAGGAGGGAGAAAGAAAATTAAAGTCCATCCAAAACACCAAACCGCGCCGAAAAAGAAAAAAAAGAAAAGAAAAAAGAATACTCTCAACAGATACATTTATAAGTGTAAAACGAAAGAAGCCTGTGGTCCCTAAAAAAACAGAAACGCCCTTAAAATGTATCTAACTTTCTGATGTGATGCTCCCTCTTGCAATTGGTCAAGTTATGGAGGTTCAGTAAGAACAAATAAAGGGCACTTCAAAGAAACAATTCGACAGAAGATTAATTTTTGGTCGAAGCTCCCGAAGCTCCCGGGGCTCCCGAAGCCCCAGAAGCCCCAGAATTGTTGCTGCTACCTGAACGTTTTGTAAATTGAGGTTTGTTGATGCAGTGTTTGAGAATCCAAGGGTGCTTTACGACATCTTCGAGTGGAATCCTCTGATCAGGTTTGATGACGAGAAGCTAGAAAGGTTAGTATCATCTTTATACGGGTCAATGATTTTTTTTTTTGAGTATACTTTTTTGATAAGATCTCCAGCCTCGGGGCTGACAAAATCTGGGATTTTCATATCTGCTCTGACAATCCTCCTTTGAGTCTCAATAGGACTATCTTCAAATGGCGCAGCTCCTACAAGGAACTCATAGGTTAAGACGCCCAGGGACCAGAGATCCACTTTTTCGTTGTGATAGTGACTGCCATTCAACATCTCTGGGGGAAGATAGTCGAGAGTTCCGCACATGGTTGTTCGCCTATTAATTACGAAGTTAGTTTACGTACAAAATTTATCGACCTTGAAAAACTGACCTTTGGTTTGGGGCATGCACACTCCAACCAAAATCCGAGATTTTTATTTCGCCGTGAATTCCGACGAGGATATTCTCAGGCTTAATATCGCGATGGATAACGTGTTTCTTGTGTAAATACATCAATGCGGCAGCCATTTGTGCAATATACTAAATAAAACATCTTATTAATTCAAAGTCCAATATAATATAATTGCGTAAGAACTCTAGGAAGAGCATACCTCTGCAGCGCGTGGCTCCGGGAACCTGCCCACCTTCCTTAACATCTTATACAGCTCTCCTTGGCCGGCAAACTCCAGAATTAGAAATACTCGCTTTGAGTCGTGAAAATGGCCGAAGAGCCTTAGAATATTAGGATGTCTTAGATTAGACTGGATCTCAATCTCTCTCCTGAGTTGTTTTTCGACTTTTCCACTCTGTAGTTCACTCTTGTGGAGAACCTTCAAAGCACAAACAAAGCCGTTCTTGCGTTCCTTGGCTAGGTAAACTCGTCCAAACTTCCCTTTCCCTAGTGGGCGGCCGATTTCGAACATTCCCAAGTGAAATTCTCGAGGAGTGAGAGCTGCTGGAATGCTCTGTGAGCCGGTTGAGCTATTAGAGCGCCTAGCCTCTGAAGACTCGATAGCTTTCTTTGGAGGCGATGGGGGTGGGGGCATATCTGAAGGGACCCATTTGTTGTTCGCATTGTTTTGGTTATGGACAGCGATCTTAAGAAGTGGGTGTCTAGCAGTTTCTTGTCGCTGGGCTGCTTGTTGTTTATCCTGTAGTGATGCGAGCGCTGCCGCTGCCGCGCCAGATGGTATGATAGCTGTCTAATGAGGTTTAGTTTGTTTCATCGTTTTTGTTTAATCCATTTGTAGGGGTACCTTAGATTTGTGGTTAGCGCTAGGGTTCACGTTTTCCCCGTTGTCGGCCATAGAGATCCCAGCGAGGCGAGCCTCGATTCCACGGAGCGCCATTATCACTGCACTGTCTGGTGATATGGTTAGTCGGGTGAGGTTCTTGAGTGACGGTGGAGAACGGTAGAGGTGAGGTAAGAAGGGAGAAGGGGTCGAGGCGGGATGTCGAAGTTTAAGAGGCAACAAATAAACCACCACCTGGCGGCTGTTGGTTGCCACGGCAACGACTTTTGTGTGTTTGTAAACGTTTCGCATCTAGCGCCAATCATACGCGATCAATATGACTTGCAGATCCGGCTGTCTAAGGAATGTTAAACTGGGCGGTAACGAGATACTATGCGTTTCGATTCAGATATCATTGATTTTTAGATGTACCCAGAGATTTATAGTGTCCACAGCCGCTATAGCGCTACTTAACATTGGTGGGTTCAAAAGTACTCAATTCATCGCGACCACACGAATAAGATGCAGCCCGCAAGTCAATAAACCGACCCGATGCGGCTCCACGAAGAGAATACAGCAGTACAGGATCTCTAGAGTTATGTACATACATACATGCTCTAAAGTACAGCGCCGGACAGTCAAAATCAACCCTCATGTTCTTTTCAAGCCAGAAACTAGTCCTAATCGGGTAATATGATCTAATTATCCCAATATGGTAAGAATTATCCCAAATTAATGTGGCCGCCTTGGCATAAAGCTATTAAAGTTATTATTTCACATCTATGTTTTTTTCGGGCAGATTGCACCAAATGTTTGAGAGGTCATAGTGCAGCCAGTTCTTAATTATTTTAAATCCCCTTTTATGGGGATGTTTACAACCATGATTAAACCCATTTTACAAAAGAACATTATTTCTGGACAAGTGTTGCGTTGTTGAAAGTCGATGGGGTGAAGGGGAGTCGGTGGTTGCTCTGGCCGGCTGGTTTTGGCTGTCCGACACCGTACATACATTCCATCTCTGTGTGCTCCAGGTATCTTCTTATGCAGATCCCCCGATCCTATCGGCGTCGAAGCCGAGTAACTGGATTCCGGTTGTACCGCAAACAAAGTTACACCAGCGAGCCAGCACGCTTCATAGGATATCACTCCGACGCATCCTGAAGTCAGCTGTTCTATTTGAGCAAATATGTCGAGCGCCAATCAACCAGATCCGTTTTCAAGGGGTGGGTCGATCGATGCCAGTTAAATATCTAGTGGCCAGAGGATACAATACCAATGAATAAGAAGCAGTGGCTAGGTGGTATTCCGCTGATAATCGGGATCTTTAACAAACCAAACCTGCGAAGGTTCGTGTCTTTGGTCGATTCCAGCCACACTCAACTATAGCCCTATAGAGTCTAGATCGTTCGGCTACAGGGCTGAGGCTCAGCAAAAGTCAACAAAAATATCGGACCGTTTCAAGCACCCCATCCGCTGTTTAACATTTCGTCAGACCGGACGGGTGGGTCTCAGGCCTCGAGTATCGCGATCCATGGCATATCATGTCAATCCTCTCCCTAGGTGGACATTGTGTCGAACTTCAGATGTTCAGACATCGCGAATTAAAGTTTTGGTGGAGATCCTAAACTCGATCCACTTGGAGGATATAATTTTTTTTTTTGTCGGAGAAGTAGAAAGAGGTGTGGGGGGGGGGGGGTTAGTGGGGAGAAGGGGCGCAATCGCGGCAATGGAAGACGTGGCGGTAGTGTCATCAGAAGGAGGAGGAGGAGGAGGAGGAGGAGGAGGAGGAGGGCGATTTTGGTGGGAGTTACCTCGCCGCGGTCGGCGGTAGAGAATTGGGTTGGGAGGAGTAGCCGGGCAAACAGTCTCCCCCCCCTCCAGTTTTTGGAGAGCTTGCATGCAGTAAGTAAGGATTGTCTGTCCTGACGAGCAGCTGCGAAGAAGCAACGACAACGAGAAGACGATGAGGCTGGGAAATAGCTAACCGCTTACACGACATGCAGTAAAATGCTGTGCTGAAGACAACCGCAATGGCCGAGCCTGAACCGCCATTTTTTGTTGCGAGTTAAGAGATAAAACGACGACGACAAGGTCTTCTATTCAGGTCGGGCTCTCTGCGGGAGGAAAAAGTCGTTTGGGTTTCCCAACTCGAGGGGGAGCTTCTTGGCGGACTTGGCAAATGTCTTAGGAAGAACTTCGGTACACGCCCTGTTCAAGACGGTGCAGCATCCTCCCACACACTTGGAAGCCCCCCAGTAGTGGTAGGCCCTCCTCGAAAAAGATGGACTCCCCAGTGTCCGCCCTTCCGCGTTTTCTTACCCCCCCCCTCCCTCGTCCTCCTGCTCCACACAACCACACCCTCCACACCCTCCACCTCAACCACCACGCTCATCCTCCTCCTCCGCCTCCTCTTCGTCAGTCCTCCTCCTCACGGCCACTAAAAGCGACAACTCCTCCTCCTCCTCAACCGCCTGGACTACCCGCATCTCCGTGGTTTTAATCGCCGAGACGACAACAAGCCCGCGCCGTACCGCACAACGATCACAGGCACTAACATATAAGTACTCTTCTACTTTTTTAACTTGTTAGGTACGCATCGCCTCCCACCCCCGTCCCGGTACGCTGGGTCCGTGCTTCTCTATTGCGTGAAATATTTTCCCTGACCCCTCCCTCGTCGTCCTCCTCCTCATATCACTCTCCCAACCTCCCTTCACTCCACTCCTCCCCTCCCACATTCTATCTGCGCGCTATCCTCCACTCCATTCAACCCTCCCCCTCCCCCTTCAAAAAGTACCACAACTACCCCAAATCACCACTCTATCACCACTCATCACTCATCACTCAACCTCCCAAATATATCAAGTATATCAAATATATCTTCCTTTTCTTGTTAGTTTCTTATTTCCAATTTCAGTATTGGTGAAACCTGCTCACACCTCACTCAACCGCCCAGACCCTCATCCTATCTCCCCCGGTGGTTCTTAGATATACCCACTTGGCTTGATTATCGACCACCATGGTAAGCATACTCAACTAACTATAGATATCGCGTACCTTAATTGGTCGATATTGTAGAAGTTCAAGGATATCAATTTAACATATCATATCGTTATAGGTGCTATACAAGCGTAAGCCTGTCCAATACGTGCCAAACCCCGATATTGATGACGAGTCCCAAGAAGTATGCTTAACATCTTTGCGGCGGAGATCTAAGGTTTATAGCTAACGATAAATCCAGGTTTGGCAAATTTCACAAACAGGGGAAGTCTTTGTTGATTATCAAGACTATCTTGATAGGTAGCTATGCCTCGGGTTTTGCATTAGTGGTGTTCTATTAAGCTAACAATCTATTAGGCTAGATTTCTATAAGACGGTATGCTCCAAGCATTGGAAAGCGCTGAATAACAAAAAGATTCCGTGCGCATATCTTACTAACTCTTTTGGGAAATTGAAGAAACAGTTTAGCTGTGAAATTACCGGCCATATGAATCTCAGTTTCTTCGAAGCGCTGATAAGCGAAGTGCGAACCCTCAGATAGTCTTGCGCTCGAATGGATCAGGATTAACGTGAAAAATAGACTGTCAGCTCGCAAGATGTCGACCAAACATTTCCAGAGGCATTAAAAGATCCTGTACTGAGGAAGGTGCAATTTTCCGTTGTTCCGAGAATCGACTCTTTAGGTAAGCAAAATAACTTAACCTTAAAAATAAAGTTTCTCAGTACTAATTTGGGTATTACCATTCTATAGTGGATCAGATGCATGACGTAAGTGGATATGCGTAATCATCTGATGATTTGTTTCAGTGATCTAACGCCTATTTCTAGTCCTTCAAGAACGATTTCTACCCCGGCGAGCACGTAACAGCAATCCTATCGAACGGAGATAGAGTAGAGGCATTAGTCCGCGAAAAGACGATGTTTCCAGAGCTCCGCTATGCGAGTGGCGATATTCAAAGAAAAGGCTTTTCACGTTACACAGTGAAATTAATCAACCGGAACGATGAGGAAGCGCAGGTGGACAATGAACATCTTGTTAGGGACAAGAAGTCGTTTACTAAGGCTATGCTACGCTCATTCATCAAAAACACAGTGTCTCGGGAGCCTTGGAACGGCGCGCCATGGATAGTTAAGGACGAATTTGCAGTGAAGTATAAAATTCCTCAGGTTATCCCACCAGAACTCCGGAAAGCGTCTTCAACAGAGAGAAAAGCAGCGCACGCTCGAAGGAAGCAAGGATCAACTCAAGGGCTTGCTACAACCGCACTAGCTAGTGTTAGCTCTTCGCCTATAACAACAACTCCGGTAGATATCAAACCAGCGCCGAAATCCCACAAAAGCAAAAGCCAACAAGCTGCTATGAAGATGACAAAGTTGGGGCAGAACGGGGAGGTTGGAAGCGGATCTATTAGTGTTGCTAGATCCTCGTGGAGTGGCAGTCCAGTTGGAACTCCCGATGTTGGTGGAACCAAGATCAGTCTTAAAACTATCATCAAAGAGGAAACACCCCCGCCACCCCCGCCACCACCTAAGGCAATCAAATATCCCATCGAAGACCTGGACCTTCCTATTCAAGAGGGTACTCACAGGCCCACGCTACATTTCCTTTCAGCTGCAGGAATGCCTGGAAAGCTGGAACCTAATGAGACTGGGGTTAATCGTAGAATATCAAGATCATCAACACGCAATTCTTTAGTAGCCTCGGCGTCTCCGGCGCCCGTGGACAACGGGATTGATGAGGAGAAAGTTGGATATTATCTCAGCACATGGGTATTCCTTAACATTTATTGCGAGCCGCTAGTACTCGACTCATTCACCTTCGACGACTACATACAGGCATTGGAATACAGTAGCGATGAAATGGAATGCGAGCTGTTCGTCGAAATTCATTGTTCATTGTTGAAATCAATTGTAAATGAGCAGGGGGTAATACAGGCACAGCTCCCGGATTTCGACGAGGATGAAGATGAGGAAGACAACGAAGATGAGGAAGGAAGCGAGGCTGGATCAACGGGGCGAACGGCTCAGGTAAATGGAGAAGGGGAAGGGGAAGGAGGCAATGAAGAAGGGAAGATGGAAGTTGAGGGAAGTGAAAGCGGCCGGAAATCAAGAGGAAGATCTGAAGAGGGCAGGAAACATCGAGCAGATGAACTTTTTGAGCACAGCGACTCATGGGTCCAGCGGCTCAAAGTAAGGGATTTCAAGAATGGTGGATGGCAGTCCATTATTGTTGGGTTGCTTTATCAACTCTCGATGGATACCAGATACTCCAAGGATTGTGAAGAAATACTGGCGTATCTCACCCCGGTAGACACAGAACCAACGCCAGAAACCGTGTCACAGCAGTATCTAACTCTCAACCCGAACCTAAGGGTTATGGTACTACATTTATTATCGAGATTGACGCACGAGACAAGATCTGTTAGGGATTACATGGAAGAGTGCGCCGAAGAGATGACCAAACACCGCAAGGAAAAAATTGAGGAACAGAGAACTAGAAAGGCCTAGTGAGTAACACTAAATGATATCTAATATGTACAGTACTAACTCACGTATAACACGATTAGCCTTGAGGAGTTGAAATTGCTTGAAGATGAGAGGAAGGTTCTCCTACCAGACAACAGACCTAGGTCTCCTTCGCCTGTATCTCGACAAGCCTCCACCGACGCAGATGGGGATTCCAAGATGATGGGGGCCGACGATGACGAGGATATAGAGGACGATGAGGATGACGAAGGAGATGACACTGATCGTGGTCGATCTCTTCGTCGTGGAAACGAGCGCGCCAACGCCCGAAAACGGAAGCGGGAGGAAGAAAAAGTGAAGGCAGACGCAGCAGCAAAAATGCCAAAGACTTCAAAGCAATTCCAGAAAGTTCTTAAAGCTATCGAAACTATCAAGGCGAAAATCGTCAAACAAGAAGAGAAGATTACCTCCTTCGACGAGGATCTTCGACAGGCGGACTGCGCAAGGTTCAAGATGATGGGAAGGGATCGATTTTGGAATAAGTACTGGTGGTTTGAGAGGAATGGTATGCCATTTGGTGGGCTCCCTTCATCCTCGACGGCCGATTCCGGTTATGCGAATGCCATGATCTGGGTGCAAGGCCCTGATCCAAGTGAGAGAGAAGGCTTTTTGGTTGAGGAGGCAGGGACAAAGAGGGCATTGGATGGAGATGGAGATGCACCGATGAATGGGACCACTGATGGTAACATGACTGTCCTTGAACGACAAACTCGCGAGGAAGGATCTACGACACTCACGTCACCTACTCGTTATGGATATATCGAAACGGTTGAGGAATTCGAGCAATTGATGTCCTGGCTGGATATCAAAGGTGTACGAGAAAAGAAGCTGAAAATCTCTCTGGAGGAGTATAGGAAGCACATTGAACAGGGGATGCGCAATCGCCTGGGATATCTTTCCGGTGCTACTGATACCGCGGACAAAGAAAACGGCAGAGCGGCTGCTAGGGTCAAGTCAAACTGTGATCCTAATGTCTGGAGATGTCTGAGATGGAGAAACAGCACCATGGTCGAGGATAGCGGCCATACTCATTTCGACCAACCCTTGCCAAGGAAAACAAAAAAGAAGGGGGCGCAGGACAAGGGAGTACCGTTAAATAGGCAAGGGAAGCCGGTTAGCAGACAGGGCGATCGATACAATTTTTAAAGACGAGCACCATGTATAGACGAAGTACATGATAGATTAATACCGGTGTAACGATATCAGCAGTTGTCCAGGCGTTCCAGTGTGCGATCTGCGGGATGTGAGGATTGACCAAAGTGATCGCAGTCCCCCTCCTCCTCAAGTGATTTAGTGTGGCAAGGGATCAGCAGACAGCCGTTTAAGCACAGAGGATGAGCAGATATTTTTCTTTTTGGTTACATTATGTTCCTGGCTTTTCTTTTCTCTCTTTTTTTTTTTCCTTTGGCGCATGGTGAAATTTGGATTTCGTTCCCTAATTGGTGTTTTGCATAGTGATTTTTCTTTACCCTCGTGGGTTTGTTTTATTATACCTACTTGTACTTTCAATAAACTTGGCCTTCTGAGCTGATATGATACTTTTTGTTTGATTTGTATTTAACTTGAATTTGAACCAAAACCTGGCTATGTAGCAGAGATCTTTTTTATTTTTGTAGTATTTTTGGGACTTTTGAAATTTCTTTAGTTGGGCTCATAACCATTTCCTTTATTTCCTTTCTAGAACGAAACGAGCATATGACTTTCTGGGCACGGAAAACAAGAATAGCACGCACACCCAAGCAGCGATCTTTCCGTATTTTACTAGCATAAGTTTTTCGATATGTGGCTTGAATTATCACTACTCATTATTAACTACATGATGTATCGACTTAGAACTAGTACCACCCTGTACCTTTAGCACAATTAGACGTATTAGTAGAATATCTTATATCGCCCCCTACGTTCCGATCCTAGTTTGCATGAGCGGTTTTCGTCTTGTCAATTGACTAAGAAAATATTACTGCAGGCAGGAATTAAATATCAGTACGGGTCATCACATCAAACACTTGGAAGATGAAAATGATATTACGGAAGGTGCCGATAAGCGATAAGACCTCCTCCGACTCCCCCGCATGAAGATCTTTCTTGGGCCGGCCGGTCACACGGGGTGGATGGAGGAGGGTATTTAATATCGCGAGGGGCACCCCATCGATTGAGCTTATTTTCTCCTCCTCCTTCTTTTTCTTCAGCCGAGGGAAGCTTTTGAGGTGAAATTAAGGGAAACACTGCTCCGGGTATGCAATTGGCTTCTTTCTTGGCAATAACTGGGATTGACTGACTGGCTGACTGGCATGCCCGAATATTTGATTAGATATACAAAATAAATATGCCTTCTTCCCACTTGACGAAGGCAAAAGCCGCTGCCCAGCGGTACCATGGTAAAGTACCGTATATCAGGAAGTTGCCGGTGCCCGTGGTTGGGATTATTGTGGCCGTTGTCATCGCAAACATCATTTGCTGGGCTGGTGCCGCGGTTTTGCTAGTTTGATTCCCAAGCCAATTGCTATTCTTGGATCATAACTAATTAATATCTGGTTGTATGGCATAGCATTTCCACAGGTCTCGTTATAATATACCAAACCGCAAAAACAAGGCTCTATACTAACTAATATTGCGTCCCAAAGGCCATTACTAGGGACCGCCATCTTAGCATATACCCTGGGTCTTCGCCATGCCCTGGACGCAGACCACATCTCGGTATATCTACTCCACACCGGTTTCTAGTGCCTGATCTAATAATATTAGGCGATCGACCTCATGACTCGTCGTCTAATCGCTGCTGGTCAACGACCTGTCTCAGTGGGGATGTTTTTCTCGCTCGGCCATTCCACGTTTGTTTCTCCATCCATCCATCCTCACTCGAAAATAGCCGGTGCAACCCTAACCCTACCAAACATGTAATTCAGAATAGTAGTAATTACGTCCATCGTTGTCGCAGCGACGGCAGCATCCTTCAGCGAGCGCTTTGATAGTTTTCGACGTGTAGGAGGAATCATTGGAACATCGGTGTCTGCAGCTTTTCTATTGATATTGGCGCTGATGAATGCGTGGATCTTGTATAAGCTTATTAAGGAGATGAAGAGGTTGATTTCTCGGAGTAGTGAGGACGAGGAGGTGGATATGTGGAATGTGCAAGGTGCGGGGTGCTTGATGGGTGTGTTTAAGGGTGCCTTTAAGATGATTGATAGGCCGTGGAAAATGTATCCGTTGGGTGTACTCTGTGAGTAGGCCTTTTTGGACTTCTTCCATCTTCTCCGGTTGCGAGATGCTGATACGATGTAGTTGGGTTGGGATTTGATACTTCTTCTGAGGTAAAGTTTATGACCTTTGAGAAATAATTAGTAGACGAGTTTTCTGATCCTAAGCGTTGCAGATTGCACTTCTCGGAATAGCATCAATCCAAGCAGCCCAAGGAACCAGCATTTGGCTAATCCTAATATTCCCCGTTCTTTTCACCGGTAAGTATAGAAACACCATAGCATAACTCTTAGAGACTAATAGCTCGCCAAATGATAGCCGGAATGTGTCTCCTCGATACCACTGACGGTGCGCTCATGTCCGCTCTCTACACGTCTCCCTCATTCGCGCAAGACAACATCGCAATCCTCTACTACTCCATCGTGCTCACCATCATCACCATCATCGTTGCCGTCGTAATCGGGACAATCCAGCTTCTCTCCCTCATTCTAAATGTCGCAGAGCCTACAGGCCACTTCTGGGAGGGTGTGGAGAAGGCGGGTGATATGTATGACGTTATCGGAGGGTGTATTGCCGGATTGTTTGTGGTGGTGGGGGTTGCGAGCGTGCTTGCCTATAAGCCTTGGAGGAGACGGATTGATAGGGGTATGTTGAGGGTTGGTGATGGTGATGAAGGGTGTGGGGATGATGTTGAGCAGGATGTTGAGCAGGATGTGGGGAGGACCGCCGGGGATAGTAAAGGAGCGTTGAGAGAGGACGTGGTAGGAGTTCCTAGCGAGATATTGGGAGAAAGGTCAGGGTGAAGACGTATCTTGACATCTATCACTCTAAATTAGAATGCCTCCTCGGCTATTGCAACTAGCTAGATTACTGGACGTACGTTTTCTCGAGAAATATAGTTAAATGGCCGGCTGGGTAACATTTTAATTTTACCGCCCTGACTTGGTTTGAATGACCAGTTTCACCTCTTATTGCCGTACAAAACCACCAGCGATATCTTGGTAGCTTTATCCTCCATAAGCACCGCGATAGATGAGCCTGGCTTGAATTTTTAAACAATCTTGGTAATATCGATTGGGCGTTGAAAAGTTTGACTCTTCTTCCTAGAGGTGTATAATCATATTCAACTCAACTATATGCCCGGGTGATACCATCAATGCTCAGGAATTTGGATTTGAATTAATGAAGGCCTAAATCCGCTCTCTAAATCACAAACACTTTGAAGGACCTTGCGCTGTAATTGTAGTCATAAAGAATTATGTACCTACTAGCCCTCCTAGAAAATGCAATCTACGGTGAGTTTGATACTTTTTCTTACTTCCGATATCAAACAATGTTTGTTGTCTGTATAATATGTGGCTACTATTATCTTGTTAGTATAAAATGACAGCTACAACAATACGGTCTTATACTCCCTGCGTGTATGCATGCTCGTATCCATGACTCTACAAACCGACAACCTGTCTAGAGGAAAACCCCAATAAACCCCAACTTAACCCAACCCCTCCCATAAAAATAAATATTTCAGCTCAACACCCACTACAAGAATGAGTTTATTTGAGTTATAAGCCCTGACCTCTAGACACTGTTTAGATATACCCCTTCCCCAATTGGTACTGGACGAGAGAAATGCTGCCAACGAGAGCAGGGAAACTCCCACGGAAGCCCAACGAGCTCTACCCTACCCCTCGAAACTTGCAGCCAGTGCCAGGAACGTCTCAATCGACGGAGGTGGGCTCGAAACTTCATAAATCCCACACCTGAGTCTTAGTTAAAATTAAACCCAAGTTTATATCCTCGTAGGCCCTAGAATTACAGTAGCTAGAGAGCCCAGAGATATGTTACCTCCAGGCATCATGAAGGGACATACGGCCTACTCTCTACCGTACCGTTTCCCCGAAGCTGAGCTAGAATAAAGCGCTGATCCCCAAACCTACATATTCTATTCCTTTGCTCAGCCAGCCCCCAAGGTGTCAACAGAAAGCCCACCACACGGCATATCCCGGAATTACTTCCTATAGCAGCCCGACAGTAAAAAGTGGCTAGTGTATGTATCTATAAGTTACACATAGTTTCAAAGCTGGTACAATACATTTTTCTTAAAGAAATTGGCACGAACCATACCCCCAACCTAGGACCAGTAGTTTATGTACATAGCAGCCCACCAATATAATCACCATCCATCACTCGCTGCAATATCGGCAGCCTCCGCCCGGCAGATCCCGGGCCGGGCCGGGCGGCCAAGCACCAGCTTCCTCTCGCTCCAGCAGGGGAATCCCCGGAACGCAGAGCAGAGAGATAACGGGTTGCGGGAGAGCCCCGCATACAAGAGAAAAAAACTTCTCCAACCCAGCGATTCTTTGGGTTAGGGTTACACGCGTTGCGACGAGAAAATGCAGGCACCAGTGACCACCAGGGTTCACGCCGGCGGGAGAGGGGTTTTTAGCTAATAATACGCTAGGCAGTGGGGTACCAGAGAAAAAAAATACACTCCCCACAGTAAATATAAACAAGCTCCTCTACCCCCTCTCCCCATTCCACCAAAACAACCCAAAAACTCAAAGAAAATTAAAAATGGATCTTAACAACGTCGGCCCCGAAGAGCTCCACCTGCTCACCACAAAACTCCGCGCCTCCCTGCGCCAATACCCCAACTTCCCCCAGCCTGGCATCCTCTTCGAAGACATTCTCCCCATCTTCGCCTCACCCTCCCTGCACGCTACGCTCCTCCGCGCCCTCGAGCTCCACGTCCAGGCCACCCACCCACCCACCCTCACCCCACCCTTCGCCGGCGTCGATGTCGTCGTCGGCCTTGAAGCCCGTGGTTTCCTCTTCGGCCCCTCACTCGCGCTCAAGCTCGGCGCGGCCTTTGTCCCCGTGCGAAAGAGCGGAAAGCTCCCTGGCGAGTGCGTCAAGGTGGGCTACGAGAAGGAGTACGGCACCGACTTCTTCGAGATGCAGAAGGACGCCATCAAGCCTGGCCAGCGTGTTCTGGTCGTGGACGACATCATTGCCACAGGAGGCTCGGCGAAGGCTGCGGGTGACCTGGTGAAGATGCTGGGCGGTGATTTGGTCGAGTATGTGTTTATCTTAGAGCTGGACTTTTTGAAGGGGAGGGAGAAGCTGGACGCCCCGGTCTACACGCTGCTGACGGGGCAGGAGGAGGCATTGAAGGATGAGTAGAGATGGAGAAGGCGGGGCTCTGAGAGGATAAAATATACCTTTCTGTAGAATAGACTAATGTCAGCTGGCTTTATCTGACAATAAAAATTCAGTTATAGACTATCTTTTTCCTCGGGTTTCATTGAACCTTTCATGCTCATCCCAGGCACCACCCACTCTATCAAATTACCTCGCTCGAAAGAACTGCTGTGCTGGATCTGCCCCCGCCCCCCGCCCCCAAACAACAAAAAAAACAAATAACAGCCAGCCGAACGAGTCCCCCAATGAATGTTATGAGCTAAGCCTAGCTACAGTACATATAGTCACTCCTGTGAGTATATTTCAGAACGGTCTGATATATAGCTTTTTAACTCGATTGGGAGAAATCTGTTTTAGGGTTTGTATTGGATTCATGGATCAAGAATTAACCGACTGTGCCTTGTCTATGACTCGCTCTACATGTATGTAGGTACATGTAGCTACCACCAGCCACGAGCGAGTGATGACTCATGAAGCAAACTTCACTCTCACTAGGCACCATGTTTTCATGAAGAAGTCGCACAGGAAATATGGCCGAAAATGATCGAAATATTCCCTCCATTACTCTTCCATTGTGTGTATATTTTTGAGGCTTTAATTCATGGCCCTCGTTCTCGCCCCTGGCACTAACTGGCTTTGGCGTTTTAAGGGCGGCCCCGGGAACGGCGCTACCACCGCTCTTCACTATACGCATGCACGCCGCTGCCAGAAAAGAAGAGAAGAAGAGAGAATGGATCTAGTCTGAGAGGCACGCTGGTACCGGCCAGATATTCAGACCGACCAGTCGTGCTGCCCTGGCCGCTAAGCTATTCTCCTCCGGACTTCCGGACAGGAACCCCCCCAAACCTAGGACCAGAACATTGCAAGAACTACTCGCCTACAAGAAAACATGCAGCACTGATTAGACCCATGACACGGTGAGATTAGGCCCTTCTCTTTTGCTAGCTACATACTCTACGCTCTACACAATATTAATCACCTCGTAGCACGTACCGCCGAGTTATGAATGAATACCCGCACCACGAGGAGTCGTCATGGCCCGGCCTCCAAAACCGCCCAGGCGACGATTTAGTCGACTAAACCCCGTCTATATCCAACGTGGGAGGAAATACTAGACAGGTTAACCCATTTGCTCACTAAACTCAACTTCTCGCACAAGATAAGTGCTGTAATGGGAGCGTGACGTCTGGATCACAGATAATCACTCGCGCCAAGAAATCTCTCACAATACCCGCAACTCTAGATGCTTAATCCCCCCGCTTACCCCTCTGCTCATTTCAGGCCCTCGGTATCACCCAGGACCCAACAGGAACAGTACCAGGGACGGCGGGAGCCTAACGTAAAATAGCCCCCCCTTACGTGAAGAGGGCAGGCAGGCAACCAAAACGACCGAACGTAAAAAAGGCCCCCTCTCCTTCAGAAGAAGGAGAGAGGGCAAACACACAGGGTGCGGCTCGCTCCTGCTGGGCCCTCGGTGCTACCCAGAGCCCAGCAGGAACAGCGCCGGAGACCTAACGCAAAATAGCCCCCTCCCCTTCTTACGAAGAGGAGAGGGCAGCAGGGGACATAACGCAAAACAGCCCCCTCCCCTTCTTACGAAGAGGAGAGGGCAGCAGGGGACATAACGCAAAACAGCCCCCTCCCCTTCTTACGAAGAGGAGAGGGCAGCAGGGGACATAACGCAAAACAGCCCCCTCCTCTTCAAAAGAAGAGGAGAGGGCAGGCACACACGCGTACAGGGCCAACGACCCAACGTAAAATAGCCCCCTCTCCTTCTTCTGAAGGAGAGGGGGCAGGAGCGCGGGGGGGCTGCGGCCAGCGGCGGAATTACCCCCTCCCACACGGGGAGGGAGCGGACAAAACGTTGACCCGTTCATCCCAGCGGGGACGAACGGGTCAATTATTTATATGTCCCCTCTCCTTCTGGTGAAGAAAAAGGGACAGGTCCCCCGAGCCACCGGGGCACCGCAGCGCACCGGGGCACACACACCCACCAGGCCACAAGGGCCACCAAACAGGCCACCAGGGCCGCACCGACCACCAGGGCACAGCACCCCCAACGGCCAGGCCCCAACGGCCACCACCACCACAGCCACCAGGGCCACCAGGGCCAGCCACCAGGCCACCAGGGCCAGCCACCAGGCCACCAGGGCCAGCCACCAGGCCACCAGGGCCAACACTAGAGCAATATTTCCCCCTCCCACCACAAGGTGGGAGGGGGAAGGGATCGACCCTCCAGCACTCCAGGTGCTGGAGGGCGATTGGAATCCCCTCCCTTCTACAGGGAGGGGTGAGCGCTGGCAAAAGCCAGACCACTCATCTCTGGCCCAAGAGGGGACAGAGAGATCCTTATGTTTTTTTTGCAGAAGGTGGGGCGGTGGAGGTGTTTATAAAGGAATGAGGATTATTTTTCGCCGACTGGGGCTTGGCATTTGTTTTGTGGTTTAAGTTACATTTAGGTCGGTACTTGGAGTGGGTTGGCGATCGATAGCTGAGGGTGAGTCTTGACGTGGCAAAACCCATCATAGTAACAAATGGTGAAGTTTTGTAGTGAATAGCAGGTTCGTAGCAGATGGTAAGTTTACGGCAGACAGCGTGTACGCAGATGTGACTAGATGACGTGACATGAACGGTGAAAGAAAGACAAGAGATAAAACAGATTTGACTGCTTACATGCATTAACTAGAACTACATCAACGAGTCTTTCCTGTGCTACGGACGTGGATGATACTAACCGCAACCGATGACCATCACCTATTCTCCATTTCAAGAGTATAGGCGAGTGCGGACATCGGCGGCCAGATATAAAAACATGGACTGAGGAATCTTTTAATCACAGTAGATGACAGACAGAAACTATATATGGCCAAATGCACAGTACACTGACTTATGGCTAAGTGTTCAGTGCTATCCCCACTCAAGACCTTGTCCAAACACGCGGTATCTAACCCGACGAGGAGTCTAGCCGCTACCCACTAGACCACTCGCCCATAGTCAATGCTGCGATGGAAGTAATACTTCAGCTAGCTTGGCGCTGTGCTAAGATAAAAGCAAAACTCCAACCCTTCGGTGTCAATGCTCAGCCATCCATAATATATTTACTCATTTTGGATCATATGATCATTTGTTATTATAGGGCACGTCTACAGAAAACTGTGTACGTGTTTTTCCGGAGTTTAGTTTGAAACTTGAGGAGGGGGATATATACATGTAGTCATACTCCTAAAGAATCAAGCCGTAACCGTGCATTCGACACTCTATCTGGTGCCACGAAGGAGAGTTATTGGTATGAGACAGTGCTTCTTTGCGTTTCGCACGGCGGCCAAAGAGTGATCGGTTCTCAACGAGTACTCTTCATGAAAATAAAAATACCATTAAGAACCAAATAAGCGTTAATCTTAGAGGGCACAGAGATTGGTATGTAGGGGGTTTCTAAATTTGGAGGGCGGACGGTAGCCAGTATCAGTAGAGAGAATTCTTAGAGTATAGTAGACCACACGAAATGTGGTGTGTGGACAACCGAGTGATAATACATGATTGTAAACTCACCTGCACGAGCAGGCATCACAATCTCAGCGTGCGCCTTCTAAGTCGGTAAATTACCGCCTAAATACAGTTAGAGAGAGCTATGTAACTACATAGCTAGGTACATAAACTCGATCAACAAATTCCCTACTATGCCGCCTATTGTTGGGTGTTTGTGATTCAGACATTGGCTCCGATTCCTATGTAGGCCAAGTTTCTTCGATCCCTCTTACTGTGTACCAGCCAAAATGTAGCGAGACATAGCTGGAGAAGATGTCATGAGAGAAGTAAAATCCAATGGTTCTATGTTATGTATATGCAGCAGGTGGCCGATATGATTTCAAATATTGCACTGTTTTGTCATTTCATCCAGCATTTATCTTTAATCACCAAATATTTGAATTCGTCCAAGCCCTTCTCCTCTGCATGATGCGAGTGAAGTACTAAACATCCAGTCTCGTGGCATTGTCTTGGTACTTCCTCTCTGTGGTTTGGTTAGCCGCTGGTGCCTTTTAAGGCCCGGAGGTGGGAGCACCTAGTGATGAGAAAGACTCTCAGCAAGTAGATCTTTAATCCCCTCATTTATTCCCTTCCCTCCTTCCCTCCTGAGGGAGTGAGTATACCACCATGTCTTGCGCAAATCCATACCCTATATCCATATCTAGTCGTTTGGTCCAAACCACATACACACCCAGTACAGGATCCACTTTGGTGAGGGGTCATATTATGTATCGTTTTGTAGTTAGTAGTGTCAAGATTACCCAGCCAGAAGTCCACTACCGGTGCGCATTCACTGGTCAGGGGCAGCTAACTACTAGTTCTTCTGGGACATGGGCCTGTTTTTCAGTCGGAAAGTGGGGTCGGTAGATAGTTAGATAAAAGCCGCAATATATAGAAGCTCGTGATCAAGTTTTACGCCGATGCGGGAGCGGGTAGCGAATGAGGCTTGTCCGTACTAGTGTGTTTCTCGCTGGCCCTATCGTCAGCTTAGGAGTGCTGTATCACATCTAGAAGTGCTGTTCGCTTCGGCCAGTGTAATTGTTCATTTGCATATGGTGCGCACCTCATCTTAATTAATCGCCCAGGCAGAGCCTTGGTTCCCAACAACTTACCTCATGCATGGTGGGGCGCGCGCATAGCTAGGTGCTACTAGAGGATCACTGTATCTTTGAGAGAAGAGGATGCATATATAAGTGAAGCGTCGTATATCAGTAAGGTGAAGTCGACGGATGTGTAATCGGAGGTGGGGGTGGTAGAGAATTAGATACGTGGTGTCCAAGCCGATGTCAGGCGCCGCGTGCCTTCCGGCTCCCCAGCCATCCACAAGACAGCCTATACATCAACAACAAATATGAGTTCATACCAGAACTCCGGCCGATCCAGCACTCATTATCACCAGAATTTAGATTCAAAGCTCCCTTTCCCCGCACGAATCGCCCTGGTGATCTCCTGCGCGAGTGATATTCTGTGATTGAGTATATAGTAGGAATTCGAAGCCTTTACCGGCGTTTGTTAATCATGTAGGGGTCGACGTCGAATTAGGCTCCGAGCATAAAGCCCGTAGCACTAGTGTAAACCTCATGGACCACACCTATGGAAGGACACCTATATACGTACATATACATGTAAATATACCTCCCTCTCATCGTTCTCCCTGCCTCCACCATCTCAGATAATTCCAGATCCCCCACACCACTCCTCCCCGGATCATTTCGTTATCTTTCTCAAAATCCGTCTTCAGACAACTCACGAGCTCTGAAATCATGTCAACGACCATCCATGATTCATAGAGATCCATGCACGCGGCCTGGGTATATGTAATAACTGCATGTAGGCACACTATTACCATTTAACTAGATAACCAGTCCCAGAGTGTTTCTATTATATGATATAATACCATCTAATGGAAGATTAGTGCCAAGCAGACTCTATGAAGTATCAAGTCAGTGAAGTACCGAATCAGAATCCTTGAAGTAACGCTAAATTATATACCGGAACGATACAATTCTATGGGTTATTTCACGGAGGCTCCGCACTGGATACACAAGGCTCCACGTCAATATAGGATCGCATCATTCATAGAATTATCAGCCAGTACTGAACTAAACATATATCGGAACCACGATGTGCTCTACCCAAGAAACTCTCCTAACTGAAACTTTATACGTACAATTCTACAGACGACCCCTCTCTCCGAAATTCGTGGCACAGTGACGGCACTCCCAGCTAGGAACAACAATACACTGATGTTTTGGGTAAACCTCACTCCTTCTGTACATGTAGTTAGTATTATAGATATATCCTTGGACGTTAGATAGAAACCAGTTAATGCAATACCAAACCCCGACTAAGAGGATAACCCCATGGCGGTATTCTGTTAGGTTTGAACAGAAACTACATGTGCTATGCATTTGTGAATGTCAGGAAATAGCGCATGGATTCGTTGTCTCTATATCTCCAATCGTAATGATGATGTATGATTGGGTAGCCGCAAAAGTGTACGTACATGTTTAGTGCTATCGGAGTCTTCATTAAAATCTCTATTAGAAAAATTGGGCGTGCTAACTAGTAACGAACCTCGGGCCAGGCCACCAGAACGGAAACAAATCTCCACTGCGTGTTTGGCCAAGAAATTGCACATCTGTATCGGTGACGTATGTGGCTTACCTGCAAAGCTAGAGCATGTAAATTTTCAGCGCTAGGGTTTCTGTTTAGCCCTGGCGTACCTACATGTACAAATATGTATGTACAATTACGTGCTGCCGGCCCGGCCAGGTTGAAGGGCATTTATACTCACATCGTTCCCCTGGCGAGATATTATGCGAGACGAGTGATTTATTGTGATGACAACTACAGAATTGTAAATCGGGTATCCCTATTATCTTCCTTCTTATAGACACAAAGAGAAAAGTGAGAAAGAGAAAACTACCCAGCCAGAACCCGTTAATTCCTGAGACCCCACCGACAAAAAGAAAAATCTCCTATATAACCCAGACTAATGGGTAAATTGAGAACAAAGGAAAAACGAAAACAATATTACACAAATACCCACATTACCATAATGTGATACCGAGAGAGAGGTAAATGAACAAAATGAAAAAAAAAAAATTATGAAAGCAAGGGACAACCGATCTCCTTGCAATCCATCCAAAGAAATGAACAACCCAAACCTACCCGGTACCTATGAAGGAAAAAATGAAAAAATGAGAACCAAACACCCCCCCCCCCCCCGTCACTTTCTTACTGAACGTTGTGCTCGTTCTGCCCGCCAGGCCACCCGTTCAGAGTCCACAATGGCATCGTATTCTTTTAGCTGGGCTTCCTTGTGGAGCAAATCCCTCTTTAAGTTCTGAACTTCCGCCTTCAGCCCTTTTTGTTTCTTGATTGCTTGGATTCTTCCTTCTAGGTGGCCTAATAGTTCATCGACCATTTCATCGCCAGATTCCTTGTCTCCCTCTTCCGAAAGACCCAGCGGAGCAATATTTTTACCACCTAGTTCTGGTGTTGATGAGACTTTTTCTTTCAACAGCTCGGGTTGTTGGTTTGTCAGCCTATGTGCCTCTCGCTCCAACATTTGCGCCATTTCCTCTGTATAAAGTACAGTGTAAATATCTTCCTGCAGCTTGCGGTTGTTACGTGAGGACTCGATCAACCGAACTGTTCGACGAAGCCATGGCCAGAATAGGGCGTGGTTATCACCACTCTCTTCATCGCCATCTTCCTCTTCCATTGCAACCACGACATTGCCCGATATTCTTCTTGGCTGGTCGCTGTAAACGACAACCGGCATTCTGCCATGCGGATCCATACTGACGACAGCTGTTTGTGTAGCCGGTGTCTCCGTTCCCGATGATGCCGCGATGCCCTGCATCTCATGGTGATGGACCGGATGTAGCTGCATCGGTGCAATCCCGGGAACAACGACCGGCGGCGGTTGTGGTGCAACCTCAACAACACCCCTTCCCCTCGGTTCCCCACGACTTCTAATAACGGCCTCAGCATCAGCACCTCCTGCTCCTCCTGCTCCTCCTATCCCTCCTATCCCCCCACCTCCACCTCCTCCTCCCCCAGCCGATGAGGAGCCGTTCTGTCGGGCATGCCGTTCTGATCCTGCAGCCTCCAGACCTCTGAACGCCGGTTCCTCGTCGTCGTTAAGCTCGTCATCCGTTCCCCCGTCCTGGTTGAGGCTATGCTCCCCCGACTCGCTTCTTCCCCCTCCTCCTCCTGCTGCTCCTATGTCGCCCGAGTCCAGGTCCATCCCGGAGCCCAGCGAGTCGCGACCCAAGCTCTGGCGCTCCCGGTCGCGCGCTCTCTTGCGGGCCTGCCGTAGACGGGCCATTTCTCGCTTGCGCTGGAGACGCTCCTGGTCGGTGAACATGGCTGGTCTTCCGCGCTGCCGTTTATCTGCGCTCATTTACTAGTTATGATTTTCGCCTTCTCTTTTATTTTTTGAAGGTCTCCTCCCCACGAACGAGCAAGGCGTGGATTTCTTTTCTTGCTTTCTTTCTTGTAAAGGTTTTAAAGTATAAAGATAAAATAAGAAATCCCGAGGAGAGTGCGCGATGCAAAAAAGAGGAGAAGAGCGGGTGCTTTCCTGAGAGCAAGGTTTTGAAGATGTTAGTAATAGCACTCACTCAATCACTCTACATTGCATGATATGATAGAGTGTATCAAAAAGTACCATGCAGCGAAGGAAGTTGAGGTGTAGAAAAAAGAGAGAAAGAAGAAGAGGAGATTACCGACCCCAGTGGTATAATTTTGCCCAGCCACAAGGCTTCGCAGGTATCGCGAAGTCACCCGGCGGGCAGGCAGGCAGCGCGCGCAGCAGCTGGATGTGGCGGTCTTGAGCACGGTTAACCCAGCAGACAGAGCTTGTTATTTTTTATATTTTTATATTTTATATTTTGCGCTCTTGCACTCTTTTTATTTTTTCGAAGACGAAGGATGCGTAGGATAGGAAAGAATGAAAGAAGAAGAAAAAAAAACGAGAGGGGGCGGCGGCGAGCAAAAGTAGGGCCGAACACACTGTTAATAAGTGAAAAGAGAGCGACGGGTTTCTGTTCCTATAAACAGACCACAAGAGTCACGTTCGCCAAGGGTGTTCGCATCAAAGTGACGGACGGAGATCCTTGCGCGCAGAGGTGGGTTTGAGAAAGAGGTAGAAAGAAAAAGTGCGGGTGCTTTTTTTAAACACTCACAGCTAGTACTGCTGCTGCTGCACGCAAGGGGAGAAAAAAGCGGAGGGAGAAGAGGGGGGGGGGGGGTTACGTTGTGGAAGGAAAAGCCTAAGGTAGGATGTAGGGGAGGAAAGGGTATGAAACGTGCACTGGAAACAAAACGACCCGCTTTGGGCGTGACAGATAAATTGTGATCGAAGAAGGGTTGGTGATGCTGATTGCTCACCTCACTACAAGTTTTTTTTTTTTTTTTTTTTTTTTTTTTTTTAATTCCCTCGCAAGCAGGCACGCACGGAGGTCTACAAGGGAAGCTTGTGAGAGATCAAGAAAGAGAGACGAGTGGGGCTGAGCATGCGTGAACGTGACACCATTTTATTCTAGATCTAGAGAGGAACTAGACACACAACACCTCCTTTTTTTTTCGTTCTTGCAGAGTTTCTGGAAGAAAAAAAAAAAGGGCGTGACTCATTGCATTTGTTTGGGGAAGGGGGGGGCGAGGAAAGGAATTGCCAATGTTACACCGGCTAGCAAAGAAAACATGAGCTGCTGCTAGAACAGTAAAGCTTGCTGCTGGTGAGTTTCTTAGGTAACCTCCAGACCCTTTAGGGACCCTACTTGCCCACTTTATAATTTACTTGGAACTGCCAGGTTATATAGACATACCAACCGGGTACGTTAGGTATCTACTTCGGTATAATAGCAGGTATGATCATTCTACTCGAGCTCTTCTCTAGAGTACTGAGCTCTCATTCTGGTCACTTCTACTTTTACTCACCTTAAACAAGCTGTAGATAGCCACATGCATCATAAACTCACCCACCCCGGCCCTCTGCCGCCGCCCGTGATGTGATATTTATTTTTTCCTACACTTTCTGACAGCTGCAAAACCTCGGATATGGCGACGTACCTACATACATCCTGTAACCAGACTCTAGCTACATAACACGAGGGCGTGGCGTCATGTGTGTTCCAGTACGTTGCAGTCCTAGAATCGATCCTGGGTTAAGGTTTACTAGCTTGGCGGGGATAGCTAGATCATGTAGGTATTTCTGTCTCTATCTTGAGTGAACTCAATAGGATCAGTCAATCCTAGAAGGGGACTAAGCTGGTCTGAGCAGATACGAGTACATACATGTACTCATGTTCCATGTGGGTGTGTGGTTCAGATGGATTGATAGACGAAGGGTGGCCATGTGTGCCATAGTACTCTACCTAACTTGACTTACTGGTGGTTACAGGCCAATGGGTGCTACCTGTGTAGGTACTTACTCACACCGTATCGTTCGGCACGGCTCCGGCATGGTATGAGCCAGACCCTCGCCCAAGATCCTCGCCTATTCGCTCATTCATTCGCAGCTTCCGAGTAGAGTACAGTAGATACTGACTGTTCTGATACCAAAGTACTCATCCAGGAGTAACAACTACATAGGTACTTTACTCCTGTAGGTCCGTGTACCTAACATATAATAGGTGCATATTACATGTAAGTAAGCTGGCTGTCACGCTTTGTATGACATCTCATACCCACTCATTCACTCAATTACTCCCCACTTTGTTTCCATTCTTCTACCCCGTTCACCTGCATGAGTACCTACATATACATTCCTTCGTCCCGTCACAGTCATGTCACACTACATACTCGAGGCGAGCGAGGGTTTCGGATTAAAACCCCGTGCCGTCGGGAGCGCAGACTGTGCTACATCCGCCCGGATAAGATGGCGGTCCGGGGTGGACGGTGGCTGAGGGTGATTGATTAGTAGAGCAGTGGTGGTGGATTGGTATTTAGCTATGTTGGGGGCAGTGGTTTTTCCGAATGGCCAGGGGTGAAGAGAGTGTGCTTTGAAGGGACGCAGGTATTCAACTAGACTTCATCGATCAAACCCCAGAATCCATCAACTGAACCCATCGACTAGGACTGCATCACCGGTGTTAGTGAGACGCGCTCGACTTGATCCTAGATACAGACATCGATATTAGAGCACATGACACAGAAACGTGGTGAGCAGAGAACTCTAAACAATCCTCCGAGTAACTCCATCCCGGTAAACGTTATTGCAGCCTTGTTGTCAGATCTAGTGAGTGAGTACATGTAGTTCAGATAGTTGTTGGTCTGGAGAGACGCTTTTTGACGCAAAGGGGGAGAGGGACGCAGGGAGGGAGGGAGGGACAGGATCTGGAGGTTTATTAACGCATGTAGGACGCACACAAGATCAGCACAGGCAAGCAGCCCTGCCGGCGTGGGCGTCCGGATCATCCATACATCTGGCGGTGTATCCGCGACTACGCGCGGTGAGCTGCGCGCGTGTGGGGATGTAGTTATTGAGCGGCAGTGAGTGGACCTCGGACCGGAGGCTTCCGCATAATAACCCCTGCCCGCATCTCCGGTGCATGTGCGTATGTATGTACGGGTGGATCATTTCCCTGCCCATATTAACAACCTTTGGATCTGGATCGCCGTGGAGAGATAGCTACCTAGATACATGTAGCTACCTGCTCCCTCATGCTCGTTCAGCCGTTTGATACCCATCCATACCCACATTCCACCTTCTAGTTCTGCTTGCCGACCCAGGCTCGAATATTTTTAATCTTCACCCCGCTTCGTCCCCTCCGATTCCGCTTGAATCCATGAAGGCGAGTAATAGCTACAATAGCTAGCTTGAATTGCCGGGACTGAGCTAATTAGGAGGCGGGCAGGCCTAGCCACCTACGCATGGCGGGAGACAGCCGCCATGGTGGGGCTGGTAGGGATCGACTCATTCTCCTACAAATCCTCTCACCATCCCAGGCCCCACTAGCACACCGCACGCCCCTCATGTTTCAGCAAAACCAGTAGCCTGGCAGTGTTTCCAATCACACACTATCACTCGGGGAGGATCCTTGTGCCTTTTACTCATCGAGTGGATCGCCAGCCGTTCCTTCCTCCTGCAATTTGGCACTCCTTATGCAGTCCCTCGGACAGAAGCTGGGGTCTCTGTAGTCGACGAGTCCGCTGAATATATTGCATTAATGCAGTCAAAAATGTGAGTATGGAACGATTGCGGTGATCGACTAGATGGGATATATTCTTATCACGCGTACGTACTACGTCACCAAGATGCGCCGTACCCCGCCCCCGCACTGCCCATATGCACCAGAAAGTGGGGGAAATCAGCTTGTAATTGTCCACCCCATACCTTACCCCTCTATATATAAGCCACGGTGTAGTAGCCCGCCCGACCCACGAGGCACGCACAAAGATCATGGCAATATAGATATCTTGCCAGTTGTAATTGGCTGTCCATATTATAATTTATTGTAAAAGTACGTAGGACAAGACCGTTAAATGACTCGATTCTTTGATTGATTCAGAGCCCCGCTATTTATGTACATGTATCCAGGAATATATAGGTGTCGACTTTCTAGTAACAGGTGTCGACATGACGCGTTCAAAAAGACCATCTATAATTCGAGTCAGGTTCGACATCATTTGAAAGGCCAGAGTTCAGCACGCACAGCCGAGTGAGAGTCCATGATGCAAATTTGGTTTATGGGCGGGTGCACTGGTCCGTCGGTTTTGCCTAAGTGATCGTAAGGTTGGTGAAAGATATATTAGGTGATAAAAAAGATAAAGAGACCTAGATCTATGAGCAAGAAAGCCACTCATTCTCTTGGCACCAGCTTCAGGCGGGCAGCACTTGTCGGCAGACGAAGAGATGCAAGTATTTTCCAAATATCAGCCAATCTCAAGCTCGGACGGGGATATGGTTATCTCTATTAATACCTTTTATTTTTCAGGTCTGTGTCTATAGTGGCTTCGATCAGGTTTTGGAAGTTGTGCTTAGAGTACACGTACACCGCGCCGCATACACTTTATCTAGTTCTTAGTGACTGAAGACATTTTCGACTATAGGGCCCGGTGGCAAATATACAAGGCTCTAGCTCGTATACCACAGAAAACGACTAACCATCTCATTTGGCGGAAACGCCCCCGGAGCCATTAGCATATATCAAAGATAACTATCCTAACCACTGGATCCTCCCGCCCGCCTACTATACGCAGGGCCGTAGTTATAATTACATATAGTTCATAGTGACTTTTATGTTGAGTAATACCCCCCTGTCAGCCGGGGTACGAGGGGAGTAGCTATGACTAAGTGCATGTAGATGATTCGCAGTAGGGGATATCGAACCACACATTATCCGCCGGTGTTTCATGGTTTTGTGCTTCTTGTACGTTCAGTATACGTATGTTGCCTCTAGCTTTGGACGGGGCTACATTTTCAGCTAAGTGTTGTTATAAGTGATATATAGAAAGCCTCGCAGTCTGACTGAGTATCTGTTCCTGTGCCTGTGTGTGTTCGCGGGGTGGCGGGGGGTACGGTTACGTAACACCCACCACCTATGAGCATGGCTGCTGCCTACTACTCACTCTAATAGAATACCCCATTACACTGTTACACACTCGAATACTCTACTGTACCGTTACACAAATACCCAACCCAAGCCACCACAAAATCTAAGATAGGCCACAAAATACCCCGGCCTGCAAAGGCTGGAGCTCGGGCCTGGAGATGGATATATGTAGAAGAATGTATTTGCAACTACCAAACCGGAAGCAAGAAAACTTAAGAACGAAGAGGCAAAAATGACAAAAGACATACGTGGTAAAAAGCCTTCTATGGCTTTCTATCTCAGTGTTATACAGGCGTTGCTGTTGGGACGAAGTCGTTGGCCGGAAATTAAATACTTAGGAATGTCAACTACATACTACCATCACTTGGTGGTGTGTGGTAAGGGGGGGCTTCGAGAAGAGTTATAGTCATATAGTGGCGTAGAGGTGTGGTATTTGTTGATTTTGCTTGGTGGCTATGTTGGCGGGTACCGGTATCGTGGGATGGAAGTGGCGTTATCAACTTGCGATTAATTTCAATCATATTCTCTCACTCGGTCGTTATTACTCGTTACTATCACCACCACTCATCACTCACCATTTCAACAACGCCAGCATAATACTCTAACACAGGAACCATAAAATAAACCAAGATAAAAAAAAGAGTAGTTGGATGCAGAAAGCTCTTGTATCGTATCCCTGGTATCACTAGCTAACTATCTATTTCTAGGTCTAGGTCTACTCCAATTAACCCCCCTCTACGCAAAGCTCACAAACCCCTCATACCCCTCCAACGGCTCCCTTCTAACGCCCTCCTGCTCCTCCCTCGTTTCCAACGCCTTAACACTCTCCCCCGTCACGCCCTTCCCCTGCGCCGTGCCACCATTCCACCTCCCCAACGCTGCCTTCAACTCCCCCACCGTCTCCGGATGATCCACCAGTAGGAACGCTACAGCATCATACCCTCCCGCGCCCGGTACCACCCCACCAAGCACCCCATTCACCTCCCCCTCCACCGCATCCAACAGCTTCGTCTGCGCCTCTGGCTCAATCGGCACCCCTGCCGCCTCCCCCATCCCACGGATTATCACCCGGATTGCCGCAATCTGTCCTCCAATCTCTCGTAGCGTGGTGAGGCAGCGCTCATGTGGGTGCGGGTGCGCCCACCCATGCTTCCGGATTGCATCCAGCGCGCCAGAATATGCGCCGGGCTCCTCCTCGGACGAGATGCGCAGCGACTCCAGCAGGTCAATCAGCCCGCGGTTCAGCATCTCCAGCTCATCCCACATCTTCTTCGCGACGGCGGGGTGCGCTGTGCGCCAGGCAAGAAGCTTCTTGACCATCCCGGGCGTGCTAGACCCGCAGTCGACGTCTCCCATGACAACGCGGATGCCACGCGGGACTCGAGTCTTCGAGATCTGCAGGTCCCAGGGGGAGTCAACGGTCTCTTTGAGTGAGCGGGCGAAGCCCTTTGTGTTTGCTTCTGGGATTGCCTCGAGGAGGGAGGGGGAGAAGCGCTGGTAGACGCAGGAGCCGAAGACGGCGGCGGCAACATCAAAGCCGCTGCCGACCTTGCCTTGGGCGGCGCAATGGGAGGCCTGTGCGAGGTTGTGGATGAGTTGCTGTTTGAGAATTGTACGGAGCTCTGGAGCTGAGGCCGGGGGTGGGATGTAGGTTGCGAGAAGGCAGGCGGTGAGGGAGGTGACGAGGGCGGCGCTGGAGCCGAGGCCGGTCTTGTGCGATGCGGAGAGGGGCGTGTTGAGGTGGTTGAAGCGCGGGGCGGGGTAGGTGGGCTGCGAGTAGTAGTCGTTGTCCGCGAGAATGGTGATAGTTTTTGACTCGAAGTCGGTGATCAGCGTTGTGGACGAGATGTAAGTCAGGGCATAACGAAGAGTCGTCTCCACAAAGAGGTTTTTGGAGGACCTAGAGATAGCAGATGTCTCATTAGCTACATAGACATTATAGAAATATACAAATGTGAAAATATGTACTCTTCCTCCATGACCTGTGTCACGACCACTCCCTTGTCCGAGTCTGGACAGCTGATCTTATACTTCCACACCGCATTCGTGAATTGCGGCGACTTGACCGTGATGACGCCTGGGCCCGCCGCCTCAGGGTCGGGTGTTGAAATCGAGTGGATCCTCGCCGAGAGTCCAAACACAAGGCCCGAGTAGTCTTTATCGAGGACGAGATATCCACCAGCCAGGAGGACCTTCCCGGGAGCTGATATGGCGACAGGCATTATATTAGGTGATAGTTATTACTGATTATATATGATCTGTGATTCTCTGGTATGTTTACCGATGGCTAATGTTGATGATAGTACTGATGGATGGAGCAGTAATACTTTTATATGTAGTTCTTCAATTCCGATTTCCAAGAGCTCGCGGGTGTCGAAACAAAAAGCACAGGCACAGGAACAGAAAGAGTGGTTGCGCAGAGGGGTGATTCTCGCGGGTGCGTGGTGTGTCCGTGGTGTGCTTAACCCAGCAAGGGTCCTTGGCGGCGGGCTGAGCGAGCTAGCTAGCTGCGGGGCGCCCGGCGAATCACAGGAAAGCACTCGTGGGGCAACGGCTGGTGATGCATTTAATATTGCAGAGCACCTGATTAATCGATTATTATTCCTATATAGACCACTCCATATAGCCAGACGGCTGTGCAATGACATCGTGATTAGTAGTACGTAGGCGCTTCATAGCCGCAACTGGTGATACAGCTCGATCATTGGCACCGGTCGGGCCTGCCGAGGGAGAACCAGGCAAAGAGAGGCCCGGGCCGCAGCGGGGTGTTTAAGAGCGTGTTCGATGGGCATTAGTAGGATGGCGGCGGGCATGATACCTATCCAAAGTCTCAAGTTTTAGGCTTTCGTACAGGTCAGAAGACACCCTGAGAAACAGAAGATCTCCGGTGAGCCCTCTTATTTAACGGTGTCAGGATTCAACGGAATTGATGGCGTCGCGATAGTTATCTGTGGCCCTCAGCACCGCAAAACACACAACGCGAGACCTCCAAACCACCTTCCCGGCCATCTTGTGTAGAGGGAGACATCTGTAATCACCCGGCCACTGCGGCATCCGCGCAGAAGTGAGCTAACTGTCTTGGAGAAATGTAGCAGTTAATAATGTAGCAGTAGTAGATCCTTGGCATCTGTTAAGTTTTACCAGCAATAATGCTAGGCTTGATTGATATTGAGTGAGCTCCCGTCTAAATACATTTTTTTAAACAACACTAGAAGTGTCGAGTAGATAGAAACCAAAGAAGTGTTCGATTATGTAGACACTGTGCGATATCTCAACGGGCGCTCAGAGTCAATCCCGTTTTCGGACTGTTGATGTTCGAGTTCTTTCTATCTGAGGTCTGAGTTGGTCGCAGGAAGATTATTCTGGCTCTTTTACTCTGTTGATTAGATGAAGAAGGATGAGAGCCATAATGGATTACATGTACTTTATAGATATCGAAGCTAACACATATGCTTAATGTGTAGCTATTGTAAATTGCGTTGTTCAAAGCTCTACAAGACCTAGCTTCAAACACTGAGAACACCAAAGTTAATAACCGTGTCCCAACCACCACGACGCACACGCCCTCCTGCACAGTGCACCCACAGACCACCTATCCACTCCCCTTAAACCCCAAACCCGCAGCCCTAATAACCACCTCTGCCCCACCCCCCCTTCGGCCAAATCTCCCCTCGGCGCCAAGTCCTCCTCTACTATATAACGGCCCCTCCCCCTCGTCCCTCTTACTTCCCCAGCTCTCTTTGCCTTTGTAAGTCTACCCCCAACATTTGCCTTTACTCTACCATCTCGAGCATCAGCTAACCCCCTCACAGTGGCTTAGATCAAGTGTAGTATCTGTTCTTTTCAGTTTAATCTCTGAAACGGTTCTATGGAACCATTTATTGATTATACTTATTTTTGTTTGCCCCGGGACCGTGGCTCTGTGCTTGCACATCGACGTGTCCCACTGTGTCACTGGTATTACACTGCCTCCAGTTGACGCGAAATGCTTCTTTTTTCGTTGCGTTCCTGGCTGCTATGCGAGGGCGTGATGAAAGAAGATTGTGTTTTTGTGAGTTTTTATTTGGTTGTCGGATTTGGGTTGCGTGAACGGGTGATGATGGGTGATGAAGGATCATAGACGTAGACTTGGGTGAGCACTTGTGCTTCACGTTCATAGATTATTGAAATTGTGTATCAGATAGACATTATGCTTCAATTGCTTTGAATCCAAGGTAAACATTATAAGACTGTATAGAATCAATCCTATGACTCAGTATTCCATTGTAATCATTGTGGACCATCGCTCACGCGAATTGAAACTGGTTTAAAATCATCGTGGTAAGTTCAGCGTGTGAACACCACGTGCGTATGTGATGTCTTAAACTACGGTACTTGTATGTAGATAACCGTAGTCTGGTGGGAGCCTTTACCGTTCTTCTGAACCATTTTGTTTCTGAGATTTTGTTTCTGAGATATGGAGGCGTGGAGATTGGAATTATAGAGGAAGGGTTTCGTTCTATCGTCACCTTTGGCACTTAACACCGGAGCTTATCACTCACAGCACACTACAAAACACAATTCACAGCATAATTCACGATCCACAATTCACAATGCAAAACCAAAACCAAAGCCAAAGGCCAGAAGCCAAAAAAAACTGCCGAAGAACTAGAATCCCATTAATCGTAATTCTATATACCCCTTATTTCTTTTAATTTTTTTTATCCCATTTCCCATCCCACGTCAATTCCATTTAAGCGTTGGAAGACAAGATGTCGGAGTCACCCTGGTCGAGAATGGCCATGGTGGAGCACCTGAAGAGCTTACCGCAAGCAGTTCCGAGCTCAATCTGTAACACGCAAAAGAGTTCTGTCAGCAATCTTTCACCGTTTCCCTCCGAAGCAGAGAGTGGGTTTGCTTCTTCTCAGGGAGCAGAGAGCGCCACAAGGACGTTGGTCCTTGTGTATGCCTCTCCGCGCATTGCACCGCGGGGGAGAGTGGGAGGTGGAGGTAGAGGGTGGAATCTAGTAGGGTCACCACGACCACCATGTGCATTCCCCTTTAAGATACTGTCACATCGGCACCATGGACATCATGCCACTCTACTCCCCAATCCCATCCCACCACAACACCCCCCCACCGTGCAACAAGAGTCGTCCCAAAGCTACCAAAAAACAGAGGAATGGCTGCTTACGTTGTTTCCAGCAAAGTGGTGGACGTTGCACTTGCCCAACATGGAGTAGTACTCGAGCTCGGACTTCCTGAGGGGAGGAGTGTTTCCTACAAAACCCATCAGTCCCACTTCCCCAAGCACGAAACGGTGGGGGAAACATACCGGCAATGATGACGAGCTTGGCCTTTCCAGAACGGAGGGTCTTGAGGGTGGACTTGTATCCGAGCACGTACTTTCCGGACTTCATCACAAGCGCCAAGCGCGAGTTGATGGAGTCGGTGGTCTTCTTAGTCTTCTTTGTGGGGGCTTCATCGCGGGGAGGTCTGTCAGCATTTCCCTTCACTCTTCCCGCATTTCTGGAAAGGAGGACGACATACCCATCTCTGCACTTTTTTTTGTTGATAAAGTACTCCGGTTGGGGATTGTTGTTGGGTGGATTTAAAGGGTATGGGGTGGGGGTGGGAATCGCTGCGTCGTGAGTGTGAGGTGTGAAATTTCGTAGAAATTGTAAATGTTCGGGTTGCAAATAGCATTGTGGGACAGGTGACCGGTGGTTAGGGCTAGGCCCCGATATCTTGGCACTTACAGGCGCTAAGCCGTAAGGGGGGAGTAATGACCTTCAGCACCGGTTTACAGCAGAGAGGCATATGAGATCGGTCTTAAAGGTCAATCTTGAGAAAAACAGACAATAAACATAGTCTCTAACCGCCATTACAAATTTACGTTACGCGAAACCAATATTCTAAGCCTCTACGATAACCAATTCCGTTTAGACGAGCTGCTCCTTTATTTTATATAAATGGTGGTAGCCAGAATCATCACCGTCTATTATACACAAGTTCAAGATGAATGGTCGGAGAGTTTATTTCGCCTTGCCTTTGCCCTTTTTAGGTGCGATATTCGCCATCATTTCCTCCTATTTCCCCAGTTAGTTACTATAAGAGAATCCCAAATGAAGGAAGAATGAATTTACCTTCGTGATTAGATGGTCAATCCGTTCCAAAAGACCCAGAAGACTCTTCATATTCGCACTCCATTCATTCAACGCATCGTCTGCGTCTCTTGGCTGGGCGAACGATATGACCCTCGCCGGTCTATCAATCTTCGCATATACCGTCTTCTGAGTAACAAGCTTACTCAGATAGCTTTCTGCTTCATCTTCATCGAGATCCAAGAGCATCTTTAATCTATCCATCTTGATTCTGGTGTAGTACTTGGCGACAACCCTAACATTGTGCTCAATAACCCGTTTCCTGAGGTCTTCCCAGCGCTTTTCGGCTTTAGAATCACCAATAGCAAAAACATCAGTTGCGCGAAGATCAGGGCCGTAAACTTCGGCAATAAGAGGCCAACGCATCAGCTCAGAAATAGTAAAGAATTTGAGGAGGCTAGCTGTCTTTGGGACAAGCTTGAGTTTAGTATCGGCATTAATTCGGTGAAGGAGGTCAGATTGTTCATTATCGTATGGCGCAAGACACACGTAGAAAATGATTCTTTCAAGGACCTAGGATGGTTTGTAAGGATCAATGTCTCTTTTACTCGGGGCTGGTAGGTACTTACACTCTTCAGCTTTAGCGGGTCCTCTACTACACTGGGCGTATCATACACAGCTCTATAATGCTTGCAGACATCCAAGTACTTCTCATCTTGTTTCGCCAATTGAATCTGCTGATCGTAGAATTTCAATTTCAAGTCCGAGACCTCGGGATTGTTGAGATACTTTGTCGATATCTTTCTCCCAAGGATCGCCGCTTGTGTGAAATCTCCACGTTCGATACAAAGCTCGACCTGTTCGAGGATAAACTCGGTCTTTTCCCGCCGATCCATGGATCCGAAGGTCTCAACCTGGAGCTCGCACAGGACATCGGTGGCGCCAGCAAGATCGCCTCTTTCCTTCCTGATGTTCGCAAGGATACGGGTTATACGGGCTCGTTCGACTTCGACAAAGATCTAGGTATCCACGTAAGTTGTTACATCATCAGTGAGGTTTGCATGCGTCACTAACCTTGCCCTCAGTAACGTTCCTCAGCGTTTCGATGACGGAAAGCTTTGTGTCAATGTTCGGAGTCTCGTCCAAGAAACCCATCACAACCTGTACCATCTTAGTAGTGGCCTGTTTGAGCTGTCCGTGCTTCTTTGAAAGCATTTGGACATGCTCGTTCATAAGTTTCCAGTCACCGGAATCTTTGCATAGCGTTACTATGGTGATGAGGAGTCGAGAGGTAGAGGCTAAGTCATTGGACTGGGGCCGAACACTGTTAGTATTTGTTGGTGCATAAATGGCGACTGGTTTTGAGATGGGATAGTACCTGTCTAGTTTGTTTCTCCAACGCTAGGAGCTTTTCAATAGCCGCTGGGAGGTTTGTCTATAAACATGTAAGCTCCGAGTTCAACTCCGTCTCCGCCATAACATATACAGAATCACACCTTTGCAAGTTCCAAACACCCCGGGAGCTGGGCATCAAGAATGTCGGTATCTATCGCATGTCAGTAGCTGGATCATCAGATAACAGAGCGGCTGCGGCAGAAAGAGGGCTCTCACAATCCTTGTCGGCCTTGAGCACTGCTTCCTCCGACATTTTGCGAATTCGATTATGGGTTTGCCGTAAAAGAGCGGGGATGATGGTAAGTGGGGGTATGGTACGGCGGATGATGATGGAGTTGGATGCTATGGATGGATCTCTGTTGATGGGACCCTCTATCATGAAGCTTGTGGTGAGTGGCTGGCGGGGCTTCTCAATTACTAAGCCTCCCCTCCATCACTCACCAGCCACAGAGACAAACCCTATTGTGCTCTAGGCACAAAATCATCAGACCTCGCATATGACGTGGTACCGCCTATCCTACTTTACTTCCGGGTAACCCCTGTAGAGTTCTAACGGCCCGTTGGGTTCACACATTTCTCTCGGAAGCTCTCGTCTACTTCCAGCCCCAGCCATTAAAAGGAGCTTTTTAAACTTTAAAACAACCCACCACCACCACATCAATCATCCCGTAAACCCACGGTTCTCACAAAGACACCAATGGCCACTGTAGTAATACCTCAACCTTCTCCCTCAATAATGGGTACCTCAGCTCCTACCGAAACCGCATCCTCAACGGCTAACTACCGCCGAACACCTGCTACCCAAACATCACCACCTACAATTAAGGGCCGACGTCGCTCGGCTTCAATACACGGAACCCCGTCATCCTCATTTCAGGCTCCACCAAGCAAAATTGGTCCCCAGCGTACAAGTAAAGTTTCGCAAAAGTTAAAGATTCTCCCAAGTCCCGCAGACCAGGATGAGGAGAGCGGACGCGATGTGTATTCTCAAGTTACGCGAATCAAAGATACTACAGCTCGTCGAGATGCGGAGCGGCTTGGAAAAGCTGAGAGAGCACATTTGCCCAGAGTAACAGCTTATGCGACAGCAAATGCTTACAAAATGGATAACTTACTCAAATTCTTAAAAAGTCGTCAGAGTACACGGGGAACAAATCCGAAGCAGTTTGACGAGTGTATATACACACCATATAGCTATAACTATGATCGACCACCACAACCACCTACAATCCCAGAGGATGATCTGATTGACTTGGTCAGTGATCAACACTCAAGAAACAGCGCAACGGACGATACAGGTAGTACAGAGAGTGAGATTATGGAAGACGATAGAGACGATAGATCGCTTCTAAATTTCGTGATGGAGCAGAATAAATCGGTAGTGTCAAGCGAGGTGTTTCTTTACCAATACGGGGTAGTTGTAATTTGGGGAATGACAGTGGGCGAGGAGCAGAGGTTTTTGAAGGACATCGCAAAATTCGAGAGTGAGAAGCTGGCGGATGACGACGTACAGGTCGAAAACTTCAATTTTTACGTCACAAGCTCGTACCAGCCAAGAATCTATAACGACTTCATCACGCTGAAGGATGGGGGGAATTACATGATCAAGCTCAGTATCAGCCATGCTATAGCCCAGTCAGTGAAGGTATAATTCCTTTCCCATTCGTTGAAATGTTTTATCCAGGAGGATATAATTACTGATAGATCACGTTTTGCAGATCTCGCTATTTGAGGACCTCGTCGATAATACAATCGAGGATACAAAATCTATTCCACAGGATGTTGCTACAACGGGGAAAGTAAATATGAGTAGGCGTGATATCATGAAGCATATAGGCGAACTATTTATTCTCCGAATAAATATAAACCTTCAAGGTAGCGTGTTAGATAGTCCAGAACTCATGTGGGCAGTAAGTTTACATTCTTCTACTTCAATATTTGAACAATATGTTGATAGGTTTGGTTACAGGAACCGCAACTAGACCCAGTCTATCAAGCCGCACGAAGTTATCTAGAAATCAATCAAAGAGTTTCGCTTTTAAATCAACGATTAGATGTGATTGGAGACTTGGTAAGCTTTCGTCCTAATTATTTTTACACAATATGTAGCTATTTGGCTAACAATTTGTGACGTAGCTCCAAATGCTCAAAGAGCAAATGTCCCATTCACAGGGAGAACATCTGGAATGGATCGTTATCGTATTGATTGCAGCAGAAATCCTTGTAGCCGTCGTCAACGTTGTTGTAGATCTTTTTGCCGGGGCAGATTAATTCTACTTCCCTCTCCACAGGTTCGGGTTGTGTGATGTAGATACGAACTTCCTTGGGAGGTCTTCTTTTTTTGCTTGTTTTTGTTTCTTCGTTTCTTAGCATAATAATGTTGGGTTGTTGTACGAGTAGATGGAGGTGCCGCATTTGTGTATTTGCTACCCGGCGTCTTGAGAAAGGGGGTAATTGTACTGGGATAATCGCAGAACCTTTTGCCAACAGATCGATGTTTCCTTTTAGAGAGTTAGAATAGGTAGGGCGAAGAATACATGTATGTATGTACAGCTGTACTGGGTATTGGTAGATATTGATTAGGAAACTCCAGATTAATACACTGTAATCATGTAGTTTAGTCCGAAAAGTGCCTTCATAACATTTGTAATCTATAACTACATAACAAAGAGGGGGGCCACGAGATACTTTCGCAAACGGGGAGATCATATACATATAGCTGGTTGGAGCCATACACTGGGGCGTAATGATGAGAGATTCCAATTTTTTCTTTCTCTTTTCTTTTCCTTGGTAAACGTTCAAATGGCTAATGGCTAATCTACAACCTATGCAGAAACGCGACTTGAAATAACTAAACTACAGCTACCCCAGACTGCTCTAAAGCTTAGACTTGGAAGGTACAATCAAAGAGCTTATTCTATTGATAGAGTCCTCTGCCTCCTTCTCTATCCTCTTCAACAGGACTTCACACGTTGGAATGTCATGAATAAGACCCATGACTGGACCAGCAGTCCATACCTAAAAACCAGACCAGTCAGTATCGATCACTCATCATATATAACTACCGATATCCCCCAGAGAGAGAAACTTACACCCTCGTCGACATCCCCTGTAATAAACACTTGTCTTCCCCTCTTCCCACTCACATACGGCGCAATCTCCTCGAACTTTCCAGTTGTACTCTCAAGCTCAATCTTCTTCGCCGCGACTGCGACCTTGTTCTTATACAATCGACTAGTATTTCTCCACCTCCTGAGCAATAGCTCGGTCTGATCCTCGCTCGCATCAACGATAGCTTGTTTAATGTTGTTGTGGATTGGCGCTTCGACGGTACACATAAACCGGGTCCCCATATTTATCCCGCAAGCTCCCAGTGCCAACGCGCCAGCAAGACCTTCACCATCCGCGAATCCACCAGAAGCAATAAATGGAGTTTTAAGAGACTGCATAGCACGTCGGAGCAGGACAAAGTTGGTAATGTCTGTTTCGCCAACATGGCCGGCACACTCGAAACCATCAATGGAAAGGAAGTCGACCCCAAGCTTTTCCGCAGAGAGAGCGTGACGAATAGTTGTACATTTATGAAGAATTTTGATTCCTGCGGTCTTGAGTTGCTTGATTATCGGCCCCGGGCTATTGCCCGCGGTCTCGACTATTCTTTGTTAGCGAGATACTTGCAGTAATAGTAGTTTCAGCTCCGTTGGCATACCGATTTTAATGCCCTCATCAATAACGACCTGCGCGTATGCGCCATAATCTGGGGGAACCAAGCTAGGTAGAAGGGTGATATTAACGGCGAACGGCTTGGTTGTCATTTTTCGACATCTATTAATCTCCTTTCGGAGATCTTCAGGCGTGGGCTGAGTGAGCGCCGTTAATATCCCAAGCCCTCCAGCGTTAGAGACAGCCGATGCGAGCTCTGCGTAGCCAACCCATTGCATTCCCCCTTGGACCACCGGGACTAACGATACTTGTTAGTAACTTATAGAGCTGGTGGTGTAGCGACGAGCTTACTAGCGATCCCAAGAGCTTCTGTCAAGGCTGTTCTAAAAACCATCGTTCGTTCGTGTGTGAGGTATATAGTAATCACGAGAAAGCAGACGTGATGGTATCAATCTGGGGAAGTAGGTAGAGTACAGTACTTATGTTGATTGTCGCCCCGAGGTGTAACCAGCCCTGAGCTCGTGATAGATGCTGTAAGGCCAAGACCCAAGGGTCTGGGAATCATGGGGAGCCGAGGTTGTTCGCCTTGGCGGCGGCCGGTGATATTACATATATTAGACGAGTGCTTTCTCATGATCTTAATCATGCACCGAGTAGGTAGTAGCGTCGCATGTAGCTCGGAGGGAATACTAGCAGTCTAGCACCGGAGCAGTATTCCTTTCGACTGCTCCCGCGAATCACGGCCTATATACTTGCCGGATTTAGAGTAAAGAGTCGGACCCGATAAAAGTTCTGGCCAGTATAGTGGAAAAGTCGTTGGGGTCAACGATGACATTTAAAGCACGCGTTGCCCTGATGTAAACAACCCACCACCGCCTCTACAGGCACCGCGTTCACCTCCACGCCGCGTTCACCTCCGCGTCTGCCTCTATCTCCACCTCCAATCCACGTGCTTCGCAATCAAATGCCTCGAGTCCACGCCGCTTCCACCTCCATATCGAGCTCCAGCCCCACCTTAAATGTATCCGTGATACACTTAAGTGTTGCTAAAAAGTTAGCAGCCGGCCGATCGTATACGGGGGTCCCACCATTGGGTCCGTTGGTATTACCACCATATATATCTTATGACATAGTGGACGACTCACCAGGGCTACCCCTTGAGATCAAGCCTGACGAGCTATACGCGACAGTTGGGGGCCCGGGGGAGCCCAGACTGAAGAAGATCAGGCTGATTGCAGACTGCGAGGAGGGAGAGAAATGGAAGGAGGCCGCAGAGAGATTTCAAGGTGGAAATAAGCAGGGCACTATGCCTGCCGCCTACATCAAGATAGAGGAGGAGGGGGAGGAGGAGGATCAAGATATTAAAAAGCTGAAAAGGTATGGCAGCTTGAGGGGCGCTGTTACGGGTTCGAACGAAACCAAGAAGAGGAAGACGACCAAGAATGATTCGAATGAAACTAAGAGGAGGATCAAGAAGAGCCCGCCGGCGGTTTCCAACCTTCCCTCGGATTTCGTGCTTCCCGATTTAACCCCCGAAGAGGTCCAGCCAAGAAGGATGGAAGCTGCACTGAAAAACGAGGCTCTAAAGCGTGGTCTGGGCCTCAAGAGCTTGTCATTTCATCATTCTGAAACGGTATACAAGCGTGTTGAGATGGTAGACAAGGGGACGCAAACACATACACAAGCACTGGCAGTACTCACGGTCCCGAGAAAGATTGTCCAATTCACAGAGCGATTGGTGAGGTTTTTAAGAATACTTCGTAAGGCTATCGAAGTACTCCCCGAGTCGCACCTTGTACAAATTGAGGCGTACTTTGAGGTGGATTGGATGGTGGAGGACATTGAGATTGCAATTAGGGGCGTGATTAGCCGCAAAAACCTTGCCGATGGTGCGAAGAAGGGCTACAAGGGCTACAAGGGCTTGACTACAATTGCCGATAGATTGCCATTCTCGAAAAACAAAACAATTATCGAATTTGCGGAGAGGCTGATGTCACTGGTGAAGACACTCTATCAGGCGATTGAGATGCTCAGTGAGCCCTACCTCATAGAAATCGAGACACTGTTTGATGTTGATTGGATGATAGAGGATATTAAAAGGATAGTCAAAGGTGTAATTAGCTGCAAGGCCGTTCATGATGCGCAGTTGGAGAGCTGTTGAGTAAATGGGGGCATGTACATCGCTGAATCACGAAAAACAAAGATCCTTAACTCTAACCTAAGCACTTTTGCTGGCGATGGCGACGCTTGCCCGGATTGAACCTATCTAGAGTCCTACCGGGTGTCTAAAACTACTACGCAGGCACTGCACCCTATCTCCTCCCGGGTCTCGCCGGCCTTTTAAAGCTCGCCTTCTGTTCCACCTTCGGATGGAACTCCTCCAACAGCTGGGCCTCACCAATCTCAGTTGCGCTCGCAGCCTCAAGTTTTTTCTCGATGTTTAGGTGCGCCTCGTTGATTGCTGCGTTGACGACGCTGGAGCGGCAAGAGGCATATAGCATTTTTTCGCGGATTTTAGACGAGGTGGGGCAGGTGTATATGAAGACTGGTTTTGTCAGTTTAATTATAGGTGAAATAAGGAGAGCCAGTTAGGGTTGAGAGTGAGAGTGCAGACCGATGGGGGATTCTTGCTGCCCTTCATGCGTGTGGTTGAACCGGAAGAAGGAATAACGTGGGGCGTCATCAGGGATAACGTGTGTGAAGTCATTTATGGCGGAGGAGCTAGCATTTGCGAGCTCAATAGTCTCTTTTTCATTATTGATCGCCTGTGCCCTGTTAGCCGACATTTATAAGTGGTGGAAGGACAACTTACAAGTTGCACCAGGGTGATGAAGCCTCCCGGGAGATTGGTTAACGCCTCAATTGCCTCCTGGCTCACAGGAAACTTGATCCCGCTACTAACGTGAGATTTTCTCGCACTGGTGCTAGTAGATGCTTCATACTCGGCCTCTTTGACAGCGGCCATCGTCATTTCCTCCTCCGTCAACGGCGCAGGCCTGTGCTCATTAGCTCCTCGAAACTCGAAGAACGTTACAAAGAGAGCTTTACTTTGCCTCATGCGCATCATGCCTCTTGAATCCCTCTGCAGTAAGCTCCTCCTTTACCGTGGCAAAAATACTCTCTCCAAATCTTTCTGTCCCCAGTTCCCGTAGCAAGGTGTTCCTTGTGCTGGCGAAAAGCATCTTCTGCCGCACATTGGCACTATCGGGCACGTATGCAATTGAGATGAAAGGAGCTGGGTCTGGGTCCTCTCGGCGCCGTAGAATAATATATGCAGCTTCATTGTCTTTAAGGAGCGCGTCGAGCTGGGAGAGGTCGGATTCGAAGCTGCCAGTAGAGAGGAGCAACTCTCGCGGGACAAGAGTCTCTTTTTCGATGGAGACTATGAGGCCCCGGAGAGAAGGAGTTGAGACAATGTTTTGAAAGGTCGAGAGGAGCTCGGCAGAGGCTATGGAGATAGGTGGTTAGTTAGGGGTTTCTAGTTCTGGTCTAGGTCTACGTAGTAGACCTGAAGGGAAACTAGGGGACAGTATTCAAACCTGTGATTCCGGACTGCATTTTAGAGTATTTTTTTTAAGAAAAGAATGGTGCTGCACAATTTATATAGAGGAAGATTTGGATTCAGAGCTGTAGTTCGGGCTCAGGAGCTGATCTACCCACTGCGTGTTTGTTGGCGCGGGGTGTACTAGCTAGATATATCTACATGTATGTCTTGGCCCCTGCCCCCACTATCACGTGATACACATGTAAGATACTTGCTGTACGGGCAATTTACGGGCAATTTACCGGCTATTATATTATTTAGATTTCTATTTTCCATTAAAAACATGCAAATACGTATCTGTAGGTATTTACGTTAGATTTACCTTGCTTTATGCCAGAGGGGAAGGTTTTCATGGGATTCGGTCAACCTTATTTGAATACATAATCTCACATGACCTGCACTCTTTTCTGATATTTGTGACCATCTCCCAAACAGATATATCTTATCAACCTCTCCACTACTCCAATATGCCAGTTACTATCGATACTAGAATCCCCGCAACTAGCACATTCTATACAGTGCCTAAACTCGGTAAGGCCTCGATAAAGAGCAACGGCCCTGACCTTTCAGATCTAGTAATCCCACCGCTGCGGTTCTCGGTCGTGGAGAATAAGCTCTACCGTGGATCTTACCCGCGCCATCTCAACTTTAGGTTTCTGGAGTCACTGAACCTGAAGACAATACTGTCTGTCACTCCGGAACCATTAGTGGGGGAGGCTGCGGATTGGTGCAAAGCAAATGGTGTGGTAATGCTGCATATCAAACCTGAAGTGGACGGGAAGAAGGGCGCGCCGTTGAGGCATACTGAGGCCTGTCAGATCTTATCTGTACGATCCAATCCACATATATGCCCCATGTACTAACCATTACAATAGGTGGTCCTTGAGGCTAAAAATTCACCGCTTTACGTTCATTGCCTTAATGGGTCCGAGATTACGGGACTTGCAATGACAGCTCTACGGAAGGTGCAGTGTTGGGCGACCCCGTCAATCATCTCGGAGCGCATGAGGTACTCGGAAACCCATCATTCGTTTGATCGCTTCTTGGAAGAGTTCTCGGGAGAGGTTACAATTCCGAGGGAATGTGTGGAGTGGTTATGGGCAGGGCTGAGGGATGATGACGGACTTCCGCCGCTAGGTTGTGGGGTCACAATTAATTTTATAGATGAGAGGTTGGGGGAGAAACATAGAGCGAGGATCGAGAAGGCTATCAGTTCACGATAAGAGGTAGATTAATTTCACTGATAATGCCACGAACAAGGAAATGAAAGGGCAGATTTGAGAATTTGCTTTTGAGGATTATGGTCACGGCGTGAGCTGAAATAAATTGTATTTATTTATATATTTTGTAAATACGGTACGTAACGTACGGTACGGCAAATCAATGTATGTCCGCAAGACTACTATCTGTAGATCCCACGAAAATATAGTTAGCAATTGCGCTTTTAGGACCGGTCTACAACTGGGGAAAATTTAAACGTACCAAACTTATATCTTTTGGATGAATTTAAGATATTGTTAGCGAAATTTTGCGAGGCAATGGCCCTAGATCTAGGCAACCTATTAATGGTTCTAATCGAGTGGAAGAAAACACGAGAAGGACGATAAGGATTGGCGCCTGGAGAAGAAAGGAAAAAAAGAAGAGAAGATTTTGTGAGGGGATGCTTTATATACTTACCCATGCCAAGGAGCCAAGAGACTAACTACATGGGCAATTTGGGAGCTTGAGATGGCGTATGTAATCAACTTAAAATACATGTACATAAAGACATAGGACATCTTACATTTCGTAAACCTATCCAGCCGAATTGTGTCGTTGGCAATGAAATGAATGTCATTTAGATATTTGATGTCGATAATTTGCTGGCTACGGCCATGGCGATCTCCATGACATTTTCCTTTGAGGCTTTGACTCGAGTTTCATGCAGGGTCAAGTCGCCTGGATACCCGTGACCGTGAAATTCCCAATCCCCTTTTTTCTTGGCTTGGACGTTACAGAGTGACCGAGACCCCGATGTCTGGGTAGCGATCCTATAACATATGCAAATATTAGTTGAGGCTCTCAAAAAAGCTATCTGAGGAATTTGGGGCCTGTTATTTGGAACAATCGACCTCAAAGCTCAGGTGTTATACCTACTTTACTTAGAAAACTGCTCATAATAATATCAGCATACCGATCAACAAGCAGGCCTATTAACCTATGCGCAGGTGGGCACTGCGTTGTGTCTGCTGTCAGCGGACCAAAAATAGACAAGCGGCTCGCTGCCTCAGCCACAATCAGTCCCAAACGGACTATGCAGAGCAGCGGTGCAGGTTCGAGGGAATTTATGATTTGATAGAATAGGGCGAGCTGATGAGAAATAAGAAACAGATGTCTACCAAGGTAGGATGCGTGTTCTATCTAGGTTTCTATCACGATAGGTATGATATGAGATAGAGCACGGTTCTTGAGAGAAAAGCGAAGGCCCCTTAGGCTAGAAAAAGCAAGAAAGGTCAGAGCTGAAAGAGAGCTTCACCGTGGCGCACACAGACAGACAATTCAAACCTACATGCTCTTACAAGTTTATTAGACTCTCCCGTCAAACCGCATCCAGGAATAAGCAGCAACGAGTAACAGCCTCTGCATCTTCTTAGAGACTTCCATTTCCAATTCTCTGCGACTACCTACCTCCTTCACCATCAGCCCCCAGTCCACAATATCACCCTTCCCCCTATCGCTCTGTCTTGACATTTATCCACTTTACCATTATTTTAGCTGTTCTTCCTAAGTTTCAAAAGGCATCCCTCAATCACCTCGTCATCATCCCTTCGCCGCTGTCACCAACGTCTCACCCCAGAAAAAAGTTGCCCTGCGATGAGATTCACCCTCAACCCTACGTCCTCATCAACTGAAATCTGCTACTAAATTAGTACACCCCAAAACAGCGTCCCAGCTTCCTGCGCCTCCGACACACCAACCATCTCCCCTCTGTACCCTTTCCCTTTGTGCAGCATCAAGCGATCCGCAATTCACAAACCACCTTAACTATACAAATACACCAAATACCCCACCTTACATCATCCTTCTCGCACGGTTCGTCCGGGGCAAAAACGCCATTAGATGGCGGGTAGTTCGAGCAATAACGACCTGCTTCTTGATCTAGACGATCACGGTCGTAATTATGGCAACCCAGGTCGGCCAGCAATCGACACAAATGTTGAATATCAGTCGCGACCTTCGGTCTCGTACGACGATTTTGTAAATGGGAATACGGCGGGATCTTCGGCGGTGTACTCGCAATCCGTTGCTAGTCAGCTGAGTCCTGCTACAAGAACATATAGCCAGACCAGGGAGTTGGGTCACTATCAGCCTTACTATGATGAAGCCGACGATTTGGGTCACGATAGTGGGAGCCGTCCGGCAAGTGGATATCAATATGCGAGTGCGACTGACGACCATAGTGATGTCGGGGGTGCAAATCGGCAGAGCGCGTACGGAGGAGTGGTCGGAAGGGTCAAGAGCGCCTTTGGAATGAACCAGGAGTACAGTGAGATGGATCTGCCGTTAACGGAGGCTACGCCTATTGGCAGTTCGCCAGCTCCGGGTGGAGCTCCAAGTACAAGAAAGAGACGGAATAGCGGAAGCAAGTTCACATTTGGGTTTGGGAGGAAGAAAGTAGATCCATCGACACTCGGGCCTAGGGTTATTCATCTCAATAATCCTCCTGCAAATGCAGTCAACAAATACGTCGACAACCACGTTTCAACTGCAAAGTACAATATTGCTACATTTATTCCAAAGTTTCTTTACGAACAGTTTAGCAAGTATGCAAACTTGTTCTTCTTATTCACTGCCGGATTACAGCAAATTCCAAACATTTCTCCAACGAATAGATATACGACTATTGGGCCACTGATTGTTGTGCTTATAGTGTCAGCGGGAAAGGAGCTGATTGAAGATTGGAAACGTAAAACTCAGGATACAGAACTGAATCGCTCGAAAGCTAGAGTTTTAATAGGAACGACGTTTGAAACCCAGCGCTGGATCAACGTCCGTGTGGGAGATATCGTTCGAGTGGAGTCTGAAGAGCCATTCCCAGCAGATTTAGTACTCATGGCCTCCTCCGAGCCCGAAGGATTGTGTTATATCGAAACTGCCAATCTCGACGGTGAAACTAACTTGAAAATTAAGCAAGCAATCCCGGAAACTGCTGGTTTTGTGTCTCCAGGCGATTTGAGTAGACTGTCAGGAAGAATCAGGTCTGAACAACCTAATTCTAGTTTATACACCTATGAAGCAACACTCACCATTGATGTTGGAGGTGGTGAGAAGGAACTCCCTTTAAGTCCTGAACAATTGCTGCTCAGAGGAGCTACATTGAGAAACACACCATGGGTTCATGGGGTTGTTGTGTTCACGGGTCATGAAACGAAGCTTATGAGGAACGCGACTGCTACACCAATTAAGAGAACGGCTGTGGAGAGAACATTAAACGTTCAGATTATTATGCTGGTTTCTATTCTTTTGATACTTTCTTTAGTTTCTTCTACTGGTGATGTTATCAAACAGGTGAGTTGTGGAGGATTCAATACCCCTTTCATTTGGGTGTGGAGGCTAAGGGTCTCTGGCAGTCTACTGCGAGCTCAACAATGTCTTATCTATATCTTGAAAACAACAACAGAGTAAAACAATTCTTCGCCGATATCCTCACGTATTGGGTCCTATACTCTAATTTAGTCCCTATCAGGTAAATCCCTAATATCATACTCCCGAGACTCAACTGATGATCTTGTAGTTTGTTCGTCACAGTTGAAGTCGTCAAATACTACCATGCCTTCCTGATAAACTCTGATCTCGACATCTACTATGCTGAAACCGACACCCCCGCCGTATGCCGCACCTCAAGTTTAGTTGAAGAACTTGGCCAAATCGAATACATCTTCTCTGACAAAACTGGAACCCTTACTTGCAATATGATGGAATTCAAGCAATGTTCAATCGGGGGTATTTGTTATGCCGACGAGGTCCCGGAAGACCGTCGTGCCACAGTTCAAGATGGCGTTGAAGTTGGAATTCACGATTTTGCTAGGCTTGCTGAGAATCTAAAGACTCACTCGAGTCGTGAAGTCATGCATCATTTTCTCGCGCTCCTTGCAACCTGCCACACTGTCATTCCGGAGAGAAAGGAAGATAAGCCCAACGAAATCAAGTATCAGGCCGCGTCTCCCGACGAAGGTGCATTGGTTGAGGGCGCTGTTCAGCTAGGATATCAGTTCATTGCACGAAAACCTCGTTCTGTTGCGATCATGGTCGGCGGCAAGGAATACGAGTATGAGATGCTTAATATCTGCGAGTTCAACTCTACTCGGAAGCGCATGTCAACGGTTCTTCGTTGCCCTGATGGGAAGATTCGGATCTACTGCAAAGGTGCTGATACGGTCATCATGGAAAGACTGCACAAGGACAACCCAATGGTTGAGGTTACACTCCAACATCTTGAAGATTATGCTACTGAAGGTCTTAGAACGCTTTGTTTGGCAATGAGGGAAATTCCAGATGAAGAATATCGCCAATGGAGCGCAATCTACGATAAAGCTGCCACAACAATCAACAATCGAGGAGATGAACTTGATAAAGCTGCGGAGCTTATCGAAAAAGACCTTTACCTATTAGGTGCCACGGCTATTGAGGATAAGTTACAGGATGGTGTACCTGATACTATTCATACCCTTCAAACCGCTGGAATCAAAATTTGGTATGAAATCTTAGACTAATAACTGAAGGATGAAGCTGACTATTTTTTTTGTGCAGGGTCTTGACTGGTGACCGACAGGAGACTGCTATCAATATTGGAATGAGTTGTAAGCTTATTAGCGAGGATATGACATTGATAATCGTCAATGAGGACAACATGCAGGACACGCGAGACTCTTTGACGAAGAAGCTAAATGCTGTTAAATCGCAAAAGGATGCCGGCGGTGAGCTAGAAGCGTTGGCACTAGTTATCGATGGTCGCTCTCTCACTTTTGCACTTGAACGGGAACTTGAAAAGGTTTTCCTCGATTTGGCGGTTATGTGTAAGGCTGTCATCTGTTGGTGAGTAGAAGCCTCTACCCAACCATATTCTCGGGGTTATTTTAATTATTGGTTTAGTCGCGTGTCCCCTCTCCAAAAGGCTCTTGTTGTTAAGCTCGTAAAACGCCATCTGAAGGCTATCCTGCTTGCAATCGGCGATGGCGCAAATGACGTCTCTATGATCCAGGCTGCCCATGTTGGTGTTGGTATCAGTGGTGTAGAAGGTCTTCAAGCAGCTCGCAGCGCAGATGTTGCAATTGGCCAATTTAGGTTCCTAAGGAAACTATTACTTGTTCATGGAGCTTGGAGTTATCAGAGGATTAGTAAGGTTATCTTGTATTCTTTCTATAAGAATATTACGCTTTACATGACACAATTTTGGGTAAGTCAAAGGAAGAAATCGTACAACATGGAGGCTAGAACTGACTATAGTTGGGTGGGTAGTTTTCGTTTCAAAATGCATTTTCTGGACAGGTTATCTACGAGTCGTGGACTTTATCTTTCTATAACGTGTTTTTCACAGTGTTGCCGCCATTGGTAATGGGTATCTTCGATCAATTCATAAGTGCTAGATTATTGGATCGGTACCCGCAGTTGTATCAACTTGGGCAAAAAGGGCAATTTGTAAGTTGGAATTTAGATGATAAGAAATGGTCTAGTGTGCTGATTAGATGTGTAGTTCAAAACAAGTAGCTTCTGGGCTTGGTTGGTCAACGGTTTCTATCATTCCCTTATCCTCTACATCTTCTCTGAATTGATCTTCCTTTACGATCTTCCTATGGGTGATGGCCAGACTGCTGGGCATTGGCTTTGGGGTACGGCATTATACACTGCAGTTCTTGCAACCGTGCTCGGAAAAGCTGCTTTAGTCACAAATCTCTGGACAAAATATACCGTGATGGCGATTCCTGGGTCTATGCTCATTTGGATGGGCTTCATGCCCGCCTATGCGACAGTCGCCCCGATGCTTGGTTTCTCAACAGAGTATCAAGGTATTCTGGCAAAACTAATTACATCCCCGGTCTTCTGGGCTATGGTTATTATTCTTCCGGCCCTGTGTTTAACTAGGGATTTCGCCTGGAAATAGTAAGCTTCTCTTCTTTGATTTTCAATTATCCTACGCTAACATAAGAGGAAACAGTGCAAAACGGATGTACTATCCACAAACATACCACCATATCCAAGAGATTCAGAAATACAATATTCAAGATTACAGACCACGTATGGAACAGTTCCAAAAGGCTATCCGCAAAGTACGACAAGTACAACGGATGCGAAAACAGCGCGGATATGCGTTCTCGCAGGCCGACGAGGGTCAATCAAGGGTAATTCAGGCATACGATACCACGAAGGAAAGAGGGAAATACGGAGAGATGAAGAGCGTGAGGCCAGAGGATCGGCCGCTTCGCTAGTGATGATAATGAAACTTAATGTTTTGTTTTGAAATTTGGGGGATCGTCGCAGGACTGCTCAATAAAGGATAGTTGTAGCTGTAAGGCAGTTCAAAAAATCTTAAGCTGTCGTTTATACTTAGTTTTTATTAGTTTCTTGCCGTATTGTAGCTTTTTGTTCTGTGGTCTGGTCACTTTTGTATCTTTTCATTTTTATATTACCTACCTCTACCTCTTCTCTGTAGTGTTTCTTACCTATTTCCTCCTCTTCTGTGATACTTTTTA